CACTGAATTTAACGAGGACAAATTGGCGCCTATAGTAAGAAGTGTTTACACGGCTCTGCAAGGAGATTCTACAGCGACAACTTATAGATCCAGTCCCAAAACCACTGTGGAAGACCTTTAGTCTAGATTTCAAACACCCTGTGGTCATGTAACCAGTGGCTCCTCGCTGCATGCGACACCGTCTTCCTCAGCAGACTGAGTACGATACAATCCCCGAATCAACTATGGATACACAGGAAAAAGGGGAAAGGAAAGGGAAAAGGCAGGCCTGGAGAAGGAGAGGAGCCAGTGCAACTTCCGACGAAGGAATTTTAAAATTCTCCCACGTTCGCCAGGAATTAATTTAGAAAGCGCCTCGATTTGAACGCAAAAGAAAGCTGCAAGAACTGGGGTTGATAATGGATGGATTTCCTTTTGATAAAACTTGGGATGAGACAGCTTCAAAGGAAGATACCTAATTCTTCATAACAGTTCGCTTTGTTTTGTATGCATGTATCCATGAAGGGGGGATAAAATTCAAGAATTTTTTTTCTTTGAGCTGTGGCCTTTTCAAATGGTTAGGAAAATTAGGAACATGATCTCACATAGTGTCTGCCAGGGCTACACAGGCTTTCCATACTTGGTACCATCAATGTACCATTATGTTGCGACTGCGGACATCAACGAAGCAGCAGCCTATATGCATCAGTTTATGATGTCTGTGATGGAAGGGAGCTATTGTATGTTAAGAAGGTGAATGTTTCAATGTTTTTATTATGTTAATATTATTATGCTATGGTCATACCTTTAAATTGTTGTATGGACCTTTTTAAGTACTTTTCAATCGATGTGTTGTACTATTAATAGATTTGCAGATCTGTGGTAGAAAGAACTCTCTCAGGAGACCAAAGTAGTAAAAACAGGTTGTTTTCAATTTGCAGTCTAGAATTTGCTCAGCAAGAGCAGTTATAGTCTTTTTTCTTCTCCTAATATTTGAACCGTGTGGATTATTTTTTTCCTTAATAACACAGACTATCTGTGGCTGCTATATTTCCTATTCTCTTCTTGATACTCTATTTTTTTTCCAACCAACACAGGTGATTGATGATGAAAATGTGACTAATTTAGATGAAGATAAGTACTTTGTTAAGCTTATGACACTCAGTGGAATGACAGTTACTACAAGTGATGGTAAGTTCATGATTACAATGAGTGATAAAAAAATTAACAAATAAAGAGAGTGAACAACATCAGTTAAAGGTTAGAACAAAACAGATTTCACTTCATCAGTGTGTCCACGTAGAAACAATGACAGTGATGTTGTGTCAACCCTTGAGCCTCTTTTATCTTGATTTCTCTGTTTAATAATTATTCTTCACTCAAGATTTGTTTAATTTATTGCTAATACTAATTTTCTTCCTTGTATCAAGTCAATCTTTATCCTCCTCAGTCATTGAATGTGTCATACTGGTACACTTTTTTAAACAACAGCATTGGCCTGGTTAATGAATTGCTTACATTTAGTATTTTTATGACAATATCATAGTTATATTATATTTGATGACACAATATTGGGCATATTTAGTATAAAAGCTGATTGTCCCTGTCAAATGCCTTTGCTAGTATTTGTATATAATTATATTAGTTGGTCATAGTCACCCTTTAAATATGTAAGTCAATCCTTAAATAGAAGCCTTAGATGATTTTTATATGTAAAATGCAATATATAATAATTAGCAATTTTGTAGTAATGAGAGATTTTTAACTAGTTTGTAATTAGTTTGTAGTTAGTTTGTTGCATAGAAGAGCCACCTCTCCGATGGATATGCTAATAAACCATTTTTATTATTATTTTATTATTATTATTTACATAATTATAGTTGTAAATAATATGTAATATTTAGTTGTATAGACTTCTATAGAATTGTTACAACAATAAATACTTTACATTAAGAGGCATGTCATTTGTAAGTCTCATTTGGACATCTTTTAATGTGCTGTGTTGTTTACGAGTTAAAGATCACATTGAAAGACAAGTATTCTTGGAGGTGAAGTCAAGTGACATTTGTAAAATAAAGCTTTCAAAGATTTTGTCTTGTATGGCCATTGCCTAGTAATTCAAATGTTAGAATTGAAATGCGTCTTGGAAAAACTGGGATCACTTTTGAAAAATACTGGTATTGTAACATGGAAATTACAGTTTATTGGAGTGAAATACCATTGTCATTGGTCAGAATAACAGGTTTCCATCATCGCTGGCGAATGCCATTGGTCACCTAATCAATTTGGGAAATGATAATTTTATATTTGTTATATTTTTAGATATATATATCTTGATATATTGTCCCTTTTGGACAAGCATAGGTTGCGAAAGGTACCACGCTTACTGCAGTTCCTCTAACAGAGAGAAAGTCAATATTGTTTGTGTTCAGTTAGTTGCCTCAAATATACTATTTCACGCAATTTCACTACGAAAAGCAAACTGAAACTCTTTTGTGTCTCCAGTAGACACTGACCAAAGATATATATTGCGATCTCGAATGAGTGAAGATACCTTGAACAAAATAGAAGGTTAATATTTCAAACAAGTCTCCCTGATTGGTTGTTGCCTATCTGGACTTTGCCATCTGTGTGTGAAATACGTGATAAACGCAGGTTGCCTACAAGGAATTAACATGCGATGGGGTTAAGTCCAAGGTAGCTAAAAGCGAATTCTATTCGTAGAGAAAGTCAAAACGGGAGAGAATTGTGTGGAAAATTCACTATCAGTAGCATTTAGTTCCAGGTGAATATTTTTCAGCAAGGTTAGATAATAGGGTTAGAATACGTGATAAAATGCAGGTTGTTTACAAGGAAATGTTAATGTTCGTGTAGTGCAATGATTGGGTATTTCCTTATTGCACTTTGAACGTTGTTCTCATAGTACATGATGGAATATAGACAAACATTATGTCTAGACATAATGTTTTTTATGTCGGGGCATGTTTATATGATAACCCGTTGGGAAGTTTGTACCAGGTACGAACAGTAACCAACCAGTAGTAAGGGCGGAGTTTGCTATGTTAAAACCAAGAGAAATTCCTTGATTCGCCCTTCTATCCCTCGCCATTCGAACGTCAAGTGCTCAAGAAATCTTTTCCCTCTCTTCGATAACACAGTCCAAAGTTTCAGGCAAGTTAAAAATTTCTGTATTCTCTATCTTGCTATTATTTTGTTGGTGTCCAATTTAATTGAATATTTCAAACCTCGCATTTAACATGTCCCGAGCATGGCACCAACACGTGTACTTATCCTCGGTCACTCCTTTATCCATCGTTTGTTTAGTTTTCTTGTTGCTCATTTCGGTCGCGATTTCCTTGAGAATTTTAACTTGGGCGACGACCTTATTTTCAAATGGCACGGGATAGGGGGAAGGACATTTGCAAAAACTAGGCAACTTGACCTCGGAGTCGTAAGATCATTTGCTCCCGATCATGTCATTTTGCAGCTTGGCACGAATTCTAGCATTTTCTTCACGTTGGGACATCTTTTTCGGGCAGAGCTCACGTAAAGAGACGTTTTTCTTCGAAACATGCATCGATATAAAAGCTATTTGCCGTGTGCGTTGTCAGTAAACTTGTTAACTTAAAAATGATAAGTTGAATGCAAACCTTTCACATCCCGATAAATCTGAGGCGCATGAAGCTCTTATTACTGTTGATTTTTGTCACTGGTTGTGAAAAGAGCCTTGTCTACCATGGTTTTGTTAAATTATTCGAAAAACTTCCGACTGCCGGTCATTTGATGGCCGCCCATCGCACGCAAAAAGTGTCAACATCCATGGCTCCGTATTCTGAGATTTGTAAATCAGTTCGGGATTGCTAAAAGCAAATCACAAGCACACATACGGCAAATTCGTTCCCCGATGGTTCTTCTACCGACTTGCCTTTCTAATTCATTACACAGATTTCCAGTTTATTGTGCGTCTCGAAATTTGAGATGGTTTAGTTCTCGTGATTCCTTCCGCGCGTTGCGACGACAACGACAGGAGCCAACCCTCCCCAATTTTGGGATCTTCGAAAATTCATTAGAGAAAGTAACTGAAAGAGATGCAAAATTAACTTTTTCGACTTGGTTATCAGTTAGAGCTCTTTTCGGCCCCGTAAGTTTCCAAACTATTTTGAATGGTGCATTTTCTTTAAAGCAACAGCTTTTGACATGCCAAGTAACAGTATTAATGCGCAAATGACCCGAAACAAACCCAGTTATCAATGAAAATACGATGTTGTCACCATAATACCCTTATAGCATCGATGCAGCAATCAGCAGTGTTGTCATTAATTCTGGGAATTTAAGTAACCGACTAGTTCTGTCGTCTGAAACAATTCACTTGGTATTCTAGTTGTCTCGCCATGGCGCAAGACGTTTCTACCGAAAATGTGCATTTACGGCAGGAAGGAGGTGCTGAAGACGTTTACAGTCCTCGGCGAGATATTTTGGAGAGAGAAGACGAGAACAATCTGGCAAACGAATTATTCCGTGCCCTCGGGAAAGACGATGCTTTCGACGAATTCTGGAAACTTCTGGAAGAAAACCATCATGCGATCATACGAAAACTTCCAAAATAACTGCAAGGAAGCTAGTAAGAAAGAGCAGCAGAGGGAAGAGAGATTTCATTGTTCTTCGAAGTGTTCGGAAGAGCCTAAAGAGGAGCAGCAAAGCTCCGAACCGCAAGGATCAGAAAAAGAGTGCATTAACGGTGAAACGAAACTTAACTGGATCAAAGTTCTTTCTAACCCTCTGTTCATTGGTTTAGAATGGCTATGGAGAACAAAATCTAACTGTCCGTGTACATTTTGCGAGAAAGATAGGAAATTGGTTGGAAAAGAAAAGAAAAAAAAGGAGATGCATATCTCCTAGATGAAACGTCATCTCTCAAGCACTACAATAGCCGAGATGTTTACCGAGAATCGGCGGAAGCTTACGAAACGTTTGCTGCTGGCATATTGGAGAAAGCCTCCCAGAAAGAACTTCACGAGATCATGGATATAAAAGGAGAGGGTTGTCTACTGCAAAATGACTCTCATCAACAAAAGAATTTTATTGAAAGTCTGAGCCTTCTCAAGAGTGCAGTCAATAAGAGAAGAAAGAAGGTATGTGCGCTTTAGTGATATTTTGTGGTTAAGAAAGCGCTTTACTGGTACTAAATACTAATGATAAAGACTGACGGAATAAATATGCAGTGGTTTTTTAACTCGTGAATTGCGCGCATGCGCAAGAGCGAGTTATAGATACGATGTGGGGAATGGCATTCGCTCGCTCGCCCGCTCGCTCGCTCGATTGGTCGATTCCTGTAAACTTTTTTTAGATTTTAGGCTTTTGAGTGCATTTTATAGTTTTTGGCGAGCAATAAACAGACGAAATGGTGACCTTTGTTGCTAAGAATAGTGGTGGGGGGAAAAAGAAGCCAATGATAATCTTAAAAGAGTTTTTTTTTTCGTTTTAGTTTCAACAAGCGGCGCCAGCGACTGGCAGGCATGCAAGGATTCACACTGAAATAACAGAACAACCTTCGTTTTTCATAAAAATTGTAATTTACAATCCTTGAACTTGAAAACAATCCGAAGATTCATTGAAAATATCACTTACTGCGAAGCACTCGGAGTTTACAGATGTTCAAAAGCTTTTTCTGTTACAGCGTGAGATTGAGGACAAAATTGATCATTTCGTTTCGTCGCGTGTATTTTTCCTGTGTGAAGCAACAAAAGATGCCGGCGACTGACGAAATAACAAGTTAACACGAAAATCAGATAACACCTAAACAAACAATTTTAGCTACCGATTTTCAGTGAATTTTTAAAGAACAATTTTCTTTTAAGTTTCAAGACAATTTGAAGATTCAACATACATACAACGTACTAAAATGCGAAAGTTACACACCACAAAATTGATAAATAGGCCTGAAATGAAATTCTATCTTGTTATCGATCATACGTTGCCTAGCACGTGACCTAAATCTACCCAGGCGGAGATCCAAAATGACGGTGGCAGGCTTGGCTTAGTTACATCACTCAAAACTCGTTCCCGTTTGTCTCATTTGATAAAGAGGGAATCGTTAATGTTTTCATTAAGACAGTATTGCCTTGATTTTCTAATATTTACAACGAAAGACAGTAAATTTCACTTTTCACCCACATTTACTTCCAACCTTTTCTTTTGAACCAGAAACAAAAATGATAGACGTTTAAAACACATGACATCATCCACCTTGTCAAATGTAATAGCATGATCATTTCAATTGTAATGCCTTCTTATCCCAACGTTACTTTGTTTCTTTGCTACATTAGCGAACACTGAACTACTGCTCGTACTCTAGATATGACAACCAACCACCAGATAACATTAAACATAATCTAAAAAATCATGTGTCAATTCACGAGTTTGCTCACAGAGCACTTTGATCTATCCGCACATCTAATATTCTTTCTGGCGTCGGTTGAAACACTTGTTTTTCACCACCTGGAATTTTTTTACATTTGTATTGAGAAACCCTCGAAAGTTCCTGCGTAACATGACTAGCTTTGCTCAAGAAAAGAAATCTCACCGGTGAAGCGGAAAATGATCTATAAGCTTGTCAATGTAAGGCGAGAGGACTCGATTAGCAAGTAAAAGAGAGGTGTCTGGTTTCGAACGTAAAATTAATTCAAGTTGATAGTTTAAACGTAAACAAGCGCAAGGATCCGCGCGGCTTGCGCCTTGGCGAGTGCTACGCCAATGTAGGACTCTTCCGAACAACTTTCTCTTTGGAAATAACTACGCAGTCATAGCATGAAGTCCACAACTGTAGAATGATTCAGCGACAAGAGCGGCTTAGCGAAGCCAAAACGTGTCATGACGTTTGAGGATAACCTGTTTACACTGTGTGACGTGACTATCAGGTGACAGTTGTTGTTCCTGGCGTGTTCTATCCGTGACCGACAGATTTATTGGTTTGTGACACAAAGAGCGATTATCTGCTCTGCTACGACAATATCATTGTTAAATTCTGCCAGCTAACCGATATTTTACTCTGATCAGACCTTTGACTCTGAGTTAGCATGAAGGCCGGTGAATGTTGTGCATTAATTCTTACCAAAAGAATACCCTTCCATTCAATCTTGTTTCTAGAGCCTCGATTCTACTGCAAAGAACCGCAATAAAATGATTCTTTTGATAAGAATTTTGGTTCTTAACGAGAGAAAATGCTATTCGTGGAATTAAGAGTGCTCGGCAAGGACTTTGTTTTCGAGAGAGATTTCGAATGCATCATGTTCTGCATGGAGATACAAGAGTATCATTTAACGCTTGAAACAATTGGGTACTGAGATTTTTCGATAATACATTTCTGGCGTCTATAACATAACTAAGGAGCTCTTTAAGTAGAATTATCATTTTTAAACAAACATTTCCCAAACATCAGGTAAGCGCGGGAACTTAGTCCCGCGAAATTTCTGCGCGAGGGTACGAGTGTATTCTGCGGTATCTGCGAAATAGGGTTATCGTTCTTTCTTTTAGCTAAGGACTTAACTGTGTATTGTTTCGCGAGAAAGAAATTCTACTCGCTGGCCTGACCAATTTGACGCTACTGTAATTTAAGGTTGTATGCCTGATGATCTCTGTCTTGAGCTACATGATGACGCGCGATAAATCTCGCTGCTTGGTAACGTGAGCCGAAATTGATAATGCCTAAACCATTTTATCAGCAAAGTAAGGTTTACCTTTGCTTCTGTGCCTTCGAAGCAAGAAAAAGAATTTTTTTGTGGTGATTTGATGGCGGTTGCTTAAAATCACACGGTGTATCATTCAACCGTTGGAACCTAACATGAGCAAGATGAACTAATTATGGAAAGAATCCTGACATCACAGCTTATATATTACTTCCCTGTAACATGACGGGCTCTTGGTAGGTTAGTGTGTTTTCTAACTAATTGTACTGCATTATTTCGCAGTCTCAAAGGCACAATCCTAAATATGCTCTCGTTCTTTTGTTATTGCTTACCCACTCTCTTGGGTACTTAGTCCTCAATTGCCTGTCTCATCTTAGTATACCTATATTTTTTTCTTCCGGTTTAGTTACCCGGTTCATCTGGTTCTGTCTCTCTTAAGTGGTCAGTCCTATTTGGACTGTTGTCATCTGAAGGCAGAACATTTCCTTTGTTTTTCCACTTGGTTCTGTCTCTCTAGAGTGGTGAGTTTCATTTGGGCTGTTGTTATCTGAAGGTACAACCTTTGGTTTTTTTCCTCCTGGCTCTGTCTCTCTTGAGTAGTCAGTCCTATTTGGGCTGTGGTCATCTGAAGGCAGAACATATCCTTTTTTTCCACCTGGCTCTGTCTCTCTTGAGTAGTCAGTCCTATTTGGGCTGTTGTTATCTGAAGGCAAAACCTTTTTTTTCTGTTAGCTCTGTCTCTTGGGTAGTCAGTCCTATTTGGACTGTTATTATCTGAAGGCAGAACCTTCACTTTTTTTCACCAGGCGTTGCTTCTCTTGGGTAGTCAGTCCTATTTGGGCTGTTGTTATCTGAAGGCAGAACCTTTCTTTTTACTTTCACCAGGCTCTGTCTCTCTCGGATAATTGGTCCTATTTGGGCTGTTGTTATCTAAGGGTAAAACCTTTCCTTTTTTTTACCTGGTACTGTATCAATTGGGTAGTCAGTCCTATTTGGGCTGTTTTTATCTGAAGGCAGAACCTTTCTCTTTTTTTTTTCACCCAGCTCTGTTTCTCTTGGGTAGTCAGGTCTATTTGGACTGTTGTTATCTGAAAGTAGAGCCTTTCCTTTTTTTTTCTCCTGGCTCTGCCTCCCCCGGGTAGTCAGTCCTATTTGGGCTGTTTTTATCTGAAGGCAGAACCTTCCTGTATTTTCTCTCCTGTTTCTGTCTCTCTTGTGTAGTCAGTCCTATTTGGGCTGTTGTTATCTGAAGGCAGAACATTCCTTTTTTTCCTCTGGCTCTGTCTCTCTTTGGCAGTCAGTCCTAATTGGGCTGTTGTTATCTGAAAGCAGAACTTTCCCTTTTTTTCTCCTGGCTCTTTCCTTTGGTAGTAAGTCCTATTTGGACTGTTTTTATCTGAAGGCAGAACCTTCCTGTATTTTCTCTCCTGTTTCTGTCTCTTTTGGGTAGTCAGTCCTATTTAGGCTATTGTTATCTGAAAGCAGAACTTTCCCTTTTTTTCTCCTGGTTCTGTCTTTTGGGTAGTCAGTCCTATTTGGACCGTTTTTATCTGAAGGCAGAACCTTTCCTTTTTTTTCTCCTGGCTCTGTCTCTCTTGGGTTGTCAGTCCTATTTGGGCTGTTGTTATCTGAGGGTAGAACCTATCCCTTTTTTATCAGCTTTTGTCTCTCTTGGGGAGATGGTTCATTCTAGACTGTGCGTTTTGTCTAATGACAAACTAATTTTGAGTATGAATCTCGACATAATGAAATTTACTTGTCTTGATTGTACATTTTTTTTCCTTTACAGATTTAATTTAATATTAACCATGAAAAACCGTGATGCCACGTTTCTATAATGAAAAATTAGTTCTCCTGTTGCGACAACCAACCAACTCGAACTGAATCAACACCATATAGTAAGTGCACGTTCGGTTGACAGACTTTCTTGGCTTTTTTTCTTGGCGGTGTCTGCCCTCAAATCTCGTGGATGTTTCATTTAAAGAATAAATTACCTATGAGTTAAATATACCTCTTCTCGTAACGTATTCCATTGCATTTACATTTCCAACTCTACTCTCAACTATGATAACTTCCCTTGCTTAAAAATCAACTTGAGATACCAGATGTAAAATCGATCATAGATTGTTAAAGAGTTTTGTGAGTAAAGAGCTTTTTCTTCTAGTTTTCGTTTGTTTTCTCGCAGCCTAATACATGTAGTTAGCTGTGTTCGCAGTGGAGCGTTAGGAAACCCCGGCGGGAAAAGACTTCTAAGATTTTATTCCTTTAATGATCGCTTTAAAATACATTACTTCCCTAGTATTTGCCAATTATGTGCTGCTGGCGAAGGGTGCAAAAAACTCCCTTATATATTTCTCTACAGGCAAATATTATCGGGGGAAAAAACAAAGCTTGAGTTTTGCTGCGCTATGTGATCCATGAGTGTTCTCATCGTGGTTATAGTTTGCTGTTGTTTAAGGTGTTGTCTTCCAGAGTGAACATGCCGTCACCACATTTTTGTTAGCGTTTAAAAGTCGAAAAATACATGGTTTTGGTGAAAAACTTCATCCTTTTCAAATCTTAACAGCTGTCGAGTTTTATGTACCAATAGAATAGGTCAGCAAATTTTACGTCGGCGTCGATCCCTTATTATCCTTATTATCCTACAAAAAGGAAATTTCGATCATTGAGTTAAACTGTAAAATTTCTTTGGCTTACGTGAGTTGTTAGCTCCACGTTAGGGTTTAACCTTGAAAAATGCAAGGGCACGTGTACCTATCTGGAAAACATTCGTATTATGACAAGAAAGGTCAGCTGCAAGGTTTTGGGTTACTCTCGCCATGCAATTTAGACGCCGAAAAGTGCTAAAAAAATAATTACCGAAAATTCATCCGTAATACCTCGGTCGTAGTGTGGGCGCGAACTCATAAATGTTTTTGGTGGGCAAAGCTCGTCGTGAAGCACGATATAGTTCTGAAACTGAACTGTTTCACGGTCCCACGGGTTGCTTAGCTTCTCTACACTTTAATAAATGATTCAGTTGAGCAATTGGTATCGTTATTTAGACCATCAATGAGAGAAAAAGACTCGAATTAGAGTTTGCATGTACTCCAGGATTACGAAAGTCACTCTCAAAAAAAGTAACTAAGCTTGCATTACAACGGAATTAAATGGCGGTGTTTTCTAGCTCCGGAGGAAAGTGTATATTGATTTCTGCACGCGGCCATTTCTTACAAATATCAGAAATGACCCCTTATCACTTTGTCAACAATTTCCAAATTATGAACACCCAAAACTGACTTGTGAGATGGAGATTGATCTCTTTAATCTCTTCTTTCCCTATTGGGTGATATCGGACGTCTCTGGCTCTTGATCTCATCCACCCACCCTAGAGACTAGACTAGAATGTCTAACCATTTGCAGATGTAATTACAAAGGCAGCACATTCTCCTCAGTTATTTTAAGACCCTGAGTGATTGGTCCGGTCTGGGGCTCGAACCCTCGACCTCCCGCATAGCAGACTGGCGCCCTATCAACTGAGCTAACCAGGCGGCGGTATAATGTTTAAGTTTGGAGCTCGCCGACCAAACGTTAAATCTGTGAGTTGAAATGTTATTCTATGTGGGGTGAAATGGTGATTCATGTTCCATACCGATAAGATTTCCTCTTGTTAAGCAGGTGATATTTGAAGTTTTTTGATGTATGTTCTTTGGATTCCGTTGCGCATTAACGGGTTGGAAATTGTGAAAGAGAAAGCATTAGCTTTTAGTGTTTGCCTGCAAACTTTACTCCCCTGTTAAGAAATTTCATTACATCAAGGCATTCTTACAAAGCTTCACTGAGTGGGAACCTTTGTCTGTTACTGAAGTACTCGATATTCCGGCAGAACAAGTTGAGTTTTTCTGTCTCAAGGCTGAACGCGTATCCATCATGCATCAGGTCCCGAATGTTTAAAAAGCGGTTAGCGTTTATCCAGATTTAAACTTTTAACTTGTTATTAGTTGCCCTTGAAATAAAGTTTGCATTAGGGCCTAAGTTTGTGGGGTTTTACCTTAGTGTGACCCAAAAGTGAAGGGAAAAAATCCAATTTACATTGTCTGCAAAGCTACAAAAACTAAACTACAAATTGTTGGCTAACCCTCGGTTAGCTTAATCGTACTAAGAACAATCCGGCCCGGGTTAATAAACTTTTCTCCTTACATAGAGAATTTTCTCTAAGAAATCTCCCACCGATAGAAAAAAATTCATCTCTCTTAATGCTCTGAGACGTAAAAGCCCAATCAGCATCATTCTTGTTCTGATAAACTAATACGTATATCTGTATGTGTACTTGTAGTTTGTTTCAAGTCCAAGATGTCAAGCTATCCTCGATGAGATTATCTTTTACGAGATGCGGGATTGGCAGGACAAGAGCATGGCAAAGAAATTTTTTCGATGCCTTTGCCAGTTTTTCGTCGTCTTACTTGTTACTCCTTTGTTTTACGTTTTCATTCGACCACCCATGAAGATATGGCGCAGTCTGAGTGATATCGAATGCCTTGCGTACGTAGAGAAGTTCTATGAGTATCCCTACAATAAGTTTGCAAACCACACCATGTTTTACATTGTATTCCTGTGCCTGCTTTTCGCCTCAACTTTCACCTTTGAAAACGAGTACAGAACAAGCACAACAGGGCTTGCATCCATTGGTAAGTTGTGCAGATTGATTCTTTACCACTTTGAGTGTATTAGCTAAGAGCAACGGCTGATTCTGCTGATACCGTTTAATTTCGTAATGCATAATCCTGAATTAGCTGGCTAGACTAACGGGAGAAGGGGGTGGAGGGGTGGAGTAGAGGTGGGGCACTTACCTCCAACTACTCTTTGGGTTAAAAATGTTGTCTATTTCTTTATTTCGTGATGCATAATCCTGAATTGGGTGGTTAAACTAACGGGAGGGGGTGGAGTAGAGGGGGGATACTTACTTTCAACCACTCTTTGGGTAAAAAATGTTGTCTTTATCAGTAGTAACCTCAAACTGCAAGGTTCTGAAAAGGTAAACTAGTGCGACATTAAAGGAATTTAATCAACATCTCGTTAGCGTGAAGCATTAACAGTATTAAATATTTCAAAAAATAATGAAACATCGTCTCCAATTCATTTCGGCAGAGTCAGTTGCAGTTCTGATTTGTTCACAGATTACGCTGTCCTTGTTTTTTTCGTCGGTTTCCTTCTACAAGAAATTTGGGAAGTTTGTCAACAAGGATTCTGCATCTATATCTCGAAATGGTGGAATGTCGTGGACGCAATTACACTTTTCACACTCCTGGCAGCTTATACAGTATGGCTCGTCACATGGCTAAGCGTTTATAAAGAATGGGAACCGAGGAAGAATGCCTTCATTGTGGCAGATGTCTTGTATGCAAGCGCCACAGTGTTAGCGTTCTTTCACCTGGCTCACGCATTTCAAGTCAGCTCAACTCTTGGCCCTTTGCAGCTTTCATTGTACAGAATGCTGAAAGATGTGGCCAAGTTTCTTTTCATTTTTCTGATGCTTTTCATTGCATTTGCAACCGGCCTCATAAAAATTTATTCATGCTATGTGGTCTCTCAAGTGAAACTTCGTGAAGAGGGCGAGAGCAAATTCCAGGACTTCCATCCATATGCTGAGTAGGTGGATACTATTGCGATATTTATATAAGAGAGTGGGCGCCCATAAGCAAACATACAATATTTCATCTATAATTATATAGAAAAATATTGCTAAAAGAAATTTAAAGTGCTTTAATTGATTTGATGAATGGACGGACGAAGAAAGACTTATGCCCATGTAATCGGACAGATAGACAAACATCAGGGCCCAGTTGTTTAAAGGTCAGATAACGCTATCCAACGGATAAATTACTATCCAGTGGATAAGTAATAGCAAAATGTATAGCGTCAACCACCGTATAGAGTTTTATCCAGTGCATAGCGTTATCCCTATCTAGCTGACCAGTGAAAAAGATATCTCATATTTTCATCATTCGAAACTTTTCAGGCACGAGATCACTTTTATTAGCTTCGTCTGGTCACTGGTTGGCTACGTGGAAGAAGACAAACTAAGGGTTGATGATCCTGCCTTTTAGCTTACACAACTATTTGGTCGCTTGGGTTTCCTCATCTACCTGGTTTGTACCGTTATCGTTGCTTTCAACATGCTGAGCGTTATGATGAGTAACTCCTTCGGCAAAGTTATGGTAGGTCTCAAATTGTGGTTTGTGACAGATTTTGACTCGATATAATAGTTCCGAGAATGATGTTTGCTAGTTGGCTTTTTACTCAGTGACATAAACCACGTTGATTACCACACTATCATCATGATTGATCCGTAGCATGACGACTCATATGAACTCGAGGGAATTCAGTCAACCTTCGCATAAAATCACTAAATTCCTCTTATTACTGAGTATACCTACCTAGTCAGTCGATCACGGATAAGCTTAAACTCTTTCCAAACCTTGGGGGAAATTTATGTGAGTTATTACATGTGATAGATTTTAACTTAGAAAATGAACTTTGGTTTTTAGGATGATGAGGACAAAGAGTGGAAGTTTTCAAGGGCTCAAATGTGGTTAGAATATATCGACAAAGGAAATGCAATACCAGTACCTTTTAACCTTCTGTATTATATCTTTTATTTCTGCTTTTTCCTTATATTCCTAGTTTACTGGATGGTAAGGGGAGACTGCAGATGCAATTGTAATAAGAAGGTAAATGTTAGCAATTGCTATTTTGTCTTTGGAATACTTGCAAAATCCTTTTAGTGAGATCTTGCTTGTACTTTCATCATGATTCTGAGGAAAAAGGGCTCGGAGAAATCAATTCCGTTTGCTTCATTCAGTAGAAAAAGGGGAAAACTAGAGACAAATCACAAAACTTGTGTTTTAATTTTAGGCAAACGATTTAATGTTAAAAAAAGAAAGCTGTTTTGAACCTTCTCGGTTACAACACCAATTAATATTTTTAAGTCATTTCCTCTTTATTTTTTCGTCAGACCTCGGGCTATAGTTTCGCCTCCTGTATTTGTCATGGATGTTCCTGTTATTGGAAACCTGAAATCGAATACAGCCGAGGAGAGGTTTGTTATTGTTGATTAATTACTTCAGTAAATGGATCATTTTGTCGTACCACATATGCGTATAACTGACAACACTTACCTGATGAACTAAGGGCAACAGATCCAGGCTGCAAGAAAAATAGATCATGCGTCTTATATGTATAGATAAACGTCTCAAATTAGCCTTACAATTCACGATTGCGCTCCGCAATCAAAATTGAGTTTGCCAAACCGGCTGCTGTAAAAAGGGAAAAGAGAAAGGTGAAGACAAACACCTTTTCAGCGATTTGGGATCATTTACAATTGAAATATCACAGATGCAGATATTCCAATAGTTGTTGGAAGCAGTTCATTGCTAAGTTTAGTATTTATTATAATACTAAATTGGTACTGTTTCTTCTTTATAAGGAACGCGGGAAAGCTATAGCATCATCTCTTGAGAAGTATCTGAAACAGATGACGACCCCTCAGCACGGAGGACTTTAAAGAAGTCACTTGTTGATGAAAGAGATGACCGAAATCGAAAGAGGGTTGCGTAAACCCATTTACAGGAACTGTAAGCCGTTTTGATGATGTGTAAGATTTTTGTTTTTATTGCAAGAAAATTTAAGACCAGCCCACAATTTTAAGTGCGGGTAGGAAACGGAATTTATCGTAGTTAGTTTAATGTAATTTTTGGGGGGAACTAACGAACTCGTACTCGTGTTAAGAAAGGACGAATTCTTCAGATTTCTGGTCTATGTTTGCTAATGTATATATCCATTATAACCGCTTTGGCTGCTGTTTTCCCCATATTCACTCGTCTTTATATCAATTGCTTCATTTGTGCTGCCATGCAGCGGTAATGTATGATTATTCTTTTTATCTTTGACTTCTGAATAGTAGTAGTTACTCAGTATGATAAAGTGGCGTTCTCCTGATTTGGTTTCCTTTGCCCCTGTCCTCCGCCTACCAGATCGGGCACGCTTCCCCCCCTCCCTCCTTTCAGGTAGAACTACCAACTTTCAGGAAGGTTACTACCCAGAGCAAGAGTTCGCATCTATGTAACAAGATTTGTTTGGGCGTGGTTAATGTTAACGTAGTTTTAATATGTGTTTGTATGAATCACATCGAGTAGTCACATAACTCGCCAATCCGAGACCTCACTTCTTTTGAAGCAGATGAGTTCTACTTAGTTTCCTTGGGTTTTGGTGTGAAAATTCACCTATCTTTCTTTGTTATTGTTACTTCCTTGTTTCTTAGAGTTTCTTTTATTTTGCCCTCGTTCCTTTTTGCAGTTGTAGGTACCCATACCTCCCCTCCCTCCCCCCCCCCTTAAAAAAAATCACTGGAGGATCCTCTGCGTTATGGGGTTCACTTAAATAATAAGCTTATCAAGTATTTTGGTGGAGTCTTAGTTGTGTAAGATAAACTTGATTTGACTTATTTTTAATTTTCAACTTTGTATATTTTTATCTTTTTACAACTGTGTTTATCCTAATAGCTTACCCATTGTATCATTTTATTCTATATTTTTGACACTCAGTTGTGTATTAAACCTTTAACTCCTAAGATCTCATTACCAATTCTCCTTAATGTCTGCCGAAGATTCTCATTATGTTAGTTTGGAGAATTTGGTATCAGATCAATTAATAATCCAATAATATATTTTTTTCCTTTATTCTCATCACTTGTCTGCATGATATTGTATAGATAGAGTAAGGAGAAATTCTGTCTTGGTCACTCACGGGAGTTAAAGGTTTAAACTTTACCCAAAGTGTTCCTTAACATGGGGAAAACCACTTAAGACTGTAGAATACGGAGTCTCTACTACTATCTTTGACAGTGAGGACTAACAGACGGTTCGTTCCGCGCATAATAAGTGTTAATGTTAATCTAACAAATCCATAACGATTTTTAAATCGGCAGAGGGGTAGTAAATAGCCACACGAGCGCGTATAAGGAAATATAACTCATTAACTATTGGGAGACCAGTCCAAGAAAATCTCAGTTATGGGGATCACTTAAATAGTAATCTTATCAAGTATTTTAGTTGAGTCTTAATTGTGTAAGATAAACTTGATTTCACCTATTTTTTATTCTCAACTTTGTATATTTATCCTTTATAATTGCGTTTATCCCTATAGCTTACCCATTGTATCATTGTAGTTTATGTTTTTGACACTCAGTTTTGTATTAACTCATAGCCAAAGTGTTCCGAGCACAATGTGTGTTGATGTTAATCTAGCACATTAATAATGATTTTTAAATTGGCAGAGGGGAAGTAAATAACCACACAAGTGCGTTATGAAATATAACTCATTAATTATTGGGAGACCAGTCCCAGAAAATCTCAGTAAATAGTTATCTTGAAAGAATAATTGTTATTATTCTGATGTAGTTTATTACGTCTGAGTTATTTGTTCTACTCTATCTTCATTTATATTCTGTTCCCTTCTCTGTAATCATGAATTTAAGATGAACGTGAAGGGTGGTGAAGGCCTCTAATCCTTGCTCCATAGCTTCTGGTTGACAATATATGAGAAGAAACAATTGGAAAGCTGTGACAAAATGGTCAGTAGAGCAACAGTCAGTGCCATTATCACTTCACTAATGTGTCCATCATTTTATTAAGTTTGGCAAGCTCCTTCGCCTGACGATCAACCAATCGTCTAAGTAACTTAATGTTTTCCTCAATGAACTGGGAGCTCTCTTTTTTCCCGCTTTCCCACTTTTTGTCATCCGTTGTCTTATCTCCACTTAAGTTGTCTTCCTCGCATTTTTCAAAGTAGCGGCCCCTTAGATATTTCATCACCAATTCCTTCATCGTTTCTTTTCGTCTCTGGGATGACATAATAAGATCAAAGACATTATTCATCATCATTTTCTCTCACTCTCTTTATCATGATACTCTATCGATTTCATTTAGGAGCATTTGTTGCAATTGTTTTCGCATGCTACAAGGCTCGCTGGATCAATTCTCTCGTTGTTACATGAAAAACACGTCAAAGTTTTACTCTAAGCTTACATGTACCTCTTTTCTGGCGGTAATCTCGTCTCTCTGAAAAAAAAATTAAGAGTTGCATTTCATTACCATTACAAATATTATTACATATCAAGGAAGTTAGACCTTGATTTTGGGTTTTGACAGAATTTCTCATTTATCAGTCCTGCATACCTCTCTTTGCGCCTGCACTTCGTCTAGTTCCTTTAACAAAGAGATGAAATTTAAGAAATGAGAATGAATCAACGCCTTAATTTCACGGTCTTATCGTAAATGCTAGTTTAGCGATCAGTGCATTACTTCAATTATCTACATTCCCATCTTAAATGAAATGTACGGTTTTGGTGGAGTTTGAGAGACGCATTTTTCCCGGCTAATATAGAAAGACTTAGAAACAACAGGTGATAAGAAAAGTCAATACCCTCCTAGTGATCTACAAAAAATAAAACTTCTTCTCTTCCTTACCCCATTACCACGACGACAACAGCATTTTTCTCTGAATTTCCCAGAAACTTTGTCAGCAAATAGAATACTCCCATACAAGGTGTAATAGACCATGTTGATGGGTGCCGGCATCGTGTTGCCTTTGTCAATCCATTCCAGCCACATTCGGGATCTTGAGTATTTCCACTCAATTTCGGAGTTTTTCTAAAATTGAATTGTGAAGAAGAAATCAAGAAGTTGAGAAGGTTTTTCAGTAGCGGGGGTTGCTCGTTTCAAAAAAACAACGCAGTTAGGAATTTATTCGATGGACTAAAACTTTCTTGAATATGGGTCAAATCTGACTGACTTGCGGCAATGGTATTTATTTTGGGTGTATACTCACCATGATTCTCTCGAACGAATTATTCATCATGGCGATCAGCATGTTCAAAGCCACTATTACAGTGCAAATCACGTAAGCCATCAGGAAAAGACGACCAAATGTGGCGGTGAGAGCAAACACTGGGTCTTTTACCTCAATTTTGTCTTCTTCTACGAGGCCAAGCAGCAACCAGAATAACGCTATAAACGCGCTCTTGTGACTGAGAAGCAAAAGATATCAGCATATTATAAATAGTCAGACGCAAGAATGAAATTTTCGCATTCCTCTAAACAACTTCTAACTTTTGTGTTTCCGAACGAAAATCACCGAGCTTAAGTAGCCTTCTTCGATGCCAATGTCCATGTTTCAGATTAAAGCTTTGTTTCAAGGTGGCCTATAGTCGTGTTTTTGTTCGGCTTAATTATGTACATGTATAAACAACAACTTCAATTAGGAAATGCGACATGAAGTAACTCTATGTTAGCACACATACAATGCAGACATGTGAAATGGGTGCTGGCTTTGCAAAGGGCCGAGCGCTCCACTGTTTCTCGAGCTTCTGCATTATCAGCTGAAAGGCTACTCAGTAAGTTCATCTCTCAGTAGTCGATGAAATTCAGAACGAGTTTATCACCATTGACTCGCCGTTCGTTTGCTTTCGGGAAATGCTGAAGCCATAAGTTTATTAGTTATACCTAATTTGCAATAAAAAAAACACCTTACGGAGAAGCTTTCTTATCTCAAAAATATATTATACTTAATGTTGGACGTTATTGGATAAAGATATTTCTTATTAAAGCTCTCTTACTCCGCGTACGGATGGGATTCCTCATTCTCAGTGTGGTTCCATTTTCTCTGCAGTTCAGTTTTCGAGCTTTCATAGTAAGAGTAGACTTTTACGACGCCATTAGTAAACGAGAAATACAGCACAAGGAAGATAAAGAGGAATCTTTGCACATCTTTGAGCATTTTGTAAAGTGACAGCTGTAGAGGGCCAAGTATCGAATCAACCTGAAATATATGCGTCAGGTGAAAATATGCCATAACGGATGCACTTGCGTACAACACATCGGCTAGAACAAACGCTGCTTCCTCAGGTTTCCATTTTCTAAAGTACAGACAGGAGAGCAACCACACAGCGAAGGACGCCAGAAAAGTCAAGATGATCAGCGTGTCTACGACATTCCACCACTTTGATATATAAATGTAAATTCCTTGTCTGCGAGCTTCGAGAAATTCCTGTAGAAGTAAGCCAAGAACAAACGAAAGCACCACATAGTCTGTGAAGAAAATTTACAGTTGTTTAGCACAACAGCACACGCGCGTCAAGCATTGATTGATATACGTCGTCTTCATACAATTCAAAATAAGTTGTAAATGTACTTTTGCTCTGGCAAATTCAAAATGAAAACTGTGTTTTTCTGGGCGTTTTGGAGGCTAACCATAGAGAGAAGGAAAACATGACTTTGAAATGTTAGACTGTAAAAGGGTGATATTCTACACAAGTAATAGATATGTAATAATAGGTTGACCTGTATACTTGTTTTTCGCTAATTTTTCTTTCTTTACATCAGCTATTTAATCTTAATTCAAATCGTAAGGTTGAAACCCAAACTGCTTAAAATTTTTAAGTGTAGTACACTGGAAATAAATGATGACTGCGGGCTATCAAACGAACAAAAAAAAGCCAAGTCGATGTGAGTGAAAATTAAATTTATGACACTTACCACACCATATCAGCCCAGTCGGTGAAGTTTCAAACTTGTCGTCAAAGGAGGTCAAGAATATCATTGAGAGAAACACCAGATACCACATCGTGTGGTTAATAAACTTGGAATAGGGATGCTCATAAAGCTCTCTGAATTCCCAAATCTTCTCATTGTTACAGCAACGATAAAATTTACGAACCAACCGTATCGGTATGTAGAAGACGCTCGATACTGCTACAAGCAGTAGTTGGAAGAAGAACCAAGCCAGTTTGGTCAGTCTGCTTTTATCCCGCCAACCAGGCCATTCATAGTATATAATCTCGTTAAGAATCCACTGACATTTTGGGCTTGCTACAAACTGCGAATTGAAAAGGAAAAGATTGTTTTGATAAATTTGTAATTTCTTGATTTCTAACATATAAGTCCTAAATTATTTGCAACCACTAATTTACGCCTACCCTTTTCGTTTTTTTCACGTATCATTAATGCACCGTTATTTTGGCATTTTATGTAAATTACGCCACCCTTCACATTTCATGTGTCACGCACTTCCCGTGTACTTTATTTTTGCTACGATATGAACCTTTTTCCTTCGAGTGTTTCATGATTCGCATATTACCTCAGAATTTGGTAAGTTTTTGTCCCGACATATCTTTGTATTTATTTTTCTCGCCTTATTTGTTACTATATTTTTGCAAAGGTCGTTTTTTCTGTTTCATAGGAGTTTACTTCTTCACGTTCATATTAAGAGGGTTGGTAAATCGAATGGTGAGTAAACTTGTTTAATTTAAGCGGGCGCTTGCCTCTTTAAAGACTTAGGAAAACATTGTTGGACACCAAGGTTGGGGCCACTGATTTGTCAATGACCAGCCCAATTTTTTCTTAAGTCTTTGAAGAGGCAGGGTCCTGCTTCAATAAACACTTTTACTCACCATTCAATTTAATAATATATTTCACTATCTTAGTTATCACATTGGCAAACCTTTTTTTTATTTGACTCAGCGGCTTAGTCTTTGTTTTTAAACACAGTGACAAGAGTTTTATTTTTTTTAAGTGTACTACCCATACTTTCCTGGAATAAAAGGGTGAATAACATAATTTTTTGACGTAAATAATGTCAAGATTTCACTATGATTTTATATCCCAAGCAATACTTCAGTTTCATACCGCTCTTTATTTTCACGGGGTCCAAATTACGACAAAAGCAACGAAATACACGTCATATTGTCATCTTACTCTAAATGGAAAAACACTTGGCATTGCCATCTAGATTATGCTTCACACGTGCTTTTCATGAACAGCCACACGAAATGATATAAATCAGTTAATAACAACCTAGCTAAAAGAGATTGATTGTACGTGTACCATCCAGCATCCCCAGTTTTCATTTGGCTAGTCTTAGATCAGCGATTTCGTGATCACTAAATAAATGCTCTGCTGAATATTAATTCAAATGACTGTTTGTTTTACCCGATTGAAGATTGAAATGTTTGCAATACACTTTCCGAGAAAAATGAAAGAGTCCAGTCCATTCGATTCAATAGTGTATATTATTTCAAAGGCGGAAATCACGGAACATTTTTTGTTGTAGCAATTTTAAAATTTCTTCTTAAGTAAGTGGTTTTAATTATTCATGGTAATTTAGATTGGAATTGAAAACTCGGTGTTAATGCTTGACGCTCAAGTTATTCCATAGTGAATCTGTGGGTTTGATATGCTTTTTAAGCTGTCATACTTTATGAACCAGTGAATAAGTTTTAGCCATATAACTTAGGTTACCTTAAACGTGTAAAAAAAATAAAATAAATGATTTACAAACCATCTTTCTGTTTTTTGTCGGCAGCAAACTTGAGAAGAATCAGGCTCGTGTTTAAATTCTTAGGTTTCTTCGCCATTAAACAGCCATTACCATCGGTATCCATTATCTCCTGAAGTTGGCTGAAGTTACATCCTTCAACAACATCAGCCGCAAATTTCTCACACTCCAATGCTCGCTTGTAGTACTCATCCCGACTGTAATGATGCTCGTACCGAGCAATTTTTTCCAGCAGGTATGCATCATCCAAAGCAGCCTCGATGATGTCTTCAAGCTTACTTTCTCTCCGCTTCGGGTATTGGATAGCGGTGGATGTCAGCTGTGAATTATTTCTCCATAGCCATTCCAAACCAATGTAGAGTGGATCAGAAAGTATACGTATCCACTGTTGTTCTTCTTCGTGTTGAAATTCAGTTTGTGGTGGCCTGCTTTCTCGGAATATACAAGCGGAAGTATCACGTCCTCTAGCAGATCTGATTTGGCCGCGTAGCTTTCCCCAAAGATACTTGATCAGCCCTTTCTCTTTCAGGCACTCATTTTCTGCGACAGTTTCGCATGTCTTGTTTAGGTTTTCTATCGTCTTGAGCTCCGACTCTTTAGCTCTTGCTATTAATTTCCAAACTGTGACAGCATCTTCGTCTTCGAGGGCTTTCGTAAGTTGTCGCTTGTGAGACACACATGTTGGATCTTCGTCTCGACTATCCCTGCACTCGTCTGAATTCGCTTGCCGTAAAAATCGCTCCACATCGTCCTTTGTACCCCTCGAAATTGCATCAAGAAAATCTTCGTAAACATTTGAGCCGCCTTCTGGTTGTTCGTCGATTGCCGCGTCAACGTGTGCGGCCATCTGATGATTTTTGCTTGTAGAGAAATTAGAAGAGTTGTGAAAATAAGTGTTCTAATTGTTCATTTTAGGGAATAGGAGAAAATTTTAGTGCTTTCCTACATGAAGACGATTGACAGTGCGATTTTTCCAGATAGGACAGTGGACAGGAACAGATTCTTTATCCTTATCGGTGGAAAGTGAAGCTGTCAATCCAAATCATACTCAAGTGACGAGCAGACGACAATAGAACGTAAAATGGGGTTTTCGTGCGTGAGGTGTAGTCACACCAAAGTTGAAGTCACGCAGCTCAATAAAGAAATATTCCATTGTTAGACGCAGCTGTTATACGTGAAATGCCTTTTAAAATCAACCTTACGCTAACCGTGCTGAAGAATATATGTTTCATCAAGTGGATCTTACTTCTTAGTCGGGAAAAATTACATTAAGATCTTTCTAAGAAATAGCGGAAGTCAATCGAAGCTTTGTATGAGCCCCAGAAAGCGAATCAATCGCATTATTCGCGTTAAGTTACGGTGTTTCTTTCAGATTCGCGACAACTGTTGAGGGCAAGAATGTCTACCTAGTGTTATCTTCTCAGCTACCTTTGCGGACCAAAATTCGATGCGGATGATGGCTAATTCGAACTTCCGACTCAGAAGCATAACTATTCGAGTAAAGTTTTCAGATTCCCATATCCATTCTGTTTATTGCGCAATTTATGCTGTCTGTATCTATGCTGTTGTAATATTAATGAGTGTTTTCACTTTTGAGCCAATAACGGAAGGAACATATAAATGGAACGTATATTTAAATAATTTTCGATTCGTTTCTGGCCATGCACATAGATAAGTGCACGTTACTACAGATTTACATAAAGGCACTAAGGAATCGACAACAACTCTTGTCACGCAGTCAGGTACATCCGGGAACTGCCACTAGTTCTGATGCCGTCACGGAAACTTGACTTGAAGTTGAAATTGCTAACTATTGTCTTAGTGCTTAGGAAAACAATTTAATTTTTAGGAAAACAACTTCCAACGCTCCATGCTACAGTTGATTCGATGCAAAAGACCCAAGTCCGCCAGCGCTTATAGGTTATTGCATTAACCCTGAACTCCTATAAGCATAATTGCTCCTTACAAAATCAACACAATATCAAAAAGAACAATTATGAGACTAAAGAAAAATTATCAACAATTAGATTATCGGTTGATTTAATACCAAATTCTCCAAAGTTACATTATACGAAATGTATGACAGACGATAAGGAGAATTACTATTGAGATCTTGGGAGTAAAAGATTAAAAAATCTCTAATATTTTCTAATAAAATTTCATAATCACTTGTAGTCGAGGAAGCATTTCCCCCAATTGGTAAAGTGCCGAACGATTACCTGCGGAAAAAGCTTGATAATATCATATTAGTCTACAATATTCTAACAACGTATGGAGAAAGTATAATATTATGCTAAAAATAAATGGTCCACATGTAGATATAAAGACACAACTGCCCTATATCGTCGTCAGTAGTTTAGTCTCTACAAAAATTAAATAATTTCTATTCTATTTGTAACCTAAACATGCCATATCTTTGTAACTGTCATTCAAAAACTGATATGTTAGGTGCTTGAATTCTGATAACTAATTGTTGGTAACACCAAATATAGATATTTTAACTGTCTGACCGGCTAAAAATGAAGACTAACCTTAAGCAATATATTTCTTCTCTGGAGAATGTTTAAAATCATCATCAATTAATTTCGCTCATGCACGATTTGTTGCTAAAATATTACGGTGCTCAAAAATCCTCGGATAAAACAGAGAAAAACGCACAATAGCCTCTATTTGGCTCAAAATATACTCCGCTACTTATATTCGTAGACATTATCTGATTGCGGAATGCGAACGGTTTTCCGACATCGCAATTTCACACAAATTCTGACAATTGGGAAATATTATCTAAGAAATATCACCGGTTTTAATCCATCACATACGTTCGCGCACACGCGATCGTTTTTAATACGTGCATGACGTGACCGAAAATGTTCCAATGCGATGGAAGTCTTTCTTTAAAATTGACGTTATCTGTTCCTCGAAGCTCACATGTATTCTCTAGTATCGCTCTCCTGAACTGCTCGCTACTCACATCAGATAATGTCCGCGGACAAATATCCGGGCACCAGATGAATGCTAGTGTATATCTAAATCCAGAGACTTCAGTATTGACCTGTTTAAGAACGAAAACCGAGGAAAAGGACTGCGTTTAAGGGCGCGTTGCTCCTGTTTTTACCATGGGCTCCTTCCATTTATCTTCGTAGCGATCAATAAGATACTCCACAACTAATCCGTTCATTACCTTCATGCGTGCCTGAAACAAAGAGATACTCACAAGTCAGAATACGGTCGAAAAATATTGGGCAGAAGTTAAGGTGTCTAAGATTTTCTTTCTCAAATCAATCCTTTTGAGACATTTAACTCGCCTGTCGATCATTTTCATCTCTTTTCTCATCCTTTAAAAGTATCAGTTAAGCATTCAGAAAATGTAAAGTGAAATGTCGTATGTAGCAGTAACAGTATCTCAATACATTCGCAACAGGATATTTGGCTAACCTTTCTTTTATTTCCGTCTCCTCCCCTCACCTAAAGAAGAGGAAAATTTCGTGCAGTCAAAAATGTAAAGTGAAGTGCTGCATACAATAGTAACGAAGAAACGAGGAACAAGCCTTAAACCTTTACCTCCCATGAGTGACCAAGAAAGAATTTCTCCTTAAAATACCAATACAAAATCAAGCATAGAAGTGATGAGAATAAAGTAAAATATCAATTAGGGGATTATTAGTTGATCCAATACCAAGTTCTCCAAATTGACATCATAAGAATTGTATGTCAGACAGTAAAGAGAATTACTAATGAGATCTTAAGAATTATAGAGTTAATTTGAGCCATGTAATTTGGTTTACTGTCTCAATACGCTCTAGAGGAGACATTTGGCTAAATTTTTCACCGTTTTTACCTCTCTTCGCCGCCATAGAAAATGAAATAGCAAGTAATCAGGAAATGTAAAGGAAATGTAGAGGAAATGTGAAGCGTTTCAGGTTTATAGTCTCAATACATTCACATTTGGCTAACCTGGCCACCCTGGTTACCTGATGGAAGAGTAAAATTAGGACAAAAATAAAAACGATCATAACACAGACAGAAATCTAGGTTTCTGGTACGGATAGTGTCATGAACTTGGTCAGCGGCAAAACAATCGGTGCACTGACCACCTAATCTGCATGATAGTTGAACGGCACTCGATCATTTCTTGAAATTTATTAATTTAATTTATTTTCAAAATGATTCATTCATTCTTTTGATTCTTCTTTCGTTCGTTTATTCCATTTCATTATATGAAAAGAGCTACAATTCTATAATTTGAGGATTTTAACAAGTGTGTTTAGTACAATGTCCCTCCCAGATTCAACTTTGTTATATACGCCGATGATTTTTTTGTTTCTTTTCTATATGAACGCTCTGCAAGCGAACTAGCAAATGTGATTCTTAGGTTCCTTTAAATGCACTCAAAATGCTGCAGAGATAATTAATTCAAATTAACAAACTATCTCACGTTTTCGCGCCGATTATTGTAGCAGGTTTTCCAGAAGTTTGGTAAGAAAATGTAGAGAATATAGTAGACTGTATTGAATGGAACAGGTATGGTATTGCCCTTGTCGATCCATTCCAGCCACATCTGAGTTCTTGAGAACTTCCACTCTACGATTGCATTTTCCTACAAAAGATATTAAGAGTGATTAAGATCGTAAACTTATCAGGTGTCAACCACAACAGTGTACAAGTGTTTAATTCACTGCGAGAAGCGCCGCAGAAAAAAACTGGCCAATCATAAAAAAGCATCAGCAGTTTGTTGTTGCAAGGGAGTGATCACTGAACTAAGCACTACTCATTAAAATAATTCCCACATCACAACATAGGACGTTGTAGTTATGACTAGCTAGCAATAGTTTCCAAAACAACGAGAAACATCTTTAAAGGTTTAGCTGCAGTTCAAGGAGTTTCTTTCTCTAGGGAGTATTTTGAACCTCTAATGAAACACGAAGCACAAGCTGGTGAAATCTTAAACGTGCATGAAATACAATCCAGTATGTCAGCTACATTATCACAATGTATAAGGTAAATAGGATCAATTAAAGCCAGCGCTAAATATGATCCTTACCAAAGAAACGTTGACTCACCATAACTCTGTTAAAAGAGTTGTTCATCATCGCGACCAGCATGTTTAAAGCTACTATGACTGTGCAAATGGCGTGGCCTATTATAAAAATACGCCCGAAAATGGACGTCAGATGAAACGCTGGATCTTCAACATTAAGTTCGTCATCTTCAACCGAACCAAGTAACAACCAAAACATTCCAATGAAAGCCTCAGTGTAGCTACGTTAAAATATAAAAATATCGAGTTAGGTGTCATCAGTCTAACCCAATCTCGCCTAATGTTCTCTGCCCAGTGACAACTGGTTGCTTGTCCTTCCGTTTTGGAAATGCCGTCTCAGGTGAAACTGCCAGATTAACCTTGCTTAGGAACCAGTCGTTATTTGTTGCCTAGGGAAGGGGGAGGGGGAGGGGGAGGGGGAGGGATGTGAGGATATTTTTTGTGGGGGACTTTATGGTCTTCAGGGGGACGGAGGTTGGATGAATCGGGGCCAACAAGATGTAATGGGAGGGGGGGGGGCTATTGAAAACTGACTGCCAGTTAGCTGCCAACGAGGAGGGAGGGGAGGATCAGGTAAATTTTTCACGTGACACAACCAAACTTCTTCGACCTCCCACCCCTCTTATCACTCGAGCAATAGATAATTGCTGAACTTTAATGGGAGTAAATGTTTAACAATAATAGTGGGCTCTTCATTTGTCCTCACAGTCTCAACGTTGTTCTTTTTCATGCGTCTACACTAAACGTCCTCCAAGCTTTTGTAAAGTAAATTAGTAGCTTACGTGCGCCCCCTATTAAGTTTAATTAGAGCTCATAGGGTTATATACGTACTTGCCATATCGGGGAACTGCTGGGTACTGATCAGGGTCGCCATCTTTTTTAAGTTTTTCTTGAGAAACCACATAATACGAATATGTATTGATTACGCCTGTAGCAAATGCAATGTAAAGTAGGAAAAAAATGGCAAGAAACTTGAGGACGTCCTTAAGCATTCTGTAAAGTGACAGCTGTAATGGACCCAACACTGAATTAACTTGGAAGATGTGTGCTAAGTGGAAATAGGCCAATACAGATGCTGTGGAATAAATGGCATCAGCCGCGATAAACGCAGTCTCTCTTGGTTTCCACTGTTTGAAATGTATCCGCGCAGTAAAACAAACTATGTAGGCCAGCGGGAATGTTAAAACGATCAATGTGTCTACGACATTCCACCATTTTGAAAAGTAAATTGAGGCACCTTGCCTGTAGGCCTCCATTGCCTCCTGAACCAAAAGGCCCACAACAAAAGCGAGAGCAGCCAACTCTGTAAATGAGATCGAGCAAATCAAATCAACATTTTGTCGGCATACTAAATTTATCTACTCTTGCACTGAAACTGACACACATCCACGCACAACATGCCTCATGAGTAGATGAAACTGGAGAGTCTTCGTCAGAATCAAAAGCCAACTGAAGTCTATCAAACTATGAACTATGAACTGTTGTTGTTGTAATACATCTGCTATGTTATTATGATCAGTATATCAAGATTCTTCAAAAGATTAATTGAACATTTGTAGATTAAGTTCAGAGCAGCATTGACTTTAATTTAAGATGGCCCTGAACCTACTTAAAAAAATAATTTTTAAATGTTCTAAAAATATCAATTAGATTTTGATTTGCTGATTGCAACAAACCGGTTTTTGAATTACAAGCACATGATAGGTATGCTATTGCAGTAAATATGCTTTGATTGTAACTTGCTGGGCACTAATTAGGCATTTGTCTCATGCCATCCTATAAGACGGACTTCCCGAACATTGCGCATTTTGAAGAGATAGACCTTTATAGGCTGTCACTAGTCATCACTCGAGTATTAGCAACAAAAGTGACTTACCTATATTCGACATGCCTGTCTCTATAGTCTGAAACTTATTCTGAAAAGTTGAGGCGATGATCATACAAAGAAATATTAAGTAGGACATAGTTTGATTGATGAACTTGGAGTATGGAAGCTCGAAAAGCCTTCTAAGTTTCCAGCATCTCTCTTGGTCATTTGACTTGCAGCAGAGACAGCCTTTTAGTATAAGCCGCAAGGGAAGGTAGATGATAACACCCAAAGATGTGATGAAAATATAGTGAAAGAGAAACCTCAGGGTCTTCACGGCCAGCCCTTTATCCTGCCACATGGGCCACTCACGGTAAACGATCTCATCAAGAATGAACTGGCATTTGGGGCTTGTTACGAACTGGAAAGAGAGAAAATCATAAATCATGAATGCAAATAACTACACATCACTTAATCATTCAAACTATTTGTACTCTCACAATCCAAGTAATCTCAATATATGAAACACTAGAATTCTACACGATTACATCAATGTTGAAATTTTGCTTATTAAGTATTCGAAGTTGCGAAGAAAAGGGATCACCTCCGAAGAAAATATGTTTCAATTAAAAATGATCATTTTAATGAGTCATCTGTCCAATAATCAGTCCCTTATATTTTACATTGCATGGTAATAAAACTTTCAGAATTGGCAAGATCTCACACTCCATTTGGTTAAAGTGACCAATGCTCTTTAATTTTCACCATCCCAGCTTCAAACTTAAATTTCAAAATGATTGAAACCATGCACTGGTCTTTTAACGTCTAGAGCAATCATTTCCTATTGAAACGAATTTTTATACCAGACACAACGAGCGTGCCTGTTTTTGCGCCATGTTGGTGTCACAGTTTGTGGGAATTCACAACAGACAAACGTTCCACGCAACGAAAACAAAGGCTGCTTTTATTATACCTTTAAGTGCAAACAAAGATAATGCAGAGGGATGCGATTGAATCTTGCTTCTAAGCTTACAATTCTCACCATTTTGCGCTGTGTATCAGCGGCCATCTTGAGAAGACTCAGACTCTCAGCGAAATTTTCGTGATTTCCGTTTAGTAAGGGGCCATCTCCCTTAATATCCATAATCTTGTAAAGCTTTCCTGAATCAGACGCGCGTATTTGCTCTACGATGTCAATGGCAAATTTCTCGCATTCCATTGCCCTCTGCCTGTACTCATCCCGGTCGTAGTCACTTTCGTTTGCAGCAATTTTTTCCAAAAGGCAAGCATTTTCGAGGGCAGCTTTAATGATATCCACAGTCTCTGTTTCATTCTCAGCCGATGATGTTTTGTGGAGCCACTCGAGACACATGTACAACGGGTTGGTCAGAATGTTGATCCAAGCTTTCTCGTGAACATTTTCGCCTCCCGCTTCCGTCTCTTGGCCCTCATCGTCGCTTTGAAACGTGAGAATCCAGCTCAGTGAGTCCCTTAGGATCGTACAAAGTCCCTCTCCTTCTTTCCTTTTCACCTTTTCCGCAACCCGTAAGGCAGCAAGTTTCTTGATCTCGCTCTCCTCTGCATCAGCTATAAGTTGCCAGACTGCAACGACGTCACTCTTTCGGAGAGCTAGTTCGAGTTCCGTCAATAGATTTTGTTGTGTATCGTCCCCTCTCTGTTCCGCCTCAGTTATCGCCGTTTCATTCCCACTTAACAAGAAGTCATCTATCTCTTCGTTGTTGTTTTCTTGTATCTTTTTCAGAAATTCATCGAAATTGCCTCTGGTATTTCGTTCTGAGGATGTAGTCTCCGTCATATTTCTGCCAGCAATCGAGCAACGTAATGCTCTTTTTTTTAGACTGAGCGCGGCATTTCCTTTCTTTGAAAGGGGTCAACGGATATGTTTCACGTTGTTTACATGCTACAACGCGCTTATTGGCTGCCGGAAAATGTTCCAAACTGCTTATCTTTCAGTAATTTTAAACGCTCAAGCCAAACATTATCCCATTAAAAGAACCTTCAATGATTAGCTTGTTATCCAGAGTACCTTGACATTAACAGCAAGGGATAGAGAGCCTATTCGCGAAATGAATCCTGAGTTATATTACTTCCTAATTCCCTTTAAAAAAAATACCTGGCACAGCGTTTTACATCACTTTATTATTCCCAGCTACTCAGTCGCAATGACATAAGGGTCATCCCTATTAAACTCATCAACTTAAAAAGTAAAATTAAGAAAATTTACATATGGTAATCGAAAAGCCAAAGAAGTGATTTAGCGAGGCACGGATAGGTAGTGAATTGTCTGCCCATCCAATGTAAAAGGAAAAGCGATGAAGTGTAATCTTTCAGTGGCCTTAGGATATCTATCACATTTAAAACCGAAGTTATCTCAAGTCGCCCAGAAGTTTATCAGATATAAGCAACATAGCCTACATTCAGGAGAGCGTTACCCTCAAAGCGTTTGATCAATGATGTAAGGATAATCGGTAGGACCCCGTCATGCGGCGTCAATTGAGCAAATGCTTCAGTTATGAGTTGCCTGACGTAGCTTGACGCTGCCTGATGTTTGTTTTTAAGTATATTTCAGATCATTCTAGAACCTTACATTGCATCACATTATCTAAGATTGCAATTTTAATTCTAATTGTTGAATAATTAGTAAGAATAACTCGCAGAATTGGCAAAGGTTCGTACTTCTGAACAAGTATTTTGGTCCACGAGGTCGTTAAAATTTACTCTTTAACAATTTTTTATATCAAATTAAATAAACGTTAACACCATTATTATGTGAGTCATCCACGTGAACTTTTGGTTTCACTACAAATTTCGTATTCTACAGTAATAAACAAATGTATTCACAAGTCATAAAATTTTGCGCCATGCGTAAAGTATTGTCACACTAGAGTATGTCACACAGGTTCTGTTCTATTTTATAACGAAACGTGACATTTTACAGGTATTTGTCATTAGTTAATTGGGAGAAGTGTCCCATTATAATACTCTGCTTTTATGCGGGAACTGCTCTCCTGAAGTGAATACTTCCGCAAACCGTGACATCAACTGACAAATATTTCTTCTGAGGCGGAAAGAGTTCTATTAATATCTTTCTGAGAAATAGCGGAAGTCAACATGCACTTTGCATGAGCAAAGGAAAGTGAAACAATCTTGCCGTTGAAAGCTATTACAGATCTTAGCCTCTCTTAATCTTAAAAATTCGCGATATGTAATGGTATTTCTTTCACATTTACGATATCAGGGCAAGAATGTTTACCTAATGTTATCTTTCCAGCTGCTCTTGCGGAAGAAAATTCGATGCGGACGATGAATGGCTCGACGAACGAAACTGCCGACACAGAAGCGTGCATATTCGAGTTAAGTTTTCGGATTCCCATATCCATTCTGTTTGTTGCGACATTTTTGCTGTCTTTATCCGAGAATGTTTTGGTGACCATCGTGATTAGCATCGACAAAAAACTACGAAGACCTTCAAATGGCTATCTTTTGAGTTTGGCGTTGACAGACATTAGTATCTCAATCGGATTGATACCACTAGAGATGACATATGTATGGTCGTACCCAAAGTGGCCACTTGGCTCCACAGGAACAAATTTTCTTAACTCTGTATGGCTATTCTCAATAGCAGGTTCTTTCATCACCCTGCTAGTTATCACAGTAGACCGCTACAGAGCAGTGATGTCCGTGGTACGATACAGGGATATTGCTTCATGGCGGAGAACATTTGCGATCGTTGGATTAGTCTGGATCTACGTTGTAACTATCGTAGTATTAATGGGTCTTTTTGCCTTTGAGCCAATTACGGAAGAAACATATGAATGGAACGTTAATTTCAAATTTTATTACGCGTTCTTGGCCATGCACATAGTTCTTCCAATGCTTCTGATTAGTGCATTTTACTACAAAATATACAAGAAGGCAGTGGAGAACCGACAACAACTCTTGTCACGCGGTCAGGTACATCCCGGAACTGCCACTAGTTCTGATACCGTCACGGAAACTAGACTTGAGGTTAAAATGGCAAAAACTGTTGCCTTTGTGTTTATGTTTCTGGTCATTGTGTGGATGCCAGTTTTAATTTTGGAAATTTTTTATGCTATCGGTAGTCAGTCCTGTGTTGTAGGACAACTTGGGGTTGTTAGTGTGTGGCTGACTTGTAGTAATGGCGCTATCAATCCTATAGTTTACTCTCTCAGGAACAAAGACTTCCACCGCTCCATGTTGCAGTTGATTCGATGCAAAAGACCCAGGTCCGCCAGCGCTTATAGGCTACCACATTAACCCTTAACTCTCGTGAGTGACCAAGACATGATTTCTCCTTACAAAATTAACACTACATAAAAAAGAAAAGTTATAAGACTAAAGAAAAATTATCAATAATTGGAATATTAATTGATCCAATACCAAATTCTCAAAAGTTACTTATTACGAATTGTATGACAAACGGTAAGGAGAATTGCTTTTGAGATCTTGGGAGCGTAAGGGTTAATAATCCCAGTGCAATTCAGAAATACTTTTAGGAGTGTTTTTGTGGTTACAGTTATTATATTGAGGTGCGTGGGAAGTTTCGGTAGATTTCGTCAATTGTAGCAAACAGCAGAATTTAATAAAACCTCATTGGTCGCTTACTTTTACAAAATTGTAAATTAATTGATGTTTTAATACGCAATTGTTGTTAGCGTTGGCAAAGAGAACCCTGATTATTGTCTAATTACGCCCCCAAGGATCAATTTTAAGTCCCATATTGTTTGTTTTGTTTATAAATGATCTCCCTAAGGTTTTAACTGAATGCCAAATTTTGATTCTCAAGGAATAGTGAACACCTTAACAAACGAATTGGCACTGATAAATAAATGGCTCAAAGATAATGATTTGTTTATGCATAAGAGCAAAACGGAGTGTCTGTTATTTGGCATTGGCCCCAGGCTGGCACTTTCTACTTCTTTCTCTGTAGCTATTGATTAAAAAGCACTTAGTAGCGCTTCTGAGTATAAATATCTCGGAGTTGTTCTCGATGCGTCGCTTACGTGGAATGCGCACGTTGAACACTTGATCGGTAAGGTTAGAAAGAGATTAGCAATATTAGCCCGACTTAGGAAAAATATAAACATGTACACGACAGGTACGTACCGTTAATATTCACTAATATTTCTAGTCAATTTAGTTTTCATATATGTAGGGCCTCTATGGATAGCAGTCTTTATCTTGTGCAAAAACTGAAGGAGCTATCCTATTGAAATAAAGGTTTCTTACTTTATTAACAACGATACCTAATTCATTCCAGTCAACGGCTATGGTGTCCATTTCATACAAGTGATTACTGTGCTAAGCTTGCAGATATTCAAAACTGCATAATTAATCTCGACGAATTGACTAAAAGGCCCACATCCCGAAAATCACTTCAGTTTTATTCAAAGCAGTTCTGCTTAACAAGCAGCATTGTAAGTACGAAAACTCCCTTTATGGCGTCAATGCTAAAGTAAAAGATAGAAAACGAACAATTAGGAAAATTGTCGACTATTATTTTATTGTTTGCTGACAAAGGAGGATCTTAGGATTTAAGGTCATTGTTTCCTCAAGGTTTCACAGGACCCACAGCAGACGATTTGCTTCGTTTTAACCCTCTTGATATATTCAAGAAGATGTTAAAGATAACTGTCGATTATCGAACGAAGGTCCTGCCGAACTAACCGAACGGCTGTAAACCCAAGACAAAAAGAACAGCTGCATCACCCATACAAAACCGTTAACCTTTGTATGCGTTTTGTTTATTCATCGATAAATAAGAAGTCACCTCAATTTTTTTGTCTTGTCCTCGGGTACGTTATTTTCAATCGTGCTTAATGGTCTCTGCCAGCAGTCTAGATTGAACCAATTTTCAGTTTTCTTCTAATTTAAATTTAAACCAGACATGACCCACAATTTGGAACCTAATTCATATGGGCGATAGTCCTTTGTTAGATGATGATTTATGCACATAATAAGGTCCTTTAATTAGAGAGCGAACGTCACTTTACCTAACCTTAGTCAACAACGGCCTTAGGTCTGAAGACAGAGAACATTGAGGCAGAGAACACCCTTTACGACGCCTTTAAACTGTGCGTGAGCTGAATAACGACAGTTAAACGTACTGAACAATCTATCAAAACCAGGTGGTCGACCCAAACTTTCGCAGGGCAAACTGATAACAGAGGAGTTGTGGAAAACACCTTGTTAGGCCTGAGAACACGTAGATCGTATCGTCCTCTCCCCGACACCTTTCTTCTGAACTTTCTTCCGTTCGCAACGCTTTTAATACTCTTCTTGCGCTTTGAAATACAACCCTGGCAGTTTTGAAATGACAGATAACATTTTGAATTTTACTGGTTGGTTTCTCTCTATTTTCACAGCAACTGGAAATGGTTTAGTAGTTTTCCTTATCACCAAAACTCGCAATCTACATTCGCCGGCCAACTGGTTTGTCGTCTCCTTAGCAGTTGCTGATTTTACAGTCGGTGCCGTCCTCTTTCCATTGGGTTATTACTGTGTAAACACAACGCATTGCAACAGGACAGTCATGATATTTTGGATGGCTTTATACTGGTTTGCCAAGCACGCCTCAGTCACAAATCTTTGCGCATTAACTTGGAATCGCTACCTCGCCATCGTTCATCCATTCAAATACAATACTTCAATGACCGTAAAACGGCCTCGTATGACTATCTTAGTTGCATGGTTGATTCCTCTGGCAGTTTCATTGACCCTTGTCTTGGGCATGTTCGCAACAAGCTCCACTACTGTTCACAAAATTATGCGGTTGACCTGTGTCTCAGCTTTCTACATAATATTATGTGTGTTTCTTCTTTATGCTGTTGTTCGTATCCTACTTGTTGCACGAGCACAATCGCGACAGAAATCTCTTATGGAACGACAACTTAGATCTAACTTTGGCTTGACCTTGCGCAGAATTAACAAGAACGAGACAGCTGCAGGATTTATAATTGCTGTTAATGTATTTTTCTTGGGATGTCATGCCGTTGTAAATTATCTCATAGTGTGCCTCACCATACCTTCTTGCAATGTGTCTGACAGAGCAGTGCAGGTTGTTAGTTTACTTCTGGTTCTAAACTCTATGGTGAATCCCATGGTTTATGCTCTTTTAAAGAAAGACATTAAAAAGAAAATAAAAATTCTCATTTGCGAAAAAACCTTCGGTGAAAAGCGTAACCATGGCGAGACTGAGTAGTAACAGGAATTTGAAACTTTCTTAAGAATCTCGTGTTATTTGTCAAGTGGGATAGAACAGGAGTATGAATATACAGCCAATGAATAACAATTTTCCCTTTGACCCGTCAAAAGGGAAGAAAGAACAAAACTTTTTGTAGAGTACGTTTTCAAACCCTGACACAACCCGCCAAAGTTTCACAATTGTTTGCTTAGAAACAATGCATACGACAAACAATAATCAGCCAAGGCAACAGCTAAAGATACGTCTTTTATGTTCAGCACATCACTGCTCGAAATTAAAAATTGACGTTGAAATGATTTTACAATTATCATAGGAAAGGTAGAGATTAACAAATGTACCTTTTCTAAAGGTGCTCTCAGTGTTGTTATTAAAGACGCACCATTAATATTTAGTATTAATATTTGACTTTAATTTTGGGAGATGGGATACTCTGGTGCTTAAAGCGCTGAACTTGGATCGAAAGGGCTAAATCGAGTTCTTGGCGGGGTCATTTTATTCCAAGTTGCATTCTTAGGCAAGACTCATGACTCTCGCATTTCCACTCTCCAGCCAGGAACGCGCGGGAAACTTAGTAAAATAGTCAAGAGTTAAATGCGAGTTATTGTTTGTTTAACATCCCGTCCAGGAAGACAAGTAATACTACTAATTGCTTTAGGGCCGGGTCGTATTACAGACCAATTTTTATTTTGTCTTGAAAAAATCGGCTAGAAAATCAAATTGCATTAGACCGGAAATGAAAAAAAATTTGAGCTCTTACGGTCGCATTTCAACAAGTGAAAATGCAAGCGTCAGTCACACAGGGGAAATTTGAGCGGTGAAATTGTGTTCAGTCACGCACTAGCCATGCGGCCGATTAGGGTGACAGTGACTCTCAGGTTTTCTTCGTTCCGCTCTCACAACAGGCCAAATTGGGGGTGTGTTGCCTAGCTCTTGAAGGAAGGAATACTGCTCACTTCTTGGCATTTGATGGCCGTAGTAAGGAAAGGGGAAATCTCGCCCGTCCATGCGGTAGCTTCGAACTACACGCAATGAAAGAGTCAGTATGAGTGATGAAATTTCGCGCTCTTTCTCACTTTCGTGACCTTGCCGTCTATTTGGGGAGTTATTCTTTTCAACTGTTGACAGCTTTGGCGGCGGGCTCTTTTGGTTTTTCGAGATTTGGAAAAATTGGTCAGCCTCACCCAAGCACACCGGCATCTTTGATGTTTTTTTCCCGATTTTGAAATTTTTGAAAAATCAAAAATGAGGGGTCGCATTAGAAAACAGGTGTGTTGACAGATTTTTAGTCCCTCGAGTAAACAATTTTCCGCAAAATCGTCTGTAATGCGACCCGGCCTTATGCAAACAAAACTGGCATGAGGGTAATCAGTAGGGGGCGAGAAACAAAGCTGTTTTTGGAAGAGATGGTTCCTTTTTGTTGACCGCACCGATAACATTTGCAATTATGTTTAACTTCAATCTGTAAACTAATTAGAGACACGGATCTGACCTGAGGAAATGTGTAAAAGGTTTGTGCCTAGTCCTATCGTGATAGGTATAAAAATAAAATCTTAAGATAGCGAACGAATTGCAAAATACTTGCATTTCAGTCCAGATAAAATGATAATAATAATTAACCTTTCAATTAGGCTCCGTGGTTTGAATGTTTAATTTAATAAGGAGACCACAGTTTACGTATCTTAGACTGTGTTCTTCATATGTCACAATAAAACACCGCTAGCTGGCTAAAGATGAAGCGCAGTCTCCTTATCTATCATCCAGACTTTGCCCAGTCTGCAATTTTACCTTTGTGTTGTGCAGGTGCACGATTGATTTGAAAGGAATATAAGCCGAGACACGCATAATCTGTGATTGGCTGTTGCCTATCAGCTATCAAATTAAAAGCGTTTGACGGATTCATCGCACAAAGAAAGGCCATAGCGAAAACCACTAGCTGTTGGCTCCCTCTAAAAACAGGAAACCGATTCAAAAAGAACTCTTGCTGACTTAAATAGTACCTAAACTGACACAATTGATCCGAGGTAAGTTTGCGACCTATTTCGCTTTTCTGCCTATTTTATACGACACATAGATTCGACTTCATCGATGACTCACACTCAGGTGAGGCAGCCTGCTTTTGCTTTAAGGCTCATTTGACGCCGAATGTGATCTTGAACTGAGCAGAAACAAGACGAAATGGAATATCTTTGTTTAACAGCAGAAATTAAATCTTCATTTAACAATTACTGAAATTTTCACAAATATTTTGGTCCATATGACGAAGTCAAGATTTTTTTTTTCGGTTGACCTTTTCAATTCATGACGCCTTATCCTGCGACGTCTCCTCTTTCAGTCTGAGTAAAGCAGACTGATGTTAATGAAAGAACATGGGCGATATGCCGATGGTACAAATAATGATCACAAAAGGTAAGGGAGGAGAGAAACCCCACCAACAAAATTATGTTAGCCAGAAGCTTCTGTCTGTTTCAATTTAGTTATTCATACTTTTTAGTCCCTAGGTAGATTTTGCGAGTGAAATAAATAAAATTGTACACCACGGACATCGTTATTAAAGTCAGTCATGCATCCTTGTCAACAGTTGGTAAAGGTATCAGGTATCAGGCCAAAAGCTCTTCCAAACACTAAAGAAATAAAAGGACAAATGATACGAAATATTAAGCAGTATGTTAATTCAGTTCCGATATTACGAAAGGCAGTTATTGCCACAGATTTTCATTCTTGCATAGGTAAAAAATCTACCCCCAAAAGCCCTTTTTTGCAATATGTTTCCTTAATAGATAATCATTGATCAGTGCAGATTATGTAAAAAGTTTACAAACCGACGTCAAAATGCCGGTCAGCAATGACTTTTCTATCGCCGTGGAGTTCAAATTTAAGAAAATAAATTTAAAAGTCTCAGACTTAATAGGTAATGTAAAGCTTTATTGTTTAAACATAAATTAATCTTTAATACAGTAAGATTGCTATGATAATCTTACACTTCCGTAGGATTTTTAACTGCTTAATATGATGTCAGCTCACTCAGCGAATTTAGCACATTTAATACTGAACCAAAATGTTGAGGGGGATGGATGGCAAATTTTCAGGAAATGCCTTTTTTGCTTATTTTGTTTTGTTTTACTTTTGTCAGTTTCACTAAGGAATATTAAGATCATCTTTTTAAATTTATATCTATACATATCTGAAAGCAAAAATCGTAAAGACCACATTTTCTTGAAGCATCGGAAAATGCGTGTTCGATTTTGCATAATGTTAATGTTTTTTAATCTATTTCGTAACTACGGGGATGGAAAAAAGATGCAATAATCTTTGAGTAGTGAATAAGTTTGCTCAGGCAAGCAAACGTTTACAAATTGTCATTGCATGAAAATTTAACGATGGTTGGAAAATGTTTTTTCCAAAAAAGATGCGTATGCAGTCTTTGAAAAGTGAGTAAGTTTCCACTGGATACCAAATGATTTAAAACTATTAACGCTTCAATTTGAAAAAAACACAACACTGAACACGTTTGGTTGATGAGAAAATGTGTGGCGCTAAAGTATATCTCGAACGATTTCGTTCACGCTTGTGCCCATGGTCAAAAAAATCAACACAGCTGTGGAGTCATATCAGTTTGATATCGACAAAGTTTGATCAGGATCGGGCATAAAATCAAACCACTAATCACGTTTTTATTCACATTCGCAATGGGCAACAAGCTTAATCAAAGTCCTTGTAAGGAACATCTTACGGGAAATCTAAACCCTTAAGCTAGTATGGTTAAGAACTCAACCATTGCTGAAAGCTTACCTTTACCTCCACATCAGTTGTGTTTGTCATTTTCCAGTAAAGCTTGATTGGGGTGTTTCTTTGTAACTTCACCAAACAAGAATGATTAACGCGAACTTTGTATGCTCTTGCTTAGCTTAGAGAGGAAACTTTGCGAACAAACTCCTATTTAAGAGAAGCGTTATCTTTAATGGATGGCTGAAAAGTAAAGATTGTCCTCGCACAATGTTAGGCTGATTGCTTTTCTGACCCCAAGTACTTACACAGAAAGGTTACTCATTACTGATGCACAGCCAAGTCACCTGAGGGCCTTTTGAGTCTTAACAATGGCTCCGTTTTTGTTGTATTTGTTTTGGTTCAGTCTTCAAGTTTTCCGTGTACTGATCATCAACTGTAAAGCTCAGCAAAATTAGCGTTTAAAGGAGAGCAATCAAAGGATCCTTCGGGCACTCAAATATGTAATTTATACCATGCATGTCATTTATGTCATTGACTCTAAATTATAGTAACGTTTTCAAATGATCTAACCCACCGAATGAAACACGGCAAAGCGTTACAACGAGTATCATACATTACTGGAAAGGTTCTGCCTAAGAGGACACATTTTTCTGTTTTTTTTTTCTTGGTTTGCTAGCTGGTGGTGAATAAATAATTCAGTTATGTTAATCAAAATCTAACTTTCCAACTGCTCGATAAAAAGTGCATGGCCTCAGTTGTTTGTTCTCAGTTTTAATTTTTTTATTAAACCTCTGTCTTAAACAGGACGGTAACGAAGAAAGTTGTGGAGAAAATCGTGTGCGAAGTAACTAAAGGTGAACAGCGTAACCGGCAATAAAACGATGTCCTATAAATATTTAATAAATTGTGTCTGAGCAATTTCATTCAGCAAATTTTACCAAAGTTGCTCGCATGTCTGCCAATGCCGAAAATGCTGAAAAGCAAACTAACGAGAAATAATTGATAATTATTTTATTCAGAAATCTGTCATCAAAATTATAACGAATTAAGTATTTTAAATACATCTGATTTTTTTGCTTCAGTCGGCACAGTCACAAGATAAACAAGACAAACAAGATAACTTATGGTGATATTGTGTACAGTTTTATGTCAAGCGCACCATATTCCTATAAACACCTTATGCCTTGAGTTCCTTAGTAACATATGACGCAGAAACACGTCTGCGTCCGCTCGAAACGCGTTTGAAAGCGATTCCTTTTTTTCGTTAAACCATCGCGGAATAAGCGCATAAAAAACAAAAGAGTGTTTGCTAGGATAGGTATCTTAAATTAATGATGAAAACATCACAGCGCTTGCTGGGGGAAAAAGTTGACTTCTACGACAAATCATGTCATCATATCTACATGTTGAGGTGTCAGTGAACTTTTTTTTTTTTTTTTTTTTTTAAGAAGAACATTTAAAAAGATATGTAGTCTTGTAGATTTTATTTTTTGTCGGGGAGTTACATCGTTAAGACACAAAGCAACCAATATCGCACCTATACTTTGGCTATGACGGATATTTCGCAAAACAAGCAGGTGACACTTTTTCTTTCTATTGTAAAACAAGGGGTAAACAATATTGTTTTTTAAATTATTCTTCCGGAATGAAGGAAAGCTTGACAAACAATGCCAGACGGATATTGTCCTAAAGATGTAATTGATGACAGTCGGCGATGCTCCTTTCAAATATCGTAAGTTTTTGAACCAAAAAAAACATTGTGCTTTAAATTAAAGATTGGGTGAAGACAAGATGATATTCTCTTTGTCATGGCATCACACGGTCAATAAAGGCGTCGAATTTTTTCCGTAACATTTTTCACTGGGTCACAGCAGCGGGCCATCAAAGCCTTAAGCAAATTTGACAGCTTTGAAATGAAAATGTTTTGTACTAAATAGACAATTTCCTCCACAAAGGACATAAACAGTCTGCATTTCTTTAGTATTAATTTCAGCTTAAGTAATTAGTATTTGTGTTGATTTTTCTTCGTTTTCGACATTCGTTCGTGGTTTTATTTTGTCCTTACTTGATGCAGCTGAAAAAATTTCCATGGTCGATTAGAATGGTTACGCCACAATAAAAAACCTCCAGTCGATTCACTAACGAAGCACTGCTCTAAGTAAATATCAAAAGCGACTTACGACGTTCGATTGACCTACTTATTTGCATTTCAATGAAGTTTTAGCGTACTTAGCCGCCATCCGCCTTGTAAACGCATTTCCTGATATGAACCTCTTAGAGGAAGAGAAAAACATCAATAGTCAGTCCCTCGTTCTTCGCCGTTGTATTCCTCACTAAACATATTTGAGACGTTATTATCAACATTATAATCCTATAGATTCAAACACAGGTAAGAACTCGTCGTTCAACTTTAATTAGAGGGTCTTCAGGTTGCTGTAGGAGCAATTTTCAAGCGTTTCAAATGGAGGCTTTTCTCGGTTCCATTGGATGGTCTCTTTCAGCCGCCACAGCGACAGGAAACTGCTTTGTAGTCGTTCTTGTCGCAAAAAATCGTCGACTTCATTCCTCTGCCAACTGGTTTGTTCTTTCTCTGGCAGTGGCAGATTTTGTGGTTGCAGTGATCGTCTTTCCATCGGGGTATATTTGTAACAAACTAATGGCGTGCAACCAAGAGATAGAAATGGCACTTTTTTGGTTTGCTATTCACGCTTCGGTCACAAATCTTTGCGCATTGACCCGGGATCGCTATGTCGCCATTGTTTACCCTTTCAAATACATTGCATCTATAACCAATAGACGACCCGATAAAGTTATCATGATAGCATGGTTAACTCCATTTATAATTTCGCTCGCACTTTTTGTCGGAATGTACATTACAACTTCCGAGACTGCATGGAAAGTTCTACGATTGACGGGTGTCTCTGCCTTCGACTTGATATCCTGCATGCTTCTCTTGTATGCTGTTGCTCGGATCTTAAAGGTGGCTCGTGCTCAGTCACACCGGTCAACTGCCATCGAACTACAGCTTCAGTCTGGCCACTCTTCCATAGCTGAAGGAGAGATTGTGGCAATTCGTAGACATAGGAAACACAACACGGCTCGCTTTATTATTGCTCTTATCTTGTTTTTCCTGGGATGTTACGTTGTGGCAAACTGTTTGATCTTGTGCCTCAGTTTCCGGGCTTGCAATCTCTCTGAGAAATCCTCAAAGAAAGCTGGACAGGTCCTCAATTTACTCTTTGTTCTTAACTCCGCGGTGAATCCACTTGTCTACGCTTTTTTAAAGAAAGATATCAAAAGAAAAATAAGAGAAGTTTTCAACAAAAGAAACTAAATCAACAGAGAACTGCTGAGGTTTACATTGGAGAGTTCCCCTTTGTCGTCAACGTAATGAACTCAAGGGTTATAATAATTTAATTCTTCGCCTACTAACCTTCATTTGAAAGTATTCGAACCACCGGTCCACTGGGATTTTTTAAACGTTGCAGCTTAAAATCGACGATTAAACACCCGGCGCAGATAAACCTCTGTGTCTTTCTCTGAGCGAGTTATCGATTATTTAGATCATATTTCTGTCATGGACTTTCGTTTCGTAATATCATTCATGCTGTAAATTCGATATAGAAGAGCTTTGTTAAATAGGTATTATTCGCAGTATCTGGGCTTCCAGTTGTTTATAGATCGCAAGTAAACAGCCTTTGAAAAACTCTGATTGAATTGAACCGTTGTTGGGCCAAAGACATTTATTCCTATACTTCCAGTATTTCCGGTTCGTAAAATGGTCCTAATACCAGTTTATTCGTAAGGCAACTAAACGAAAAACTAATTAGGGTGCGTTTCTTTATCTAAATCCGAGACCAGACAAAAAATCCGGATCATTAGGATTTTTCGCTGAGAAAAGGAATGATGTCTCAAGAGAGCTTATTATCTTCTAAACCCAAGCTACGATACGAACGGTATCCCAGCGAAAAAGATGGCCGCCGAGAACACCGCCGTCCGAGTTTATTGTTTTCCGATTGATTTCATTCTCGAAGATTGCCTCAGCGAAATTTCAATTAACACGTCAAACGAAGACGAGCTCTTTTCAGTTTTCCTCATTAGCCGAAGGCAAAAAAGACAGTTTCAAACAAGCTGTACTTTGATAAAAATCTCCAAGGTACAGTGCAAATGACTTCCGAAGTCATTTCCTTACGTCTCAGCATGCCTTTCCTGTTCTTGACAACCTTGCCACATCTAAGTGGTGTGAGACAGCAGCTAAGATAAGGAAACAACTGTCGATCTTTCTTTGAATCCCTGGAATTCTAGAGTGCCTCTATTCAAATACAGATGGCGAACTAGTTTTGGATTTTAATAAAGAAACGCACCCTTAAGCGTCTAAATCTTAAAAAAAAAAAGATATTCAATATCAGGATAAAAAACAATTAGTTAGTTATCGGTGTAAACTAGATCCGCGAAAGCGAGATCAATTAAAAAAATTCATTTCCAAAAATAACTAGAAAATGTTTAGATCATTATTTGAGTATTGGTGCTCGAAATGTTTGTTTTCTTTTCCTATTCAAAATTGCGATGATAATTTTAAGCACGAAAAGGTGTCTTTAAATTCAATTACCACTCATTGGATAATAGCCAGAAAAGTTTTAATGATTCCTGTTCCAACCTGATGGCTACAGATAAGATTTTTGACGCTTAAATGCTCCCCATACTTTTCGCAAACGTAATTGTACAATGTAGTTTAATTGTCAGCTCCAATTTTTTTTTCTTGCATTTTTAATTATTGTTTAGATCCAACCCTGATCTATCAAACGCGAAGGGAAAAAATATCGAGAACTTCGCCTTTAATAAGGCTCGTTCTAATTCATATTTTACGTAAGAAGACTAGATCTGAGCCAGTTCATCAAGTGTTCCCATATTAGTTCTCGCTCAAAACAGTCTGTAAAAGGCGAGCAGTAGTTCGCTTCGTAATCCAGTCTCAATGATATATTAATATTTCAGTAAATCACCAAAAGAGAATGGCTTTGGATGCAATCGCACTAATAAAACGGAAAACCTTGGTCTGACTTATTATCTTTCAGAGCGATTTTCAATAGAAGATAGAGATTTTTATATTGATGTATTAATTTCCATCTCGGAAAAACATACCTTGGAGATTGTGTATAGAGACCCGTTGAGTATCTTCTGCTCCCTATCGTGACTCACATCTGAGTAATGCACACACTCGCTTACAAAATTTGTTGTCATGCAAAAGCTTCCATGGAAAAAAATTTTGATTGACTCCGGACTTTTACAATCAACAATCAACAATCAGCTCGATATGTAAACGGATGTACCACTTCCGTAAGTATAAGTAGCTCATACATGTCACGACAAAAAGGATTAAGCACGTTGTAGTCCGTTTAGTTTTTATTTTTTTTAATTTTTTTTTTCGATTAGCCTGAGAAGGTGAAAACATTTTTTGGCTACTTGTAACGTCCAAGCAATTCTTTAGCAAACTCGAGATGAAGGGAACTCTGCTTCAAGCAATGTACATGCATGTTAGCTTTCCTCAAAGAAGTATGAACCCCACTAGAAGTGTAGTGACCCTTTAAAGAAAAAAATCTATCATTAAAAAAATGTTATCTTTATTTTTTACAACATTGCCCATTGCTACCAAACGGGCCCGAGAATGACCATATACTGCACACCTTCATATACATATACCGTCACAAAAAGGTAAAATCTTGATTAATTGAAGACTGGCGAAAACTAATTATGCACGCTGCATGTCTTCATTTATTACTTAACTATGTTTTGTGAATATTATATTGCTGGCACGGTACCGATTCTATTAAGATCTTTCCTTTTTCTTGACAACTGGAGCACTTTGCTTATACTTTGACAAACATTTCACTACAAATTCAATAAAGTATGTCCCGATTTAGCGGAAATTTCCGCTCTTTGGGTGAGTAAAAGCGCCAGCCACATCAAACTGCAATGTTGTTGTCATCGACGAGATGAAAAAAACACAACAGATCTCACGGGAGGAGAAAATTTCGAAAAACTAGTAAGTACTATAAACATTTTTTCTTTACACATTCTTATAACAACAGCAAATTTTCATTAATAAAGAACGCCTTAAAAAGGCAACTATATCATGAATTGCTAGTCTGCAGTTCAAAATCTAATTTTGATATGACGCCTTTTTCATAATTACGTAGGTAGAGAATTCAGTTTTCCTTGAGTTAAAGGTATACCTTTGTGGGTATTTTCTCCGTTTGAAGTCTCTAGAATTTATTCCTAAGATATTACTCCTTAAATGTTTTTTTTCAACTTGCGCCTATGTTTCACAGAAAAATAATCTGCGTAATGAAAGTTACTGTTTTTATCATGGCGCATAGAAGACAATTACTCATTAATTATTTTTTCTTTACACTTTCTTGGCAGCAGCAAATTTCCATCAATACAGAATGCCTCAAAAAGGCGACTTTATCGATCATGAATTGCTAGTCTGTAGTTCTAATTTTAATTTTGATAAGACGCCTTTTTCGCAAATATGTACGTAGGGAATTCAAATATTTAAACTTGAGTTTTCTCAAGTTAAGGTATACCTTTGTCGGTTTTTTCTTCGTTTGAGACCTCTATAATTTATTCTTAAGATATCACTCTTTAAATGCTGTTTTCGACTTTGCGCCTATGCTGTACAAAAAAGTAATCTACATACAGAAAGTGACTGTTCTTTCACCAAGCGTAATGGCTGATAATTCAAAATGTAGCAGGTGAAATGATTACATCTCCTTCAGTGTTCTCCTATTTACTTCGTCACCGCTTTTCAAAAAATTCCCTATGAGGATTTAAAAAGTGGTGGGAACCTAATTTAAACTTGAAATCTAACAAATTCTCCAAATTATAAACACCAATGCTGTGAATTGTTGGACAACCCTGGACGTGCAAATCTTAGGCGCCACATGCAATTAATTGGGGCGGACTTTGATTAGGAAAGTTTCCTCGGTTAGTGTAGTCTTTCGACCTTGTTTATGATGGTTTCTCATTCTGCTCTTGGAATTGTTCTATTTTTCCGGTGAGGATAAATGCCACTTCTGAAAAGGGAAAGAAAATGATAAGGCGCAATACTCTTCTAGTAGAAAATGGCGCTTCACTTTTCTGAGCTTCTCTGGCCATAAAAACACCAGTCGTAGACAGAGGCTTTCAAAATTTCCGACCACTTACTGATAAAAGTCAAATCATTCCTAACAAAGCAAATGCAATATTAGCGAATCCTTCTTCCTCTTGCAGCTCTTCTTTCGTCCCCTTCTTCATAAGAATGGGTTCGGTTAACTTAAGCTTAACGCTACTGGATTACATGTAGGCTGTTAGAGGAGCCTTGAAAATATTCGAAATATCTAGGACACCTTTGCTGGTCACTCATGCGACAGTCAGATTATACCGTTTTGGTTCAAGTTTCACTGATTTATTTTCATTTTATTTCAGATTACTGACTGTATTTACTGCGAGTAACAATGTTTCTATTGCTTTACTCGAAGCGCGTGCGATAACTGAGTTTCGCTATGACTCAAAAATTCTTGAGTTGTCCAAGTTTTTTTTTTAGCATCTTGAAGGTTTGTGAATAAAAAACACACACTACTGAAAAATGCTCTTACTCCTTACGCGCTTGCCATCCATACACTTCACAGTCTCATTTCGATTGATTACTAGAAGGATTCAAGTGTCAAAAAAAGAAAAGTTGTCGGAGTTCGTTATCTTGAAGTGACGCTTTATAATCATGTATTCTGATGTTGTAACATTAAACATTTCTCAACCTCACAGTAAATATTTCAAGTATCAAAGCAGATAAAAATATTGAGTTCTCGGACATACGAATCACAGGTGAATGACGCTGTGTCCTGTAAACGAAGACTTGCCCTTAATTAAAAAAAAAGCGGCCTCCTAGGCGTATTTACATTAGTTCAAAGCCAGCTTTTTAAGTACCGGAATAGGGCATCTGTTCAAATGCCAGGGGGTAGATGAAAACGGCACGATACCTTGCAACAACTTGGCCTAGAACTTCAAAGGAACCAACGTGGTATATAATACATAAGTTCTCACTGAAAATGATTATTTTCCGGTTTTTTCGAAATGATTTGCTCTTTTAACAGCAGCTGCTTCGTACATTGGTAAACGATTTTGTTAAAAAAAAAAAAAAGCGTTGCTCGATGTATTTTAAACGCCTTTGTTTTTTCGCCTTTTCATGCAATATTCCCCATATCGCATGAGATAAATTAAACTGTCTCATGACAATCACGCCATCAGCTGGCATGATGAAATAACGTTTACGGGCTTCGTGTACCCTAGGAAGTGTAACTCGATCTGTGACAATTGCCAAGGATTAAAGGTAAAGATAATTGCTTTTTTTTTTACTCTCTACATGAGAAACAACTCCATTTATGGAGTGTGCTGAAAGAAAATGAGAAGCTCGAGGAGGTGTTAACCTACTCTTAGTGTTAATTTTACAATGTAACATCGTCTATATTTTTTTTGTTGCCGTACAGAGAAGTCTCTCGGCCGATAAACACCGAATCGCGTGACTGATAACTAATAGTTGGTGATCATCATGTGAAACTGTTGACCATGTAATTTTCTAAACCCCAAATGAAACGACACAGTGTCCATGTTACCAATAATTCCACGTTACTGATAGTTTTGATATAGATCTAGCACTGAATTATTTATCGGCTCATGTCTTCTTAAGATAACCTTTACATTCAAATTGTTGAGAGGCTGAAAAAGAAATCAGGATGCAAATTAAGAGATAACAATGCAACAGCATTAAAATGCCAGTTTTTTAGAAGGGACCTCGGAGGACATTCTGATAACTGTGGTTGCGTTCAATAAACCCGCAGCTGACGATTGGTTGGTATATCAAACTCATTATCATATTTATACAAGCTCTGAGGATCGGCTTCAAAAATCACAGCTATTTGCGAAAGTATCGAAATGGTTTTTTGGCTCAATATTCTTGGCTGGTTACTTTCCGTCGTAACTATTGTGGGAAACGGATTTGTAGTCGGCCTTGTCTCCAAGAATCGTCAACTTCATTCCTCGGCAAATTGGTTTGTCCTTTCCTTAGCAGTGGCCGACTTAACGATCGGATTTGCCGTCTTTCCGTTACAATATCTTTGTATCGAGAAAATAAAGTGCGACTCCTTCGTGACTACGGCAATGTTTTGGTTCTTTCTTCACTCGTCAGTTGCCAATCTCTGTACATTGACTTGGGATCGCTATATCGCCATAGTTCACCCTTTTAGGTATACTAACTTCATAACCAAAAGACACCCTGGATTGGTCATCACAGCAGCATGGTTGATTCCCTTTGCGATTTCACTATCACTATTGGTGGGGATGTACGCAACAGACTCCACAACTGCATGGAAAATTCTACGTCTAACAGGCGTCTCTGTCTTTGACATAATATCCTGCGTGCTGCTTCTTTATGCTGTGGTTCGTATCTTAGTTGTAGCTCGCGCCCAAGCCAAAATATCTAACCCGATTCAACTACAACTTCAGTCTAACCAATCTAGTGAAGTTACAGGAACAGTTCGTAAACGCAAAAGATCCAACGCAGCTGGCTTCGTAGTGGCCATAGTCGTGTTCTTCCTAGGATGTTATGCACTTGTTAATTACTTAATTTTATGCTTCACATTTTCTTGCAAAGTTCCGGGTAAAGCTGGTCAGATTCTTAATGTTCTTCTTGTTTTGAATTCCGCTGCGAATCCTGTTGTTTATGCGTTTTGTAAGAATGACATTAAAACGCACATGAAAAAGCTTTTTTGCAACTGGAATAAGGACCGAGGGGAAAGTCGTGGGTAAGAGGTTCCCCCGTGGTAACATTCTGTGCGTCCATCGTTTTCAAGTATCCATTTACATTTTTCAATTTTTTTTTTTTGAGACGAGCGGTGTGTTATTTTTAATAATATGCTTCTATTGAAGACTTGTGTGAAATCACTTAAAATAGGTATCATATGATGAGTTGAATTCACGCCAGTGTGGTTTATTATTACAATTAGATAACTCTCGATGGGACGTAGTTAAAAACGGAAGCAACTGATAAACTGAAATTTTTTTTCACGCGCGAACTTTATTTAAATCGATGTTTCCCACGCCAGATTTCACTGACAAAACAGAATTAATACTACATAATGTGCTGTAAATTCCATATTTGGTTTATTGGAGGCCACCTGCTTCATTTTGTAATGGCAATTTACATACTTTTGTGAACAACGAAACAACCACTTTAAAAAAAAAGAATGCGGTCTCCCAGACTCCTTAAATGATAACTTACATACGTACGTTGCTCGTTTTTTCTAAAACCCCAAAATTTTAAGCATTCTGAATGACTGCCATAGGCCGACAGAGGAAAATCAGACAAATAACCTAAAACTGAAATAGGTCATCCTAAAAGATTACGATAAAAAAAAAAATTTAATTGTCAAACAGGGTTTTAATGTACACATGCGAAAAAACATTTGACATGCATGCGTGGGAGAGGAAGTGGTCATACTGGCTGGTTTTAAAAGAATGTTTTCTTCCTTTTCCTGTGTCTTTACGAAATTGAGATTTCGCTTTTGTTGTATGAAACTGTGGAATCATTATCAGCAGTAACAACAATAGCACTCAAGAGGCTGTATTTGGAAGCTTTTTATTGATATTCACAACTTGGTTTGCCTTTTTTATTCTTAAAAGTTCCCGTAGAGAAACAATTGCCTTTCACTAGTCAGACTGGCTGTCATTAATTTCAATGTTCAGAGTCGGACTTCTGTCTCAGGAAAACGTTAGAAGTTAGCATTCTCTTTGTTAAACATATATCATAGAACTTGTTCATGAATACTGCATGAATGATTCTTAACTCCCGGCTGGACTAATGTAAATATTAAGAAAGTTGCCATGAATTTTGGTGTTACGGCTCAGTCGAAATTGACTGAACTCGTTTTTAAGCGAAAGATTGCACACTAATACTCTCTTTGGGGAGGAGGCTGACCAGATAATTAAGAAATGGTCTTTGAATTTGTTCGCGGATTCGTGATGACTGGAAGCCCAATCTCTGTTTAAGCGCCAAGTTTATAAATAAAATGCCCAGTTTTCCCTTTTCATATCTGCTGTGTATTAGTAACAAAGAGCACAGAGTTTAAAGGTTATAAGAGGAGAGACCGCTGGACAGCGAAAAGAAAGACGTGAAAAGAAAATTATAGAAAGGCAAAGTAAAAACAAAAATTTAGAAATAAGCTTCCCCTAAGAGTTTGAATCTAAATCGCAACATAAAAATTTGCCAAGCACCAAAACCATATTTTATAGACATTTCTAGCGTTTTAAGCTGTCTGGTCCATATATATGACCATCAAAACAAAAAAAAAAAAGATGGCTTACGTATTTTCTACAATTGGGTTGTTTGCCAAAGTAAAGGGAAAACTTCCGGAACCATTTTTTTAATGTCTACCCAGGAGAAAAGATTTCAGAAAAAATGCAATTTGTATTTTTCAAAAGAACATAAAATGAGAGATTCTCTTGGCACTCTTTCAGTTCATTAAAAGTGCTTTTTGAAAGTACTTGTCAGATTCTCGGGCTTGATTGTTTCAAAACTATGAAACTCTGAGACTATGTCTTTACTATTGAAGGCTGGAGTCGAGTGACATGATAGAATTTCCAGAGCCTCTGACTGAAATGAATGCCAACGAAATGCGGCTTAATCGGACAGAATCGTGACGTTTTGACCCTTACTTATATGGTCCGATAATAATAGCAGAACATAAGCTAAGAGCAGAATATTTAAAAAAGTTGAAGACTTTTGTCTTTCCGATAGATTTTTAAGATAGATTTCCGTTGAAGAGTTTTCCAAAAAGTTACTCGAGACATTTCTTAGAAAGGGAAATTCACCAGGACAGCAATCAACCGCTGAATTTGTCCCTTTTACTATGAAATCAATCTATATTCTTCTTTCTTAACTGAAATATTTATGGAAAACTTTAGAAACATGTTTACTGTAACGGCAAATGCAAAATAGAAGTAGTTATGGTTCTTTTGCGGTCGGCGTTTCAGCTCAGTTCAGCTGTTTACGAAAAATTTGAAACCCTTGTCCGAGTGCGTAAAAAAAATGAGGTTCGAGGGGGTAAAAAAAGCCGACCTCCTAAAATTTTAAGTGAATCTAACAAATATTTACCCATCCGTTTACCGGAAAAGTCTTTTCCTACGGAAAAAAAAAAAAATCATGTGAATGAGATAACAACTGCTTTGTCCTCCTCAGCAGGATTACAGAGAGTATGAGTTGCGAAAACCATCAAAACCAAGATTTTACCGAAAAAATAATGATAGTTAAGCTTTTCTTCTCTTATCTCAATCTAACAGCAACATGAAAGCTTTCTGACGGAAAGTTAATTAAAAGTGCTTCATTGTCAGCACAGAAACAAACGAAGCAATTATCATGACAACACCTACAGATTAAAAATATTTATCGCACCCTGTGCTTTTTTTTTTCGGTTTTAATTTGTCTTAATTCAAACAAAGGTATGAAAGAAGCGCCATCGATAACAGTATCACCTGAAGTTTCTTACTTATTTTTTTAGATTGCATTCTAATTCTTAACCGTCGGCAAATATTTTAGAATAAAATCTATGTGCAAAGGTCATAATCCGACCTAAGGGAAAGCCAAAGTCTCGTGTTTGACCATTAAAGTTCAATTAATCTGGAAGTGCTCTCATGGGGACCTTATACCTGAACAATGTCAAAACAATATATGACACAGGGAGTTTCGGTTTCTTTCAAACCAACACAGGTGGATTGCGCACTAAAAGCCTCGTTGAATTGAAATTGGGGTTTTAATGAACTGGACAGCAAAGTGCGGGAGTAGAAGCCGAATTAGCGACGGAAAAAAAAAGGTTAATATTTCTAACTTCTTCCAAAAAGATAGATTCAATTTTTTTCAAACTACTTTTCAAATAACATTTTTTTAGAGAAAAATAACGTGCATGAACCATAAATATGGTTCATGCACATAACTCATCCATACTTTCCAATTGCAGCTGTGATGCCCTAAGTTATATGCAAAGAGTGTCTTTCTATACTTTCTATTGTCATCTTGGGAAAAAGTATATACTTCGTCCGGATTATTGATTAAGAATTTCGGAAACTCTTGATAAACACATTCATACCGCACAATAGATTAATGCGCGCAAGGAGTCACTTTGACAACTTCGAAAGAGTAGGTGGCGATGATAAATGAGCTTCGGTTTATAAATTGAAATTTTATCTTAGATAAGAAATTTTGAATTTTTGTGCGCTAGGAGACACTTTGACAACTTCAAAAGAGTAGGTGGTGATGATAAATGAGCTTCGATTTATGCATTGAAATTTTATCTTAGATAAGAAATTTTGAATTTTTGCGGTGCAAATTTTCCTACACGAGTCCAATTTATGAACAAAAAATACGATTGTTCTCAGTTAACCTCAACCAGCTGACATTTGTTTCGGAGCAGTTTGATGGAATCTACACCAGCAAAGAGTCTTAGAGCAGTCTTGGCGGAATTTACTTTTCAATTCCTCAATAAGCTTGCATATTCATTTATATTCCACTTATAACTCTTAAGTGGAGGAAAACACACGACGTGAGCAATTCAAAACATTGTTTAAATTCTGCAAACACAGATAGGCACAAGCATCTGAAGAACAATTCCCTGTTAAGTGACAGCTGGAAAAGAAATTAAATTGCCGTGTAATTGTAAATTTATGGGATTGTATTTATTCATTTCGCTTGGCATATGACAGTGACCTATTTTACGCTTTAAACCCATTTAAGCGAGAACAGTTGTGGCAGTGCGTCAAGAGAGGTTCGATTTAAATGGAGACGTGGTTCAACATTCTTGGATGGGTTCTTTCTATCGCTACAGTGGCAGGAAATGGCTTTGTGGTTGGTATTGTGGCCCAAACTCGTCGACTTCATTCCACTGCAAACTGGTTTGTTCTGTCTTTGGCAGTGGCCGACTTTGGTGTTGGAATCATCGTTTATCCTTTGTCATATTTTTGTTTAAGCTCAATAGAGTGTAACCTTAAAGTATACGTGGCGCTTTTCTGGTTTTTCCTACATTCGTCGGCCACAAATCTTTGCGCATTGACTTGGAATCGTTACGTCGCAATCGTTCATCCATTCAAGTACCACACGTCCATGACCGAGAGACGTCCAGGGATGGTCATCATGACCGCATGGCTGATTTCCTTTGCGAGTGCCTTGTCTCTTTTGGTGGGATTATACGCAACGCAGTCCCCCACTGCCCTGAAGATCTTGCGAATACTAAACATCTCCATCTTTGACATAGTTTCCTGCGCGCTGCTTTTGTATGCCGTTGTTCGTATTCTCATTGTGGCTCGGACACAGGCAAGCCAGATGTCTGAATTGGAGCTAAACGGAAGGCCCACCACGGAAGCAGAAGCCTTACGAAGAGGAAGACTGCGCAACACAGCTCTCTTCATCATCGCTATAGTTGTGTTTTTCTTGGGATGCTACGTAGTTGTAAGCGCCGTAACTCTTTGTGTGACTTTTTCCTCGTGTCAATCTTCCGTTGCAGTTGGCCAGACCATCGTTTGCCTACTCACTCTGAACTCCGCAGGTAATCCTTTGGTATATGCGCTTTTAAAGAGGGATATGAAGAGAGAAGTACAGAGGCTTTTCTGCAGAGAACGCTTTAATGAAGGATTTGACACGTTAAATCCATCAAGTAGAATGAGAATGTCAACGGCATTATAGAAATGTGAAACAAGTGTCATTCCATTAGTTTTTTTTCTATGTATCTTTTGTTCCTTCATGTGGCGATGTACATTTCAAAGATGCAGCAAGAACTGTGTTTTAAAAAACTTATTCATTATTGTATTCTGTGTTGTTCTATTATTAGTTCACCTCTTTTTGTTCATTTTGTTCAACTCATTAGGGAAAATTTAAATTCAAAATTGGTTCACGAAAAAAGAAACAATACGTTTCCGGACTATTTTGTATTCCAACCGTATAATATGATTAAATAAAAAGTAATGGTGTGACTTGCGGTTTTTTTTTTTTTTTCTGTTTGTCAAGTTGTTCCTATCGATCAACCCTTAATGCATCCTGCCAACCAAGATTTAATATACTTCTTCGAATTACGCTTACTTTTATGTTTATTACACCGGAAGAAACCTTTCCTGAATTAACTAACACTTTTAAGATGTGGACATGCACTTTTTCTATTTGCAGGATTTCTTCCCAAACGGTGATACGACTATTAACTAGACCAAAATATTGCTGCATTGGCTCGTGAAAAAATAGCAATTTTAAAACTTATCAGTTACGTTTTTTGGTTTGGGTTGTAATTTGGTTGTTGTCTTTAGTTGTTGGTGTTTGCATTCGCCTGCTGTTAGTAATATTTTATTAACAACTATTTTTAAAGGAGAAGGCGGCTTCGTGGCTCGAAAATCAGTTTTACACTGAGTTTCAATCGTAATTTCAAAATTGAATTTGTTTCTAAAGGCCTCAACTTAAAAGTGGGCGTGTAAAGTAAATAGGCCCCAGGGTGTTGTTTAATTCGCCTCCCGTTATTAGCTTAAGACGCTTTGGGAGAAATTAAGATTTTCGTCACTTATATAAGACTGATTGAGAGTAGCCCCTAACCTCTAGAGAAATGTAAAAATTTTCTTTAAGCCTTACAAAAAAGAAATGAACATCGAGCGATACGAGAATGAAGTGTATCATTTGAAATTTTACCATATGTGATTTACCGTTCAAGAACTTGTAAAATATGACTAAAAGGAACAGAACGAAAATTAACGAATTCAGAAACAACAGCTATAAAAGAGAAGTTAGATCAGAATTTGAAGAAAGGTGCAAAGCAGGTGCAACTGACGTTTCAGTCAACATATAGAGCGTAGAAAAACTACCCCCTCCCCCCCTTACATGAATAAGCTCGTTTGTACCCCGAATAAAAATTTGTAAATAATTCTTCAAAGGTAGCAGCTGCATCGGAAACAAAAAGTTGCGCAACACAAATTTTTTATCTTTTTATATAGATTTGTAGACTTTTATTTGGTCACGAAGAGTTTAGTTTAATTAGCTAAAAATAAGGTAAGATCATTATGTGTACCAAATTTCCTTGTCTTAGACATTTTCGATTCAATAACAAATGTAAGATAGTTTCGGTACTTTTGTTTCAATTATTTTTTGTACCTGTTTTTTTTACTTTACTTTACCAAGCTTTTATGTATTTCCTGCACTGCAAATAGCATAATAGCGTGTCATCTTTTACACTACCTTTACGTGAGCAAAAAGCTACCACAAAAACTAAATCTTTAACATTTCCACTCAAGAGGTTTTAATGGTTGTGATCTTATTCAAAAGTCGTCTCGACCCGCCAACATTGAAAATATGAATCTACAATACTCAAAGGTATTACAAGGCTGATTCTATTATTGACTGCGATAATCAGTATTCACTGGATTACATAGAGCACATTCCAGCTAACACATCATTCGCTTTTGGAAGAAGAAAGACCGACGTCTACGCCGAGTTTAGAAGGAATTCGAATGAAATACTGCACTTCAACAGACTGATCAAAGACTAATCTAGGCCGCCTTAACTAAAGAGGCTTACGTCAACAACTGCTTCACGGGAGAGACAGGTCTGTCCAGTCGAAAGCGTCTGTCAGAAAGTTATGGTAACGATTATTTTCAAGACAGTTTTACGAATAATTACGCTTAAGAAAAGCTATCTATTCGGAAGGAATTCTTTTTTGTCACTAGTCCATGATCTATTTTCAGCGAATGAATTCTTAAGGGATGGGTTTGAAAGTTTACGTTTGGTACTCCTTTTGGATTAGCCTTAGGGAACCGCAGAATTAGATGAATTTTAAAGAAATGAAATGAAAACACAGCAAATGGAGACCTACTGTCCGACGACGCCTGCTTGAAAATTGGCTCATTTGATTTACAAAGAAAGTCTCCAGAGAAAAGTTCAACAATAATATGATACGGTTCCCTTAATACAGGTCCTTTAGACAAGTTCAATTTGAAATAATTTTAGATAATACTAGAAAAATCATTTCCTGAAGTTTTTTGGGACACCTCATTTGCTATGACAAAGCAGAAGAACGCAATGATGAATTTCTTGTGCATCTATTATGCAACAGTTTTCAAAGCCATTTTGTTGGCAATGTCTGCATATCTACTTAGCTTATTTAGCTGGAAAAAAATAACTACGGAAAAAAGGATATCTACATTTATGAAAATACTTGCAAAGACAACATGACTTAAAGCTCACAATTTTACTGTTTAATATGATTCGTCATAACCCTTAATATGCTGTATAGGGTAGTACTTGATGTTAGCTAGATACTTGAGTTGTGTTTTGTAATCAGTGCAAATTTTGAAAGCTTAACTTCGACAAGACATTCTGTTCATTTTTAAACGGAAGGAAAACATTTTAAGACACTATAATTTTTGGTTCGAAGACCTTCTCGGCCTTCCGTGCCGACCGGTACTACTCGATTCGTCAATTATCGTAAACATGACAGATCCTCTAAGCACTCTAAATTTCAGTGTGCTATTCTTACAAAACAAAAATTAAAAATTGACGGCACGGGTAATTATAAGGCTGAACACGCATGAAGGCGCATCATGATATTTCAAAGTTTTAGTAATATATGATGATGTGCTGTTTATATACAGCGCAGAACCCTTAACAAGTTTAACTTCTACAAAACGCAAAAAAAATTAATAAAATTAGGTCCACGGAGAACCATATAGATAACTAGCTTTCTCAGCTTAATACTCAACCGATTTTCAGAATACCATTCGAATTGCTCCTAACACATTAAACAATCCTTGAGTGAGCTTTTAATTTCAAGCAGATCAGCTTTCCCATACTGCGAGAAACAACTAAAGAAGATCTGCGGAAACCGAGTCAACTAATTGTTTTGATGTTCAATAACCTTTTTTTTTCCTTGATTGTGTTTTTTCTTTTTTTTTTTGAAAATATTTTCAATACTCGATATTCGGAAGCTTGGGAAAGCAATCGGGAATTTTTTCAGGAAAGAGCACAACTACCCGAACGCAGGAGCGGGTCTTTATTTGTACCAAGACGCACCTTTACGGCGTTTTACATTTGGAGACCAATATCACGAGACATTACTTTCAGCCAACGAAATAAAAGGCGGAAATGCATCAAATGATGAATGTGTTTATTGGGATCTTTGGGTCTCGCAAACAGTAATACCAAGTGTCTGAACTACAGTAATGTTATCATCATCGGCGAGCAGTAGTACGTTATTGGCAGCGGCAGCCTTTAATTAGTTAATCTGCGTCCAAAAGTTCAACCAACTGGTCGCCAATGTGATTGAAAAGTTAAGTGCGTGCGACCATCACTTTACTTGTTAGTCGCCGGCAGGTCGATGTTCTAAACCAGCTATTTCGTTTCCGTTTCAGATCGAAACACTTCACGTTTAGTATCCAGAAGAAACATATCCCGTCGTATCGAAGTTTTTAACCTGCCGGGAAAATAGTTTAGGCCAAAAAGGAGGTAAGTTTCACATTGATTGAGATCCAAAACTATCGTAATACGCAAATGCTTAAACTTGTGCTTTCCAGGCGCCCTATCTGATCATGTTCGGCGGCCCTTTCCGAAACATTTTTCTCGGTCAGAAGAGGAAAAACCTGCTGAAATTCGTTCAAATCTTCTACACTATCTCGCGTGCCTACAAATCAGAAAAGTGGTCCTTCCCCTTTAATTGAAAACAAACTTCGAAAAAGCTCACGACTTTCATGGAACATGCGATACCTTCGCCATTTTCTTTCCGTGACTCAACTGATGATTAGCAACGAGTGAGAGTATCTTACAGATGAAGAAACTTCTTTAAACTTTTCTCATATCACTGTGAAGTAAACATCTAACGCTACACATCTTTTTCTCTGACGAAGGGCTAACGCTCGAAACGTTGGCTTTGAAACTCTTTACGGTGGCTAATTTACATAAAAAACTCAGTTGATAGGATCAAATCACCTTATTACACCCCTACCGATGCAGCTCCACCGGTTCTTTAGAAACTTACCCCCTTTATTCATTTGTTATCAACTGACAGAAAGAAAATTGTAGTCGCGTTTCAATCGGCTACCGAACATTACACCCCCTACCAATGCAGCTCCACAATTTCTTTAGAAACTTATCCTAGTTTTCATTCGTCATCAACGACAGAAAAAAGTTGTAGTCGTTTTCCAATTGGCTCCCGAACGACTTGAGATGTTAAGTTCGCCGGCGTCAAGAAACAGCTCTCTTCACCATCGCCATATAGTTAGTGTATTTACTAAGGTTGTCACGTACCTGTAAGCACGACAACTCTCTGGGAAAGGTTTACCTGCAAAGGTACCCATGCATCTGGTAGGATCCTTTTTCTTTCCTTTTTAGTTAAATAATTCCGCAGAGAATCCTCTAGTTATGCTTTTTTTGGAGAGAGATAATAGGAAAGGAGTGAGCCAATTCCACGCGGGTAACGCTGTTAAGTCCATAAAGATAGGGAGACCTTTTAAAAATGCGAACGCGCGTCATTTTAATGGTCAACCTTTTTCAGATAGTTTCCTTTCTGCAAGTGTTAAATCTTCATTTCAAAGCGCAGTAAAAACTGTAGCGCTGAAAAGAGCCGTCTCTGTAAAAATCTTCGGGTTTGTCGCATTTTCTTTTATCTTAAAGAAATTTGAATTTAGAATTGTTTCACATTAACGAAACCTGGCGGTGATCTTGGTGAGCGTGTTTTTGATAATTTTGATCATTGTTTTACATAACATGTAGGGTATAATTGTATAGCGCAGCGCATGATTACCATTTTAGCATTTTAATTTGTATTTGTTTCCCTATTCAACAGACCCCATACCCTACCTCTTTGTTATAGGAACTTTATATATTTCTTTCCCTCAAAAGTTATGTAAATGCTTATTGTGATGTACACACGCATGTTAAACCCAGCGTAACTTCCAACGACTATGATTTTCCGCTTTTGGGGGCGTCATCTTTTATGTTTCCTTTAGGTAAATCCATCGATCGAACTTAGCCGACCAGACGACTAAACATCAGACATTTCCATGCGAAAAAAAGAAAAGATGAAAGGAGTTGAGAGGTTTTTTTTTTTTTTTCGTGGCCTTCTTGACCAATTTTGAAATATGTAATTTACCATTTTGCATATTAACCAAGAAAACCTGAATAACTGGCTTGGCTTCAAATGATGAATCCTTATAAAGTGCTTCGATGTCTTGTAGAATCCACATTTTATATCATTACAGAGCTGTTTGAGAAGTAACGTGAGGGTTTGATGAGTGACATTACAACGAAGGAACGAAGTTGAGTCGTGTGGAATAGGATTCTGTATGCAAAATTTTAAACGCGATCAAAAATTAAAGAGGAACTCGAAAGATTCACGCAATACAATTACATAGAGACAAAATAAAGCTTATGTCGGCAAATGTCTCCCCAAAGAGACAAGTCTGTCAAGTTGGATGCATCAAGTCGCTTTTACTTATTCTTTACATCATTTTTGGGAAAAATGCGCTCGGGAGAAGCTACTTTACTCAGAGGCAGTTTGTCTTTATCACTTGCATTCAAGTTGGTTAAGTACTCATTTCGGCTCAGAGTAGGCAACCCTCCCTTAAAAAGGAAAAAAAATGAACACGATTCAACCGAAGCGAAATATTAATTTATTTAACCTTTTAACTCCCAAGATCTCATTAGTAATTCTCCTTACTGTCTTTCATACAATTCATATGATGTTAGTTTGGAGAATTTGGAATTGGATCAACAAATAATCCACTAATTGATGTTTTTCTTTATTCTCATTAATTGTCTGCTTGATATCGTACTGATAATGTAAGGAGAAATTCCTTCTAGGTCACTAGTAGGACTTTAAGGGTTAATATCGCCGGTGGGCAAAACAGTACATTTGAATGGCAATTGAATCGCTTTCTCACAAAATGCAAAACTGTGATAATAACATATTCGTTCAATTTGTCCGCTACTTTTCGAAGACCTACACTAATCAGAGAGGTGGATTCTCCGCGTTAACAAAATAAAGATGCGATACTCCATCATTTTTCCATTTTCCAGTTTTCTCCTTGATACACTCATCTCAATAATGTCTAAGCCGATCGTATTAGAGCAGCTTTCTGAGTCATGTTTTGAGACCGTCTCCGAGTCATAATTTTTCATATAATTTTAGTACCTTTTTCATATTTTTTTCCTTTTATACTGGTGCGTTGATGTATAAAAAAGTCTTTATTTCTGTGGATGAATCAGATTTTAAAAAGGAAAGAATTAGTACCCACATCTGTTCGAACAAAAATCGAACCCCTTGTGACCTCTACCGACATCATGACGGAAATGCCATCGAAAAACTCGCTGTGTTGTGGTGGCCTTTTTCTGTCAACTGTGCTACAGACCACACATTTGAGTATGATAGAAAGTTGTATCGATGAAATATAGCGAAAAAATTCTTAGATTAATAAGAGATGAAGTTGCGTAAAAAGTACTTAAAATGAAACAGCCATTTCCGGAAAAAAAGAAAAGTATATATCTCTTGCAATTTGCCGAAGTTCATCTTAATTACAGGGCCCAGTTGTATAAAGGTCCGATAACGCTATCAGGCGGATAAATTATTATCTGGTGGATAAGTGATAGCAAAACGTATAACGTTATCCACCGTATAGAGTTTTATCCAGTGGATCGCGTTATCCAACCTTCGGACAACCGGGTTCGGCTCTTTCGTTGTCTTCGCCGACCGTACACTCCCTGCCCCTCGTGAAGTGAAAAGTAAGCTGTGGTATTGGTCCGATTCAATTGGCTCCCCTTATATCCAACGACTTTGCCTACCACTATCATTCTCAGAGATGTAGTCATATTGAGAAGCGTAAACGGGGTAAGTTTCTTGAGAAACTGTGGTGCGTCAGTAGGAGAGTATGGCAGGGTAATCTAGTATTATCTACTGAGTTGAAAACGTAAATTGGCCACCGTAAAGAGTTTAAAGGCTGACGTTTCGAGCGTTAGCCCTTCGTCAGAGCGAGAAGCACCTGTTTTTAATCGGTATAAGTTAATTAAGCTGAGGGAGACCCCAGTTTAAATTGATATCTTCAATCATAAATGTTCGTTTAATAAACATAAATTGTTGGGATCAATATCAGTATCTGGGCAACTGCCCACCTACCCCTCCCCTAACCCAACATTAACCCTAACTTGTTATCAATTGACTGTTGTTGGGTTAGAGGAGAGGCAGGTGGGCAGTTGCCATATTGATATTGATCCAATTGTTCTGCCTCAATTCTGCGTTTAAAAAAAATTTCAACAAAGCAACCATCTTGATTACTGGACTGAAGAAATTTTCTATGTAACCCCTTTCACAACGAATAGTAGACTGTAAGTGACACATATCAGGTACATGCTATTTCAAAAAAATAGTTCGACCTGGATAATCAAAAAATTCAAAGAAAGGTTAAAAAAATGATTCCGAAATTTCTACGGTTGCTGCAAACCTTCATACTTAGCGCTCAAATGTCTAAATTTGGTGTTATCTAGTAAATCTGGTGTAGAATGTGTATAAGAAAAGTTTGAAACTAGAAGTATGCAATAATAGTTTTGGGGAGAATAAGTTTGTATCACGCATTTCGAAAAGGCGGCTCAAGTAGCTGCTTTAGTCTTGGTACAGCGTTGCATTGTCAGTTTTTAAGAGTTTTTTGGTTCTACACATTATTTTCCTGCCAAGAGGAAAATGGGTATTTTTTTATAAAGTGACCGACATTGCTTTCGAAAAAAGACATATTTTTTTCTTGTCGTTTTATGATCAATTCCCTCGGGGCAATTAAATTAATACATTAGTGAACTCTCCACCAATCAGAGAGCGTGCACCTCATAGTATGATTACCATAACAAATGCTAGCTATGTTTTGAACCGATAACTTATATGCAATGCAATGTCTTTCATCTAGGTTCTTCCATCCCAGATCACTGCTGTATTGGTGGCTGAATAAGGCATCAGTGAGGTACGAAGGACATGTAAAGATATGCACGTCCTCTAAGTCAATCAAATCGGATCAGCTACAATCCTCCGTCGTAAGCCTCCATTAAGCCAAAACACGTCTGAATGTGTCAAAACAGATCGTCGTCCAGTTAACATGAGAGTCGGAAATGTGTTTGACTATATCGGCTGGCTCCTCACAATCTCAACAGTAGCAGGAAACGGTTTTGTGATTGTTCTAGTGATTGTAATTCGCCGACTTCACTCCTCTGCCAATTGGTTCGTTCTTTCCCTAGCAGTGGCCGACTTTTTGGTTGGATTTGCCATCTTCCCACCCGCATACTTTTGTGATGAATCATGCAACCGCAGATTGGTCTCGGCCTTTTTTTGGTTCTCCCTTAATTCATCGGTCTCTAACCTCTGCATCTTGACTTGGGATCGATTCTTCGCCATCGTTCGGCCTTTGAAATACCATTCCTCTTTAACGATGAGACACACAAGACTGATTGTCATGACAGCATGGTTAATTGCCTTTGCATTATCACTGTCAAATTTTGTGGGATATTACGTTACAGATTCCCACACGGCATTATTAGTCCTGTTCCTCATCAGCATCCCTGTTTTTCAAATACTGTCCTGCACTTTTCTACTTTACGCGATCATTCGCATCCTTGTTGCGGCGCGCAAGCAAACGCGCCGAGAAGCTGCCTTACATCTCGAACTCACGCACAGCAACCAAGCCGACCAATCAGTCACGGCTGCAACAGACGCCGCCCCGCTTCGCAGACACAAAAAGCCAAATTCAGCTCCTTTCATAATTGCTTTAGTCTTGCTCTCTTTGGGATGCTGTGTAACGGCGAATGGTTTGATTTTGTGCATTAATTTTTCGTGCAATATTCCTGAACTAGGAGGACATGTCCTCACTACTTTGTGGATTTTGAATTCTGCGTTCAATCCTTTTGTCTACGCTTGTTTGAAAAAGGACATAAAGAGGGAACTTACAAAGCTCATTCGAAGGCGAAAATAAGTCAGTGAAAGACTTCTCCATAATGCTGGTGATTTGCTATACCAAAAAGGTTATACAGTATATAAGTTAGAAAGTACTGCGTATGTAACGTAAGTAACCGACGATCTCAAAAGTAATGGAAAATAGAGGTATTTTGGTGAGATACGTGTCCCTTTACTTCAGAACAGCGTCAAAAGTATTTAATTGACTCACGTTTTCATCATGAAAGTGGAGAGAGTTTCTACTACGATAAGATTCGGTCCGTAGATAATAGATTGAACGGAGCGTGGGATGTTATATTTATTAACCGGTTCGACAAAGAAAAAACTTTTGTTTTTATGTTAATGTGCCGTTTGTTTTCCAGTATCTATAGGTGGGCGACGATGAGAAAGTAGACTTTAATAAGACGAATTTCAGCCATAATCAGACAGTTCTATGGGCTGCATGGTTCGATTCACTCTGTCTGATTTTTGAAGAGTTAACGAACATGTGTTAACACTCTAAAGATCGCCATTATAATAGTTATTCACGAAGACAGAATCTTAGGTTATTACTATTTACTCAATTGACGCGTCATCTGTCATTCTAAGACTTATCTTATTAGAATTTGTTAAGATCTTGTTTAAACAAACCATCATCACGAGTGTCGGCAACGATAAAACTCTCCTTAACTAATGGTTTTAGAAGAGCTACAAATTGCCTCTCTTAAATAATTGTCAAGGTCAGGTCAAGGGAAGTCAAGAACACGAGTGGACTAATTGTATCCTTTGGCAGAAAATCTCTCTTTTTTCTCGTGTTTTCTTTCTTTCTTTCTTTCTTCGCTTGTGTTCTTTTCCAAAATCAATAAATTTGAAAACAAGCACCAACATATGTATTTGAATTAATTTTTTTAAAATTCACTACCAACGAAATTTCCATAACTAAAAAATCAAGTGTCATCACATCAGAAAAAGATCAACAAATAATGAGATATTCGTCTAATTTTAGTAAATAATTTACACAGCGGTTTGATAGAGGTATTTACGCCTTTTGTAGTCTGATAAATAAATTTTCCATCTGTGTAGTATTTATAAGCATTGTAGATGTGCTGAGTATCCTTTAATCCTTGCCCATGTTATCAAAGTTTTATTTCTCATTACCGTCCTTGCTCTCTACATTTTCCGCCAACCCAATACTTTAAGCAATATTTTTGAGTATTTTGTTTTTGTCACTTGGTAAACCAAGAAGCCGGTGAGTTAGACATGAATTTTTAACTTGAAAGGGCCTTCCTTATTAGGTATTGTGCATTTTAATCGGTTTTGCTTTGCATAAAATCACAAAAAGCGCAACTATCAATAAATTAATTGCTATTTCAAGAGATTATTACCATTTCGTTCTGGTGGGTGAATTTTCTCGCAAAGCGACGGAGCTTAAAGCAAGTAAAATTTTTTTCCCAACAAATGTTAGTATCAAAATGTATTTTTCAATCCCCAGACTAAAAACTTTAAACAAATCAGTTCGTTCCAAATCGTTAGTCGTTCTCTCTACGTGCGAAATGTGACCTATGGACTGATGATAATTGTCTTAGGCGAAGAGTCTGTTGTAGGCATTGATCGTCTTCGTCACATTTCTTGGAATCCTACGTCAAATACCACCTGACCTAAAGTTTAAAACAAAAAACTTCACTTGAAATCGCTACACGAAGAGCTTGAGGTCCTTCCAAACAATTTAGTGCTCACCTAAATTGTTTTCGGGACAATTCAGGGGGGAAATGCTATGGTCGAACGATGAATAAAAGAAATGAAAGCTAGTTTTATTTCGTATTGTTTTAATTTAACCAATTACGCAAAGTGATCGGATATCAGGCTGTTCTGCTAATAAAAATAATCTGTCGAATGAAAAATCTTCCGGGCTTTTGAAAGGCGGCATTTGAAATTTTTGTTGAACTGAGTATTTCTGAGCGAGTGAATAACAGCCGACTTTCGAAGTGGTACAAATACACAATAAAACCATGATTTTATTATTCAGTTACGCAAGAGAGTCTCCGTTGGTATTAATGTTGACCAGTATCACTATTGGGAGTTTTTGAGTCCTGTGAGGTACATCTTTAGTGCCGCATACTTGTTGCCACATGATAAGAATGAGTATAACCGATATTTTGAAAACTGCGTTAACGAAACGTGCCTTTGATTAAAGCTTATGTCAAGGCCTTTGAGGTCACCGTGACGGCTAAATAATATTCAACTCAGTCAGTTGCTCCTTTAGAGGCCTGAAGCGTGATAAGGACTATGATCTATATTTTTTAAATAAATTCTTTAAATGAAGCGTGCCCCGACCGAACCCTATTATCGAAGCTTGCATCAGGCACTCGCTGTCGCGGCTAAGCAGCACCCATAACCTCCCATGCTACTCAGATACTCAGGTTAAAGTTCGGCATCGCTTCAGTCACAAATCGCCGTCGAGGCTCTAAAGCGCATGCGTAAGGGCAAGGTTTCACACTTGGTCTTCAAGAAGTAGTTGAAAAGTATATGAAAACTTTGTTAGAGGGATAATTTCCCATTTGAAATATGAGAAAATCTTATGGAGACTGAGCCTGAATTTTGCCAAAAAAACAGCCTGAGTAAACCCCCGGTTCCCATTTCATTGGTTGGGAAATGTCTGCTTTTAATAAAGCCGGCCTGCCGACGACGAATCAAGCACAATCTTTTGTCGCCTATACCCTTACTACACTGAAATAATCGGTTAAATAAAAAGAATCAAACCTTTAATTGAAACCTCCCAGCCTGCACCTCGTAGATTGAGTATGGTCTAATGAACTGCAGTTGGGTGAAGCTTTCGTTTGCAACCCCATTTCAGTTCCGAGATTTTAATTTCAAAATTTCAACCATAAAAATCCTGAAAAGGAAGGCGAAAACACCGCGATTTATTTTTTTTGAGAGGGCACGGTAACGAATCTTGCAATCTGATTGGTTCTTTACCCGGTCAATATTTTCCTATCTCCGCCCACTGGCCACGGTAACGCTTTCGTGAGTCGCCAAATACATCCCAACTTTCGTTGCCATTTTTAATAAACATTTCTCGTTTTTCCGGCTGGGCAGTATTTTTAAGCAAACACGTCGGTCACTACCTCAAGCCGATGAATAACTTATGAATCCTCTCTTTTCTCTCACTTAAATCACTTTGGTTGACAGAAAAATATTGGTTTCGGAATTAATTTGAATAAACAATAGTGTCATTATGTTGGTTGACAAGCGGCCTAAAACCCGTCTGCAATTAATTTTAATCGTTCACAAAAAGTACCTAGAAAGTTAAAACGTGAGGTATTTGGTTACAGTTAAACTGAACGATGGAACTTTCATTCCTTTAATACCTGAATTTTCTCAAGCAATTTGTTCGCAGTGAAAGAACGAGCGAAGTTTTAATTTAAGTTCTACAACAAATATATGCTCTCGGTGAGTCTTTCCAAGTCCGTTCAATTTGAACATTTGTACCGTAAATTGCAAAACAGAAACTGAAGGAATTTTTTGAGAAAAGGCTGCATTAAATACCTTTGTGTCCCGTTGGAGTGTACCATTCGAATTTAGTTTTTGTGAAGGAAAGACCAGATTTACACACGCCATTGCAGCAAACAAACGAGCAAACTCTCACAACTTCAAAATAAAAAAATTGAATTTGCTCACAATTACTCCCCTCGCCCTTTACTTAATGAACAGAGGTAAATCTGTAACAATATTGCGTGACACTGTCACGACCTCGTGGTCCGCTGACGACATCTGTTTTCTTATATTAAATATATCTTGTTGGTCCGACATCTTGGTTTTGTGTTCTCCTCTACATTGCCCGTTTTGGCTTGTTACAAAATCTTCGTACAAGAATGAATCGTTGATGAGAGTGAATAATACTTTCCGTTTGAGCACTGACTGTTTTTTTAATAAAACATTGTCGTGACAGTCCTTACCAAACTAGTTCCGTTGTTTTTCAAATGTTCTTAGGTTTTTTTTTTACTTACGCGCTCTCTAATTGACAGGTGTCAGATTGTGACAGATACTTGTTAAAATAATATTTCAAAGTTTGTTTGGAAGCCTTTTAAATTATCGTTACGGAAATGAAAATGTTTCGCTGAGGCATCTCTCTTGAATTTGCATCACCTCTATTTTAACTACCATTTACTCGCTCATAATCTGTTCAGTTTATGGAAGATCTTGCCGTATTTACAGCCCTAAATCATTCGGATTCTTTCGGAAAGAATTTCGTCGTTTCAAAAAAATAAATATGTTTTTTACCGGCTAAGGGTCGGTCCGTATGGTGAAAAACTGTGACCTCAGTCTTGAAAATGCTGCCCTCGGCCTACGGTCTCGGGCAGTATTTTCAAGACCTCGGTCACAGTTTTTCACCATACGGACTTCCCAGCCGGCAAATAACATATATGTAATTATCTCTCTTTCGTAAGCAAAATTATAGGAGGGGCATTGGGGCCGATTAGAAACCGCAAAACCGAGAAAAACCGTAGAAAAATTATCCAAAACCGAAAAACCGTAAAAAAATTCGATCAAAACCGCATGCAAAACTGTAAAAACCGATACATTTTCAGATCCTAGTTATTCAAACCCTGATCAATCCGACACAGTGGTAACAAGTGGAGCGTACAGAGTAAACTACACTAATTTCATCACAGTATTTGTGAATTCCATGGACTTGGCATTCTTATTTTCTAGTATCTGCTTAAATGATAGGCTTTATTTCCGCAGCTCTCTCGAGGACCTCGAGCGCGGTCTCTCCGGAGGAAATTCGTACAGAAGTCCTCTATAGGATTGCAATTTTGCAGTCGCAAAAAAGCTATAGCTCTGGAAGGTTCCATCGAAAATCCCTAATCTAACATTTCCATTTGCGATTTAAGACCTGAAAGTTTGGAGATTCTATTGGAATGTTGAATCAATCAGTCACGTGTGGCCTGTAACTTGGTCACCAACTTCGAAGTGGCGTTGATAAAGAAACTCTAGCAATGTTCTGAGCTTATCCATTGTTGTTTCTTGCTGCACTGTCCTATGTCTTACTGCTGCACCATATTCGTCATTCAAGACGCGTGAACCCCTACAGATGGTCAAAGTCCTGGGCATAATTCAAGACTCGTGAATCCCCTGGGGATTAGCCTAAGTGTGGCCGTGCCCTCCTCTCCCAAGGTGAAACAGAGGCGAGGTTCCCTCGCTTCCAATATTTCAATTGGTTTGTCTTCTCAATAACATTTGCATTTAGCGGCTATTCGAGATCAGTGGAGGCGCGTCAATTGCCGCTCAGATCGAAGAGAAACCGGAACCCAAATAGGTCAAATAGGAAAAACAGAAAACCGCATCGGATATCAAATCCGAAATCCCGCTGGTATTTTTGGCGAAAACCGAAAACCAAATGCTAAATAGCGGAAAATCCGCAAACAGCAATGAACACTAAAACCGAAAAACCGAAGTTTTTTTGGCACAAAAACCGATCTAAAAAATAGCCAAAACCGCAAAACCGGAAATCCCAATGCCACCTTCATATAGTGGTTCGTAGAAGTCGAAATTTTTTCAACATTTCAAGGCGTTATTGTACTTAGACAGAAAGTTTGCTATCTAGTTAGTTAATCCATTGTCTCTCACAAAACGGCAAACTTCCTATGCAATTGTACGTAGAAAAAAAAGTTTCTCCGACCTGTGTTTGCTGTATTTAAACATGCCGTGTAGCATAACTATAGGTTTGCGAATGATTGACGACTACCGTAACAGCGTTTCGCATTTGAAGTCTTCAACAATAGCTTCTTCTATTTGAGAAACTGATTGATTAGTTAAAGCTTTTTACCATAATAATTATTACGTATAATTCATGACAGCAGCCATGAATTATGCAAAACCCCCCTTCATTAACGCATATGTTTTGACTGGAGTTACCGATTTGAATAATTTGATTAAGTTACAATTCAATATTTTACTCGTAAGAGTAATACTCAGGATGCATTGGATGTAAAGTTCATTGCCACACGGGTAGTGGAAACATCAACTGCGTCAACGCCAACAACTGCATGACGTGTTTGTAGCAACTTAAAATTGCCCAAGAAGGCCCACATTATAACTTATGTTTCCGGACCATTATTTTTAAGAAACAAAAGGTATTGTCTGACATTGCCGAGCAGGTCATCATACATGTTTTACTTCTTGAAGATCAGTGATATGGAAAATGCCCTTAATTTTTTCGGCTGGTTCCTTTCAATCACAGCAGTTATAGGGAACAGTTCAGTGATCGTTCTGATAGCCTTAAATCGTCGACTTCACTCCACTGCCAATTGGTTCGTCCTTTCTCTTGCAGTGGCCGACGCAATGCTCGGATTCACAGTATTTCCACCGGCCTATTTTTGTACCGCAGAAAAGTGCAACCTGAAAATGGTCTCGGCATTTTTTTGGTTTTCCCTGCACTCATCGGTCTCGAATCTTTGCAACTTGACTTGGGATCGCTACATCGCCATCGTTCACCCTTTAAAATACAACACTTCATTTACAAAGCGACACCCTGGACTGGTAATTGTGACAGCATGGTTGCTTGCTTTCACAATTTCGTCGTCAACTTTGGTGACACAGTACGTGACGAAATCCGACACAGCATTGAACATCCTATTTTTTATTACCGTCCCTGGGTTTCTTCTACTGTCCTGTGTATTACTATTTTATGCAGCTATTCGCATCATTATGGTAGCACACAAGCAAAAGCAGCAGGAAGTGATAATACAACTTCAACTGCGCTGCAACCAATTATTTACTGACGGAGAAGACAACGCACTGTGTCTCAGACGTAACAAGAAGAACTCAGCTCCTTTCATCGTTGCTGTAGTCTTTTTCTTCTTGGGATGCTACTTAGCGGTAAACGGTTTAATTTTATGCATCAATTTTTCCTGTAATGTTTCCGAAAGAGCTGGACAGGTGATAACTATTCTGCTTATCTTGAACTCCGTCGTCAATCCTTTCGTCTACGCTTGTTTAAAAAAGGATATCAAGAGAGAACTAGCAATACTCGTTCGCAAATGGAAAATTAATTTCAATACTTCTATGTAGACCTTGGTATAATGGGTAAACATTTTTTTTTAATACACGACAGAGCGTTAACATCAGTTCAATCTAATCTAAATTCTGAATTAAGCGACAATTTTTTGTGATGTAGATTTATGTAAATGCATTGAACTTTTCAAATTACCAAGATTAAACTCTTGCGTTGCAATCAAAACACGAGAAAAAGAGACGAGTAAGAGAGCGTTCCTTTTTTTTTAAGTTTTTCGTTTTTGTAGTCGAGGTCTGCATCGACATTTCCAAAATGAAGTATTAATATGCACAGCATTTGTCTTAGCGTTAAGTGCTCATGTACATGTTTTCTTATGCAATTTAATATAGATGAAATTCAATGAATCAGAAAATCATATTCTTCATGGGCAATCGGACATTAACAATCATCACTGAGTTTTCAAAATTGAAGAGGAGATCTGTTCGAATTTGAACGGTTCTTTTAACAGGAGTTTTCTTGAACAATGCTTGTCGCAGGACTTTGAAATGTGGCGTAGAATTTGAGCTTTGCCTATTTTATCACCTGGCAGGTGGCTTTCCACAATCATAATCAGTTTCGAAGGTTAAATGTAAATACATTTATTAACCGAGGTAGATCATTCATTGTTAATTAAGTTAAATTAAGGAATTGTCGGCTGATGCAGACACACTATGGGAATAACTACAGAATACAGACAAAAGTATCTGAAAAGGAAAATATTTTATTAAATGGCTTAGGCTTGAGGCCGATATAACGCGCACTCTGATTGGCTCAGAGCGAGATAATAGTAATAGTAATAGGCTTTATTTAGAGAGGGTAAAACACTTAACAGTAGCCCTAAGACACTGATGACTCTGTGGCCCTCAAAACAGAGATCAGAGTAGGGCATTAAACATTTAAAAAAATTTTAAAAAATAAAATAAAAATAAAATTTAAAAAAATTTTAAAAAAATTTAAAAAAAAAGCTATGCCCACGGGCGGATTAAGGATCGTTTAAATTAGAGGCAAAAAGTGTTTCGTGCCGCGGCGGTTCTTTTCGAGCGCATGAAGATGATGAAGGCCGATTAACAGCCAGAGGGAGTAGACTCGATTTAAAGTTTTAGAGAACAGCGAAGGTACAGTTTTAAATTACCTATGGATTAAGTTGAAAGGGACGAGGTTAACAAACAAGATAACATTCAATTCGTATTGAAAAGCTGGTAACATTTTGACGAAATTTTTCTTAAATAAATTACATTAAGAGACTGTTTTTGACCAATCAGTTGATAACCTCGGAGGGTACACTGAAGAACAATCAAAGTTTGCAGTTTCGAATACAAGGCTTAATGAAAAACACTATCGGTATATCTGTCATGAATCCTTGGAAGGACACCACAAACAGCAAAGCGTAAGAACTGGCGAAAGAAGGCCAGCGTGACGCAAGCTGTTTGTCCCATTTCCCTGTCTTTGTTAGAAAACGAGGCATCCCTTTCGGTTTGCTTTCAAGTGGGATGAGTTACAAGATGATCATCGATTGAGTGTTTGAGAATTTTCATTTAACCAAGCCACAGAAAGAAAGTGGTCGAAATTTAACAGGGTTCCGTTAAAAAATTAATTTGTTCAATGGCATGGGGGAAAAAAATAAGAATTCTCATAGTTTTCCTAAGGGTGAAAAGGTGGGACCTAATGAACAAGACGGAAATTTCAGCTGATATGTCTTATTTGGTGGAAAATATCTTTGTGTACTTCTTGCAACTCGTACATCAATGGCCTAGCCATAAGGAGGATCCTGGGGTGCCTGTGACCCCCTTAGTAAACCATTTTTTGTCGTATTAAGTAAAACACGGCATAGAGGTCGACATGAAAATCTGGTGAGTACCCTCTGTTTGACACAGTGTGACCCCCCCCCTTTTGAAAAACCCTGGCTACGCCCCTGTATATGACAGTCTTGAGGTTATTTCCTCACTTTTCAAGAACATTTAATAACTTAAAGTTTTTTAAAAAGTCAAGACAAGTTTCATTTTAAGCTTATGTCAAGCTTCAGCTAGAATAATAAAACTTCCCTTCAGGAAAAATTCTTAAGTGGAAACTGATGAAAAATCAATTTTGTCAGTAAATGATGTAATGTGCATAACATAGAAATGAAAATCTATTGGTACACTGTAAGTAATATTTTCCTTAATTTGGATTCAAGTCAATAAAAATAGGCTGAGCACATAAAGTCCTGTCGTTTTAGTAATTTTTCCATGAGAAATAACATGCAACAACAAATATCATCTTTTTTGCCTGCTCACAAAGTGCCATTGTGCAAGGAAAAATTGCTTCCATGCAAACGAAAGTTTCTCACATCCAAACATATGGAAGGTAGGCTTATGTTAAATTACAGAAGGGGTGTTTCTAGGCATCTTTCTGAAATGACAGTTGGGATGGTATGTGTAATTGCCACATACGCATGTTAGGAGAATAAAACAGCCTATGGAACTTTGACCATAGTTATTTCTGCTTTGCCTCAAGCTATTCTTCAATAACAGCTTCATCCCATGGACCATGTATATTACTACAGAGATAAAATACAACAACAAGGAATTAGCCAACCAACTGATGCCAACAAGGTAGCAACTATTGAGTGAGGTTGAGCATGATATCATGAATTATCAAAGCCAAGGTCTGAGTTATCTGCCAAAGCAGAAGGCTAAGGTAGATGACACAGATGCAAGGTTTTATAATACATGATATCATGTGAAAACCAAATTTAGTAATTGTTTTATAATCATAAATTTTTTCAACAATCTGCATAAAACACCTCTTTGAGTTTGCACAGTTTGAGAAAGCTACATTGAAGTGGGGCTTGGAAACTAAGCAATCCAGCAAAAGCCTCCCCCCAACATTTTATCAAGTATCCCTGAAAGTTTGCTGGTACTTATCGATGGTCCTCCACAGAGAGAATCCCTCTCTGAGAGAAGTGCCTTGCCCAAGAACACCACCCACTGATCCAGCTTAGGCTTGACCTCAGACCTTCTGATCTGGAGTTTTGTGTACTAGCCATTAGGCCACAGCATATTAACCCTTTAACACCTAAGAGTGACTAGCATCTAATTCCTCACTACAATATCACCTCTAAATCATACATCAAGGTCATGAGAATAAAGGAAATGATCAGTGACTAAAGAAGCTCTTGATTGTTAAACAAATTCTCCTTGAAAGCACCTTAAGAAATGTATGGAGAACAGTATAGAGAATATGTATAATGATAAGACATAGTTTGATGCTACACTGGTTTGCAGATTTAATGAATGTAACCGAAGAAGTTACAATTCATAGACCCAACGTTTCGACACTCCTGTCTAGTGCCTACATCAGGGGTGATCTAAATGCTGCAACAAGAAGTCCTTTTATATGATCACTGATGAAGGCACTACACAGGAGTGTGGAAACGTTGGGTCTATGAATTGTAACTTCTTCGGTTACATTCATTAAATCTGCAAACCAAAAACTATGTCTGATTGTCCACCTGGTTGCCGTGTGAACTTTAATATATGTATAATGATGTTAGGGTGTAAAGGGTTAAGCAACAATGGTTTCTTAGTTAGTTATTTTGAGCAGAAATCTGAAGAGAAGAGTCCTAAGTCAAACCTCAATCATGGGATGTCCTCAACAAGACTGGAGAAAGATTATATTATGGGGATCACAAGAACGATTTAACTCTATCAAAACAATATTCAAAATCTTTCCACATTTCCATCTGCTCATTTTAAGTTCATGGTATCAACTGAAAATCACTGTCTATTGACAACAGCCAGTTAGTTACCAATTTCAGTGCAACTCTGAGTCATCTTAACTTAGGATACAAGATTATAAAAACATTTGAATCTTAAAATCTATTCTAATTCTTAGATTCATTTGCAAACATGCTTACTTTTTGAATCGCTGCAATTTAATTAACCAGAACGGACATAAAAATGTTACAGCCAGGTGAACAAGAGCCAGCAACAATGCAAACAGTTGGGAAAGTGGCCATAGCATTGCTACAGCAATTAGAACCAGAGTCCAGGTCAAAACAACATGACTTGATGGTAGCTGCATCTAAAGAAGGTGCAAGAAAAAAATTGGTACAAATAATGTTGGTAAAAAATCTGTCACTTAGCAATTATCAAACTCTCATTCAAAATTTAAGGAGCTGCATTACAACTTGTATGACTTGAATATCTTCCCTAAATTTTCCAAGTTTTCTTTTTTGTAAAGAGTGTCAATCTTTTTTATGCTAACCATGCTCATTCATTTTGCCTCAATGGTGTTTTCTTATCCTAACAAACCAAGACAAGAATCCAAGGTTTTGTTTGATTTATACCTAGGTAGTTCTCTTTGGTGCCATAATATTCAAAGGTCATAAAATAGAAAATTTGAAATCACAAATTTTAAAACCTTCTCATATTCAACATTTGCCAAAAGACTGTTTCTTGAAACCACTGCCAAAAGGAAACAAATATAAGCTTACATGGTTACTAAATAATAATTAAAACACAAAAAATTATGACCTCATCAGTCATTTTCAAGGAGCCTTTTTCTAACTATCAGTGTCTTTTTCACCACAGGGTTATGAAAAACACTGCCCTTCACACGGTGTAGAACATCTACAAACAAATTACACTGTAGTACTGAATAACCTTTGGTTACCTTTTTTGATTTTTAATAAAAGGAAAACAACAAATCTTGAGTATATTCAGAACATACCAACTTTCCAAAAAACTGACAAAAGTTGCTGGAAAATACCCCAATTTAACAAATAGAGAAGCCTTGACTGTGCTCTGTTCTGTTATAAAGCACGCAGGAGGCGGCTAGAGCTAGAGTTTTTTCACATGACAAGGTAGAAAACAAACTGTTAAAGGCGAGTGTGAATGACAGCTGAATTCACCAGAACATGAAGATTGCTAGGGATGACAGTGCGGCAAAACTCGGCTGCAGTGACAGATGTGACTTTCCACTCAACGCATCGGAAAGGATATCAGAGCAAGCTCTTATTTTTTCACTCGAAGGGTGGCCAATGTAGTTTCTGAGGCTTGCTTTACTGTGATGACCAGAGATCACCATGATGAGCGAGCCGCGATGGACTTCAGCATGATCATTTTCGCTCAGACACCGTCATGATTAGAATGAATTTTAACAGTTATGCCAGTTTGGTTATATTTTTCATCATTTCTGTTTTGTTCTGTTTTGTTTTTGAACACTGAACTTTATACACTGTATGAGTGTTAGCTGTGTTTGATTTTTATTTCCGTAGGTAAGCTTGCAATCTAACTGAGTGTGAATTAATCTTTAAAACTCGGAATGTCTATTTTGTTTTTCCTTTGAGGATTTTCGTATCTGCTCACATTTTCATAACATAAAATACGATGCCTGGTATGTTTACAAATGTTTGGTTCTTCTGTTGCTACTTGCCGGCTTGCTTGTTCCGAAATTTCACTTTCAATGATCGCAAAAAAAGCTAAAAAGAATTCCTGGAAAAGGTTGAACATAGTATAATTTGGCAGATGGCATGACAGCTTTAGCTCAGCTCTATGCTCTATACTCTCATAGAGCACACTCTTTCAACCAATGACAGCACGTGTTATATATCCGAACTTTATTATAAAAATAAATATAGGGCACTTTTCATATGCAAAACCAACAACATTAATTACTGACAAGAACAAATCAGCACCACGGTAAACAAAACAAGGAGCCAATGAGAACTCAGAGAGAAAATGGTAAAAGGCCCAAGCTGTGCATGAAAAAATGTGAATGATGAAGGTGTGATTAGTTAAAGCTTTGCCCCTGATTGGTTGAGATGGTTCCACAAGTTTTCTAAACCAATCAAAGAGAGGTAAAAACATAGTACAGAGTCTTGGATCAATATCAACAGTTATTTGAACAATGCTCTATAATTTCACAAGACAAAAAATATGTGTACCTTAAGCTGTCTTCTCAGTGATGGAAACAAAGCAAACAATTGCATAGCAAAAGTGACAGTCCCAAAGACATGCCAGGAGGAGGGGAGACGTGATGCTAGACACACTGAAGCAAAGATGGAGGCATTTAGGGAGGCAGACCTTGAGACTCTGTCAAAAAATAATGAAACAACTTTCATGTGTTAGCTGGAAAAAGATTCAATGCCCACAGCTCATGAGCTGCCATCCTAGCACTTGAACAGAAGTTAAAGAATCAATTACATCCAACAATTTTTTTAAAATTAGCTAACTGAAAAGAATATTCCCTTAACTAATGGTTTTAAGTTATGAGTTAGCCGACGGTCACATAGTTTCTATCACTTACATTGCAGCACGTGTTCCATAGTCATACAGAAGAAGGTTCATCCCAAGCATGAAGGTCTGAATAAGAAAAACAGTACCATCAAAGTAGGGAACTGAGTGAACAATCTACATAGAAAAATGCAACAAGAGAATCTGCTGAAAGAGCTATTATTTGAGATCAGATTTGGGGAGTGAGAACTCTCTAAAAATTTTCTCACTCCCACCATATGACTCAATATCTAGCACATTTGGTAATAGCACCTAAGAAGTATTTATTTTCAGGGTAAATTGAGTTTTACCACTGCTGACAACTAAATTCCTCTCTTGGGCTCTAATTTATGCAATTACTCATTGCAAATTTATTTTTTTGGATCAATTCATAACTTATCATTCACAAGTGTGATGTACAATGCTACATACATTACTTGTGAAGGTGTAAGAAAGATGTAGGCAAACTACATGACTGAAAAATTCTAAAATACTAGTAAAATAAAGGAAGACTTGTGAACATTTAAGCCAAGGATGAAAGTGAAAGACAACTTGTATATTTTAAAATAGTTGTGAACATTTTTTTAGTCATGATTCAGAATAATTTGACTGGTGGCCATTATAAAACTTAAAAAATAAAAAACAGATTGGATGCCACAGAGTAATCCACTTTTCACATTGTTTCTTTCATACAAATTCATTGTACAATGTAACTTACTTAGGCCAGTCCTTACCGTCATGGCATAAATGGTGTCTGTGCTAATAGTATCAGTTAAGGTTTTCAAAACTGGGGAAAGTACATACACAGAGCCCAGCACCACAACACAAATTCTAATGTCATCCATTCCTGCAAACACGAACAACATTTTTTTGAGTAATACCAATACTCACACACTATCCTCCTAATAACAGATGGTTCACAAATCAGTTTCTCTTTCTTCTAGCACTATCTTGAAGTACAAGATATCATGTGCAGAACTGAGGGACCTAACTGAATTTTTATTATTCATAGAAAATTGGCTGATTACCACCTACTGTTTCTATGACCATCAGTTTCTGTGAACTGATGGAGAGCATGCATATGGATGAGGCCAGACCATTATAAACAACCTCTAGTCATTTCCCCCATCTCCCCCCCCCCCCCAAGTTGGTCTATACCTTCTCATCATTTGGTTTTATCAACTAAGTTGATAAAAAAAATTGGCCACCCTAATGAGTTTCTAAACCTCTTTATGGTGGTCAATTAACATTATCACCTCAATAAATAAAATCAAATTATCTTGTAATATCTTAACTGACGTAGCACTAAAGTTTCCTTGGAAACTTACCCTCTTTATACTTATCTATGGTCTGAATGGGTAAAAGAGGGTTAACTGAACCTGTTGATTCATTGTTCAGCTTTATAACCACTCTCCCAAACTGAAAAGAAAAGCTGATGGAAGCACTAAATCATGTTTATTTCCAGTATGCTTTTAAAAAAATCTTACTAGTTCTGTTTGATTCAGATCTTAATGCTCCTCCATCCAAAAGATCAAAAAGAATATATCCAGCCAGCGTTAACAGAGAGGAAGCCACAAACAGCAAAGAGGGTGACAAGTAACCAAAGTCCATGTACACAAAAGCTGCTACAAATACACAAACACTGAAAATAGAAAAATAAATAATATGTATATGGTAGTACCATTATTCTAAAGAATTCGGAGAAAACAAATTTCATTAAATCTAAGTTTGTGACTATTGACTCAAGAAAGATTTAGGATAATCAAAAATTTTAGTGCATAAGTTTTGAAGAATACAGTATTACTATTGACAACTGTTAAAGGTTTTCCTGTTTTTTGGGTTTTTTCCCCCCTGGCATATGATTTCTTGTGGATTTAGGAAGCATAATAAGATGATCATCAAAACCCTCCCTGAAGGTGGCAAAGGGTTTCTATTTTTAAAACTTACAATTAAGCCCAAAATTAATATGTGATGTGTGAATTTACAGAAACGCAAGGTAAGGTGAGATTTGAAGTTCTCCATCTTTAATTGGTGACGTGTGAAATACTGTTCATATTACAAGTTGTGCATGACTTTTTTCTAAAATTGGTGCATGGAATAGGATCAGAACCACTGCTAGCATGATGATCTTACTTGGATTGTCTTAGCTGTCAAGACACAAACAGCCAGACATCAGTACATCAGCCCTCCAAAAAAATGTAACTTTTACTCCTCTAACCTGCTAAGCTGTTGAGAAACTGCTCCAGACTCTGAAACCACTGACCAGAACTGGTAGGTTCTTGTATTTACTAAAAGTTTATCAGAAATTTACCTTTAACTTTCATTTGCTTTTCATGTCGGTCAAATCTATATCTGTTGTGGGTCAACATATCCTAAGCTACTCTTTTTCTGTCGTCTTCAGGCTTAGTAAAATCTGATATGACATTTACATTTCAAAAAAATAATTGAAACCATGATAAATTGAACCACAACGTGATCAACTAGCTACACCGCACATTCGTAAATCACATTTAAACTCGTACTTGCAGATATCTTATAGGTTGCCCGATAATTTGTTTTCAAATTAAGCATGCATAGGCTTCAAATCATTCCAAAAATATATTCAAATTCTTGAGAAGGAACCAAATAACATATCAGTTGCCAAAATTCTCATAAACTTCAATATTTGACGGCTGCTCAGCGTAGAATCTCTTTACAACCGAATGGGGCACATGCAGCACACCAATACAGAGCATCGCAAAATCGGTACACTAGAGATTGCAATTTGATATAGATCCTCATCCATAAAGTGCTGTACTCACGATTTTTCCTCATTTCATCAAGAAACGACTTGTCTACATAATTATCCGGAACACCTTGGTCTTCATATAGCACTTTTTTCCATGGCTTCCTCCTTTTCATCTGAACTGGAAGGAAGTCGTTATCCTTCCCAGAATCAGTAATCATGGTTTGCAGGAACAAAGCACACTGCATATTTCATGCGTCACCTCAAAGAGAAGAAATAATTAGACTTATTGTGGGGTTCTACCTATGCCATATGTCCGCCATGTTGGATTTAACATATATTTTGGTACACTATATGATAGTTATTTAACGTAGAGTTTGTCTGTTATTCGCAGGCTCATATAAATTCCCTCATTGCTTAACCGCCCCAATCTCGTCGTCTTTCGTTGATTATCTGGCAAACTCAGGGTCAAAGAGATGACGGAGCTCGAAGTGTTTTGGTATTGTGATGAAGCTTCTTCTTCTGTGATTTACATGTCATATATGTAGGAAATATTTGGTTTCGGAAAGAAGTCATTTCGTAATTGACAACTAAAGAAGACTCTCTGTGCTTCCGCTTTTGCCTTCTAAAATGGAAGAGGAGCACAGAAACATCCTTCGAAAGCATCGAGAAGCGCTTGTAAGGGACCTAGAACCTCTGAAGCTGTTAAACAGACTTGACGTTCTTGGTGATGATGATCGGGAGCTGGTGAAAGCAAAGAAAACACGATCAGAACAGGCTGAAGAATTACTCGACATGCTTCCCAGAAAGGGAGAAGATGCTTTTCAGAACTTTATCACAGCTCTGTGCAATGGTAGCCAGAAATTCCTTGCGAAGCCTCTCATAAGGGCTTCAGGGATGGACGAGTCAAGGTTTTTGAAAGGTGAGGTTGTTTTTGTTTGTTCACCGACAAAAGTATGGTTTGCAAGTAAGAAGTATGGATAACAACATCGTTCACGTTTTCTCCTCATCTGTATTTCCCTATGTCCATACCAACTCCCAAAACTGATCAACACGTAAGTTCTCTTCGTGATTTCAAAATATTATTCTGCCAATAGGTGAGGGAAATCGAAAAGATTACCTTCAAGAGGATGTAATACCAACTTTTTCTACTCAGAAAAAAAATGTGGCAGTTAGAGAGGGGAATTGGTAATCAGATCTTTAGATTTAAAGGTCATAGACTGATACTGAAAACTTCTTTGATGTGGATAAATTCTTGCTCACTTACCCTACTGGTTCACACAATAAAATCCAAGGAACTGTACAACAGACCCAATGTTTGTCTTTCTCTGTACCCACTTCTTTTTGCTGACCCATGCACATTCTTCCATATTGGTGTTAGTTGTTTTTCGTTCTTCTAAGTGTGCAAAAGAAAATGATAAACTATGTAGGAAAGAAGGCATGCCTGCATGTTGGCAAGAAAAAGATGTGCCTGTTTTACAGCAGCAGATAACCAAATGTTACAAGTTCATGTATGTGATAGTGTATTCTGATTGCCCGGGTGATTGTTGTCCTGAGAAGGACTGTTGTGGGTGGTAGTGACTGATGTTTTGACAATCTGAGTGGAAGTTGTTATAAGAGTCAAGTGAATAGATGATGTCAGTTGAATGTACTAAGTCCAATTCGTGTAAACTGATTGGTCAGTGTAGCCACGATGTTATTGGATGTGAGACTCAAGTGTTGTGAGTCAGTTGTGAGTGGTCAGTTTTGATCCATTGGTAAAGTTTGGTCTTTCTGTTCAGATTGTTTGTGATGTTAAGGACTATAATCTCCCAATTGATCAGACTACACTATTACAAGTTACCCCTGGGTTCAAACCATTTACTGAAGTAAATATATGTTAACTAACAGTACATGTATTTATTAAATACCCAAATAAGTACTTCTGTTATTTAAACAGAGGTATATAAGTGCTTGGCATGGTCAAAAATTTGGTAAGACCCAGTTGTATAATTCACAAAACAACTTTCTGTAACTGTAAGTCTATGAGTGTTGCATAGGAGTCAATAGCCCCACACAACACAGGCTTTTTTTACTGATGCATATATACGGTTTTCTGTAACACAATGAATGTAATTGAGGAAGGCTTCTATCAGTAATTGCATTCACATGTGTGTGAGGAAAAAACAGGAAAAGTAGGATTCATATATGAAGATATTATCTCCTTTCTATCCGCTGATATTTAGTATAGCTACCTTGGCAGAGATTGCATAAAAAATTTTTGTTTTGTTCAGATGAGGTTGGTATGACAGAAGAACACAAGAGAGTGCTTCGTGCAAGTTCAGATCAATTTTCTTCCATGGATATAAAAAAGTTGCTACCTTATCTAACCAAAGTGCTTGATGAGTATGACAAACAAGAACTGCAAAGTGATCAAAAGTCAAACTGCACCAAAATGGATCAACTGCTGACTGAAATACTTCCAAAAAAGGGTCCTGAAGCATTTGGATATTTTGTGAAAGCAGTAGAGAACGTTGATTTACCATTGGCTAAAAAAATACAGGAATCTGGAAGAGAAGGTTCTGTATATGTAACACTATTTTCAGCATCTTTGATAACATGTAAACCACATGATGTTCTTGATGATTCATAACAGATGTAACTTGTCAGTTTGGAATGGTCGTGTTGTGAACCTCGTAGAAAACATTTGAATTATTTCATTTGGTTTTAAGGGTCACATTAATTATCAGTAATTGTGATTGAAAGGATGTGATTCATTTTATTCACTTTATTTATTAGATGTCCAGATCCAAGGCATTTCAGAAAAGTAGAACACAGATCACAAGTTTAAATGGCCCCTAACTTCAAAATTCACCTATTTGTGTATATTTTCAAGAACTGTGCCTCTCTTCTTACAACACTCTTTTGCATTATTGTATAAGTATTCTTTTATATGCGCAGTCTAACATTAAGCAGTTGTCAAGGTGCTTCTTGCATTTATCTCTTGAGCAATCAGTCAGTGAATTATATACTAATTTTTTCTTAATGTGCACAGGATCTCCTAATGATGACAAATCATCCACACATACTGGTTCCATACAAGAAACCTCTGTTTACTCATTAAAATCAGAAGTCCAAGATATTTTAGATGAGCAACCTGAGGTGTTTGAAAAATTCTGTAAGGAAATGGACAAAGAAATTTTTGGGAATGGATGGAAAAGGTTGGCTTATTTTTCAGAATTTCATGTGAACAAATTTTACACTGTAGTGTTATTAGTACAAAAATTTTGAATTTTGTAGTTTGATCTTCAATGAAACTCCTCAATTCAGGAGTTTAAACTGGTATCAAGGAGCTATTAGAGAATATGACAAAATGCCTAAGGTAGCCTGTAATCAACCTTGGTAAAATCAAGGGGAGTAGCATAAGTCTTATGTGCTTAACCTACAGAAACTGCAAAAGATTTCTGTGGTATGAGCAATTTGGCTTGTTTCCTGTGATATAGCACCTCTTCACCTCGGCCCATTGTCCTTTTATTTCAGACTTTTCAAAGAACTTGGCTTGCCAGCTAAGGGAGAATCTTTTGTGGAAAAAGAACCTGGAAGCCATACACTCAATGTTATCAAGGGCTGGATTTCTTATGATGGAAGTGGGGCTACTGTTCAGACTCTCCTTGATGCTGTAAATCGTTCTCAGCGCAAAGATTGTGTACGCTACATTCTGAAACCTCTTAACCTTGGCCAGGACTATGTTGATAGCCCTGTTAATGATATGACAAAGAAATTTGAGAGTTTAAGTGAGTGAAATAAAATATACTATTAATTGCCTTAACCCTTTAATTCCCAGAAGTGATTAACATGTAACTTCTTTGTGCGGTTTGCAACTTTGTCAATACTGGCATCTGAATGAATGCTTGGATTGGTCAACCTAGTACTAGGTCCCTCAGGAGGCAAGTTGCTTGCACTGCATCAATCTCTGTGTAGTAGTTAAAGGTTCAAATCACAATTCACATGACTGTCTATCAAAGTACCAAATCTATTGATACTACATGCCTCAATCTTGTTGTCTACCCATAGCTAGGTGTATGTATGCAAATGGTGCATCTCATCCCTAGTAAGTGTTTCTTCCTTCTGACTAATTTTCATGTTGTAAGCCATTTAATAAGCTCCTCTTTTGGATGTAATTGAAGTGAAACAACAAACACTAAAGCAAAAGGCAAGGCTAGCATGCCAAGTTCCACTCCTTTTTTCTTTCATCATTGCTCATCATTTCTTTTCATGCTAATCCAGAAAAGGGGCTGGTTACTTGATTGTCACTCATTATCACCTTGAGGATAAAGTGTTATAATAGTTTTGGGCAAGGATTTGCATAGCTCACATTGACTCAAATTAGGGGTGCTATTAGGAATAGTTTGCTCAGATACCATATTAGATTAAGGTAGAAGAAGACACTAATTAAGGAGATAAGCACAAAAAGTTGAGCACATGCTCACTCTACCCATCCTCTTTCTTTCATTCTGCCTGTCAGCCATCAGTTTGGTCTGAATTTATTTCACACCCCAACCTGTGTTTGCTTTTTGGATTAAAGATGGCTACTGTATATCTGATAGGAGAATACTTATACTTTGCCATTGCTAACCAAAAAGTACACCTGCATTGTACATGTAGGTTATGATTTTTGGCTCATGTACATACCAATATCAATTTAACAACTGAATCACCAAGTGGAGGTTGGGTGCCTAAGAAATCTGGGAATAGAATAGAATAGAATAGAATAGTTTAATATTTAATGTCGAAGATGTGGAAAGTGTTTGCCAGAGGCTCGTGTTAAAAAAAACGCTCAACTGACTAAAAATACAAAACAAGATCAAATGTGAAAAAAATGTGAGGAGCTTGACTATTGGCAGCCAGCTCGTAGATGGAGTGTGCTCCCATGGTGGGAAAATCCTGCTAACCCAGCCATAAGCCCCCAGGCAGGAAAGGGAAACAGGCACCCATCAGACTGAATAAACAGTGGAAAGAGGGAGGGAAGGGGTGGGGAAAACTGCGTGGACGATGAGCTGCCACTCCGAACAGCACTGAAAGTTCACGCCCAAAGCACACGCAAGAATGCCTCGAATGAAAAGCACATGGAATTCCGACACGTGCATATACTAAACCGCTGACTACTAGAGAATGCTGAGGCTCTTTGTTGTTAACTCTGTGAAATTGCATTTAACTGCATTTAATATTGTTTTCAGGTCCGAGAGAAGTTAAATGTTTTGGAGACCTAACCCTCGATGAAGCAACTCGTATCACAAATGAGCTGGGACAGCTTGCAATAAACCTGTTGAGGAGGGAACTTGAAAAAGTGCCTGGGCAAAACAAAACGTACCTACCAGAAATGATGCTAGAAAGCAAAAATTACACCATTCGTAGATACACAAACCTGATTACAGATGGTGAAAGACCAAGTGTGATAAAGAAATTTAGGCAGGTCTTGCCTGCTCATAAGGGAGTCATTGGTGAGTTTTGCAGTAATGATGTTGATTTAGCCCTGCATGAGTATAAAGCTATAGGTTTTGGTTTATCATAAAACATGGGGGGGAGGTCATATTTTATTTCCTGAGCTGGTCATTATGCTGTGCTTGACATACTTTACTTTGAGGGAGGGTAGGTGAGGGGGCTCACTTGTAAAGTATAATCAACCTGTCCAGTCGGAGTAATAAAGTTGTTCTATTCGTTGTATGCTACAGGAGTTAGGATTAGCTCGAGTTCTGATAGACCAGTCGGCTTGTTATACACTAAGGCGCAGGGTGGGTGTTGTACATGTGCATGTGTACAGTGGTGCGAAGTAAGGCGTAGGGTAGTAAAACGTGCGTACAGCGTGCTTGGCAGTGGATAGCTAGCAAGTATTTTATCTCTGCTGTTAGGAAAAGCTTTGCAGTTCCTTTCATAACAATAAACGATGTGTTTTTGTTACTTTGATAGGTCCATTGCTGTCACCCGATACGTTTGTAAGAGAGATACGCTACTCCCATCGAAGAGACCTGACCAGAAACTTGTGTGGTATGTTCCATCTCAATCTGCCTATCAATTAAAATTCAGAACAGCTAGAATTACTTTTAACTGTATGAAACGCCAACAGTGCGGCTTACTCCCAAATAGCAGGCGCTTTCGTGAAAAGACTAAGAATAAGCTAGAGTAACATTAAATGTTTTAGAGAGAGATGTTTTTTTCGTCTTGTCACGTCTTCGTCATGAACGAATGATTAGTGAAAAATAAAGCAGCTACTGCACCAATCACATTTGAGGAAACTGTAATGGTTGTGATTAATTGAGTAGAACAGATCGCCAAGAGATGGGAAAAGAAGAGTAAGACTTTTGTTACGTCAATGTAAAAACTTCCAGGATGCTAAAAAGAGATTCAAAATTGTGGCATCCCTTTTCACAATTTTCGTTAAAGGAGGTTAACTTATGGTCAGTTACAGTGCAATCTTAAAACTCAGGCAGTAGCTAAGACAATAATTATATTGTGTATTGTTTCCGATGCATACTTCTCATTCAATATTGACCAAAAAGATGTCAGACGTTCAAATGTCATGATGAGTTTAATTCCCAGATCTATGTCTGTGTGGAGCCACCCTTTCTTACTGTGTGCAAGCTGTCTGATCTATGAAGAATCATTTATCCACGAGCCAATTTGCCTGATTTGTTTGTCTGTTTGTTTGTTTTGAATTGTTGTCGTTCTCGTTCTTGATGATTGACTGTTCCAAGGATGGTTGCGTAAGGGATAGTTTAATGTTTAGATTGACGAAAATCCAACCTTGTTCATTTTTCATTGGGATTTTCAGCGAACGACAATTGGAAAGCTTTAGCAGAGAAACTTGGTTTGGACAACACCACCATCCAATACCTTGACAACAGAAGAATAGAAAATCCAGCTGATGAAGTCTTAAGAAATTGGGAGGTCAAGGCTCATAGCACAGTAGGAAAACTGTATGATATTCTGGTTGAACTAGATTACCCAATCATAGCTGATTATTTGTAAAGAGTAACTATTTCTAGGGAACTGTTTTTTAGTAACGGAAATAATGCGTTTTTCGCTAAAGTGTAAATCATAACAACTTATAAGTGGACGATCAAAAGTCCACGTGGAACTGTCCGAAGCCCCACAAAACGTGGGTGAGTCATTCGTGACTCTTTTAACTTTTGGTTATGATCGATTGAGACAGCGGCGCAAGTTTGTTATACCTATGACTTTCCCTAATTGTGGACGTCTCACTGACACCTGGAAGTTAAATGTTTCGTTCCCTTCTTCCTATTGTGCTTTTTTTAGCATTACGTTTAAACAGAGGAGTCAAAGTGTGCGATAGATAGCTGTGGAAGACGTATGATCGCTATGTGAGGCTCAAAAACGCCTTTGCCTAAGGTTGCTTTTTTTCTCTTTTTTTTTTTTTTGGTAAAATTTAATTTGCCTGGTTTTAAACAAAGTATAACTTCGGTCGCGGTTTGAAGTCATGAAGTTACTTACCAAAGTAACATCGTAAGGATATTATAATCTTTAGCATTGCGTCGAAGACTTTCAAGAAGTTTAGTGACATATTTTTTGTGTGTTTGAACAGGCTTAGAGTGGACAAATTTTCTTGTAACAAAACTGAGTAAAATAACTTTAATTCGATTAAAAGAAGTAGAAAAAATTAATTCCTAAGAAATGCAGATGTTGCTGTCGTTAGCTGGCAATAGATTAAATGGTTACAAGATTTAGAAAACTATTAAATTATCCAAATTTTTACACAGTGGTGTTAAGCAAAGAAACTCACTCCACCAGTTCAGATATCATGCTCTTAGTGGTCGTTGTAAGATGCTTGAATCAGCTGGGAGAATAATATGGAGAAAACTCCGTATCAACTTTAGGTTTATCCGTTAAAGAACAAATCGTGGTATACTGATCTTTTATTAAAAAACAGTCGCCATCGGACACTTTATCACTTGGAGTCTTCTCTAAGAATTCCCATGGAGGAGAGGAAACTTTGTAATTTCATTTCATTTGAACAGTTTTAATGCCGTGAATATGAAAGCGATCTTCGCAGTAATGAACACCACTTGAGGAGTAGTGAAAATAGGGCCTAAAAAAAATTCAGGCCTGTACGAGATTTCAACCCATGACCTCTGCAATACCGGTGCTGTGCAGTTTTAATGCAATTAAACGTTAGGTTGTGGTGGTAGAGCGACGCAGCTGACGCCGGTTGAGTCATACAAATATTTGTCACGTAGATTGTAGGTTTTTCAGATTATGTATTATGCACAGTCAATGTTTATTGATTTGATTACATGATTTGGTTTCCCTTTTTTTTTTTAATGATTGAATATATTAAAACACTAGAAATACCACATGTTGTCGTAACCTAGAAAAATAGAAGTTAAAAAGAACCCTAATCCTAACCTGTTTGACAATTTAACAGCCAGGTAGCTTGGAGTTAATGCAATCGATGAATAAAATTTATAATTCATCTTTTGGAAGGCTTGTAAACTGATTGTATGTAACAACGTAATCAGCTTGAAGAGGAAGGCAGACGTAATTAAATAAAGCAAAGTGCAGTGTGCTACATTTGTACCTTAAGATGACCAAACGGTTACTATGGTGCTGCTTCAACTAAATTTTTGGCGTAAGCTCCAGCCGGTACACTCTTGCTCAAAAGAATTTCCCGTATGCTCTTTAAAAACCTTTCTCCACTTTGAAGTAGAAACGAGTTAACTGTTGAATTTAGCGCGCTCGCGCGGGGACGTCAGGCGCTGTCAGTGTGCCTATTAAGTGACTGTTACGTAATTGAAACAAGTGGATTTACGAGTTCAACTTTGTGAGGTAAGCTAGAAGACTCTTGGTGAATTTTAACTTGTTTAAGAAGAAAAAAAAGAGGCTTACTCAATAGTCCTTCTAAAATTTGACAGGAAAGATAGATTCTGATATGGAAATGGAATGGTCCTGAAAATGCAGACCTTCTGGGAAGAGAATTTTTCGTAGTATAAGCGCACATGGCAAAGGGTAAAAGTAAGGTTGACTCGTGCGACTTTGCTCATCAAAATATCTTCCTTGGCTTGCATAGATGTCCTTTTCGTTCCCCTCAGGCCAAGCAGTAGAAGCGTGGAGGCATAAGGGAGAAGAAGGAGCTGAAGAGAGAAAAGCGCTAGTGGTGCAAAGGCAATTTCTTTGCTCCCTTTCGCCCTATATTTTCACGGAACCTACTTCTGAGCCCGCACTTCACTTGGCTACGGGGAAACGCAAAAAGACTTCTACCCAGGTTAGCTCTGTCGTAATGGTGCAAATTCAGTTTAAACCTACCCGAAACTAATACATTCTGCAGTTTTAGTATGATTATGGAAAAAGATGTAGGTTTAACAACTTCCCCTGCATAGACGAATATTTAAAGTCTTTCTTTACATAAGCGACATATGAACCTCACCACTGGAATTGCAAGTAAGCGCAATTCTGCATAGGATCCTTTTTTATTTGAAATCTGTTTTGAAGAGTAATGCTTAGGGAAATATACAGCTGTTTTATGGATTCAAGGAAGTTGTTTCACCTACATTAGTAACTTAAAAGTTTGTATGTTGGGTAAGAAAAATATCAGCCGTTTGTTGACGAACGGAGAACTTTTCTAGAGTAATTTAGTACTATCAACTGAGTTGATAACGTAAATTGGCAACCGTAAAGAGTTTAAAAGCTGACGTTTCGAGCGTTAGCCCTTCTTCAGAGCGATTGACAAAAAGCTAACGCTCTGACGAATATCCAAACCGTAGAATTAAAGAGAAATTAAAGAGAACGAATTAAGTGGCTAATATACGTTATCAACTCGGTTGATAATACTAAATTACCCTGTTATACTCTCCCACCGACGCAGCACTACAGTTTCTTCGGAAACTTACCCCCTTTATCTAGGAACTTTTCAAGCCTGTTACCGAGAATTGGTTTCTTTATAATGATTTTGTTGTTGTTGTGTTCTTTTCCCTAGTTTTTTTGTCGCCATGGTTTGGATCGAGCGTATGGAACAGGTGTTTCCAAGCTTAAGGCTGAAGAGTAATGTTCGACAAACGATTCAATACGCATCCAGTCTGAAAGCAGACTGTCAAGCAATGCCTGTGATCAGGCAAGCTCAACATTTTCTTGAGAACCATCCTTTTATGTGCCTATTTTTGGTCATCTTGGTCGTTCTTGGTTTTTTGCCTTTTCTGGTTTTCTTAGCCTTTGTATTAGGCTCGTTTCTTTCCATATCGTTCTGCGCACTTCTAGTTTTCGGGGGAACCGTCACTGTAGCGTCATTCTCCTTACTCGTCATTCTATCCCCTGTGATGTTGAGTGGAGGCGTGTTGGCAGTCTTCTTATACCTCACATTTTGCTTTGTTACGAGGGTGCAGAAAATCATCGAACGAACCGCCAGGAATTGCACACTTTTCAATAAGTCTCGACGATCAAGTAATCGACGCATGCGTCAAGAAACCGCCCAATTCCATGTATTCTAAGAGGAAGCAGCGATATTCCTGGTTTCAAAGGAACTGAACGAGGCTCTTTTTTTTCTTTGTTGTTAGGCCTTTAATTTGAACACAAGGGCTCAAGAAGCTGTCCTGTTTGTTTGGCATCAGTTACTAGCTTTAGGAAGTTTACTTTTGTAAATAGATTTGTTTCATATTATTTGTAGACACTCCCTAACCCTTTGAGACCAATCGATAATTTCCCCCCCCCCTCTCTCTCTCTCTCGAGGTTACCAGGGTATCCACTTTTACTGCCAGTGAAAGGCAATGAAAGGCCCGACTCCCGAGGAAAATATAACTAAGTCAATTCCTCTTTTAATTTTTTTCTCCTTAAAGTTTTTAAATCATACAATGAATTAAAATAATATCCTGTTCTCGTTTGTAAATTTCTGATTTCCTGTTAAGTAAAAATTCAAGTCCAGTCTGCAAAATGAGTTCGCAAACAAGTGACAGTTAAACTCATTACCTACTTAATCCCCACCCCGCGTAGAGGGGCATCGGGCATGCAATGGATAAAATTGCCTCAACTACCGGGGAACGAAAACAAACCACTGGCAGGTCGTTATTTTCATTTACTCTGACGAAGGGCTATCACTCGAAACGTCAGCTTTGAAAATCTTTATGGCCGGCGATTTACGTTATCAACTCAGTTGATATACCAAATTACCCTGTTACGCTCTCCCACCGACGCAGCACCACAGTTTCTTTAAAAATTTACTCCTGTTATTTTCATAACGTGTCGCTATTTCTAGATATAAATAGGGGGAAAAATATACCAGGAGGGCCCCGGTAACCCCTTTGGTATTGTCCATGTTGGAGCTGCATCGCACAGTGTTGTGACAAAGATTTTGAAGGGACGTTATTCGGTCAGTCTGGCCAGTTTTAACCCGCTTTAATTTTATGCCACTTATGACACTAAAAAAATAACCGCCTGCAAAGTCTTAAGGTGGGCCTCTTTTATACTCTTTCCAGAAGCTGTGATCCAATTTTATGCGGTAAGTACAGCCGGAGGTCTATCGCTGTGAAGTGCTGTGGCAATCATAACACGATAAAGCTAACACCAAGTGTGAAATTGCTGTGACCTTTAGAATTATGAGAAAAATTTGCGTGATGTTTCTTTAGCTCTTTTTGTCTGTTGTTGTGAGTTTCACTCGGGTGCGGATAAACGGCTCTCTGGTCAAAGAATCCTGCTGATTAAGCCATGTTTACATAAAATATCGAGGTCAATAACTGACGCCCATTTTTTTCATTTTTGTGGTATCCACTGATGATAAATTGTTCTGAACTTACATTTTCCTGAGTATCTACATAGTCATTTCTTTTGGAGTAATTAAGTGGAGAAAAGTACCCTCTATCACTCTTTTGTTCTCTACCAGCGCTTTGAATTTGAAAACCCTTTCAAGAAGGCAAAGTAACAATTCTGAGAAGACTATATTGTACAAACAGACCAACATCCGGAAACGATTATCTAGTTTGAATCATACTTTATTTTTAAGCGGAAAGGCAACGTGCATGTCGGATGACGTGTCATTATCTTACGTCGATACCTAATTACACACGCAAGTAGCAAAGATCTTTGCAACTTCATCAAGTCACTTACACTGAAGTACTTTACCCTAACCGTCACAGTCAAATTATCTACCAATATAACATGGTCTGACGTACTTTTCTTTTTAAATAAAGTTTCAAGACCCTTTTCACTTAAAGGAAATGTGACGATGTTACAATTACTTTTAAAATTTTCCTTTCGATTGTTCCCTGGCTTTATTCTTAGTCGGTTAACGTGGCAGTTGAAGAAAAACGCGATATTGGGTTTCGATCTCGAGAGTGAAATGCTGTTTAATGGTCTCATGATATGGAAGAAACGAAAACTTTCGATATATCGATTTTAAGTTTAGACGTGTCAGAATTCCCAAAAAACATTCTTACGTAATGAAACCACCAGATCATTCAAACCTAGAGACCTTGTGTGTCACGTGTTACTATCATTTCCCTGTTTCGGGTCAAACATTCAAACTTCCGAACAATCGGGAATTTCTAAGAATTCCGTGACTTCCCACCAAAGTTTCAAGCCCCCAAGAAATTTTTTCTAGAAAAAAATTGTTTTCATTTCAACCTATTCATTTTATCAAAAGAATAATTGTATGAGTTTCATTTAAATGCTCAAGTCGTAGCAGCGCGAAGGAAGGGGAAACATTTCACCGGAAGTCACTATGTCAAATACGTGTTGACTTCCGCTGCGGTGCAGAGAGAACTGTGGGTACCATCTTGGCAGATGTTACTGTTTTGTTATTGAGAAAATGTCGTCGGCAGGTAGGAGAGGGAAATATAATCTTAGAAGCCCTGGATAACAAACAAACATGAAGAAGAAAAAGTTTAAGTTTGACGTGAACTTTAGGTTGAATCAGCTGACGAGTGTACCTTTCGTTAGCGGAGTTCTATTTGCTAAAATGAGATTATTGGAAGGTGGAAATTTTACGAGCTTTTCAACCAGGTATTAGCTGCTGAGTTCTGTGAGAAAGAACGCATTTGTTATGCGGCTTTTATTTTAATTTCTCCTTTGTTTTCGTGATTTTGTCTTCTGTAAGGGAGGAAGTTGGGAACCATTGCGTAAAGTGGGGAAAGAACGTTACTTTTCCATGCAAAATGACAGCGAATGTCTCTACGGGAGTTTTAGATGCGTGCAACTACCGAGTGTCCATTCGGAAGGTATGAGTTCAAAACAACATAACTTCATAATGTCGAAATGGTCTTATGGATCAGTCGTAGATATTTAGTCTTCTTCCATTTTACTTACAAACTGTTCCACTTTCTTTATTGGTTGCTAGTGATAAAACATATTCGTGTTTGTCGGTGAAGTTTTAATTGAGTGGTTGTGCAATTTAGTTCGCCCCGGACTCGCAGAGTTGCGATGTTTAAGGGCCACCTGCAATTTCTGATATTCATTTGGGATGAAAACAGTTGATGGCCTTCACGGAACGTTTCAAATAGTACATCTGATCCCTTGCTTGAGCTTTTGATCACTTCTTTGTTAACAAGAATTTACGGCAACTATAGAAGTATGTGTTGGCATGAAAAATATCTGGAAAAAACTTCGATCCGATCACGTCTTGATTGCCTATAGCCTTAGCTCATTGTTGTACTCCAAACATTTGTAGGTTAATTCTTACATTTCCTCTGAAGATTAAAAAGCAAAATTCGTAATCTGCTGACTCTTTCCTTTTCTTCATGTCATGGTTCGTTTAAGTTGTCATGCCTGATTTGTTGTTCTGGAACAAGCCAGTTCATCCTTATAAAGTCTTACATGTAAATCAGTCGGTATCGACTGATCGATTTCTTGTGAGTTTAGCGCGGTTGTTTTAATTATTTCTTGATAAACACATTCACGAACAAATTAAATCGATTGAAAGAGGGAGGGAGTTATGAGTAGCATTTTACCCCGAGCGTGCGATAATTTTTTCATTATATCGTCAGTTAGTGTTTTGCACAAGTGGGAAATCATGTGGTTTCCTAAAATGACAAGACTCCAGGTCGTATTTAACCACACAATAGTGTGTTTATACCTCTTACCGCTTGACTTATGCAGAAAATATGGACATTCCTACTTTCAGTCAATAATCAACGTATAAATTTTTGGATGAAAAGGGATCAATCCAAATCTGCGGACAAAAATTGGGGTAAAGGATTGCATACAGATTTGACTGACCATCCTGAAGATCTTGAGATTAGTTTTTCCGTTTACATTATTTAATTATCTTGCACTTGTTTTCTTGCCTCAACATATTCATCTTAGCGAGCAGAAACTCAAACAAACCTTTAGAATCTTTCTCTCATTATGAATTTAACGATTTAATTTGTTGTGTATGACAGTATTTATCAATTTTCCTGAGAATTGTAATATCTCAAGGAATTGTCAGCAGTGTGCTTGACATCATGTTGTGATTGAAAAAAATTTTAAATCACATAATTTCGTTAGCTTCAGCACTAACATTTGTTACCTCAAGCCATTTACATCTCAATGTCATGTTCACTTCTTTTCATAAATTTTAAGATGTAATTTTTGTAACTTAATTCACTTGCTTCTGCTAGCACCTTTTCTAGTGAGCATGTAATCAAGAATGTTCAATCATGGTGTACTGCATTATGCATTATTTGAGTATTTGCAGACATCAAGTCTACATATTTCGTGACAGAATGCTAGTATCCAGGATTGCCATCTTGTTGATAATAGCTAGTTATGGAATATTCTAATAGATCAGTTTAGATAAACATATCACATATTTTATCATTAGTTTTAGATGTAAATGAATCATGATTTGCACGTGAATGAAACATTTGTGTTTATTATCTGTATAATCATCATTTTGTTTTGACTAATTTCCAAGTCACCTGGCAAATTTGCATATTAGAATGGTAGAAAACTTGCTTCTTTGCTTGTTTCTGGGTGTGGTAAGTGTAATCAGAGCATATGCTTTGCCTGTTTTTTTAGACAGAAATTTGATGTTGATTTGAGGTTGATTTCTTTTCTTGCCAATATTTGATGGGCAGGTTGAAAGACATTTGTGAAACAATTTTGAGAATTTGTTTTGGTCTATGTTGGCATGGAATCATATAACATTAGTCAGTCAAAATTTCTATCTCTCTCTCATTTTGTGGCTTGCAAAATAATTCAAATTAAAATTTATTTGAGTAGCATGGAAATGAGCCATTGTTATAAATGAAAAGGTTTGATCCAAGATTAGGATAAATTGTAAATTGTTATATTTGCCAAAGTTTCTTAAGAAGGGAAAAAAATACAACAGAGCTTTTTGAAGGTTCAAGTCTCAAGGCCTTTGGATGAGAGGGCAGGAGATATTACCACTTACATAATTATATAGATACATCTTTGCTTCCATTCAATTAATTTTGGAAAGGAAACATAAAATAGTGAGACAGGAGAATAAAAATTCATACTGTAGGATTTAGGGGTTAAACAGACCAGATTCCTACACTGTACCATTCATTTAACATTCAGTTGACTGCTTTAAAATAATTATTCAAAAAGTGATATCAGGTTAACAGATTTAAGTCTGATATTAGCTTAATTTGGGGAATTTAAAGCTCCTTTAGGTCTTGAAGATATTAAATAAATAAAAAAGGATTACTGCTACTTTAGACTTCCTTATGTTAATGTCTTCACTTCCTGTTTATAGTCTTATGAAATCAGGTTGGTCAAAGTACAGATTTTTTCAGATTTCTGCATTAACTCATCTCCCTGTAGCTGTTCATGATATTTATAAGTATCACAACAGTGCCTTGAAACCACTTGTTCTTGAGATATTGAGTCTCATACAAACTCTATTTTTAAGTTCTGGCAACTGTCCTTTTGTTTTGAAAATTTCTTGTAAGGAGTTGTTAATAAGTACATGGCTTCACATAGGATCAAGTCTCTTGGTGTCTTAAAAAAAACAAGATTAAGAACGCGTTATTTATCAAAGGTACATGTAGAGTATTTGAACTAAATTTAAGGAACATTAACTATACATGAATATCTCTTTGTATTTCGTTCATTAGCTTATACAGGATAAAAATATGTTCCACCAACAAATGCATGTACGTGAATATGTGCAGCATGGCTGAAGGTTTTTGTATAGAACACGGCTGGGTTTATTTTTCCTATTGAGATTATGGGGATTAGTCTGATACTGTGTGATATACAAACATGCTGGCTGTCTTTATTTTGATAAATACCCTTGGTAAGGAAGGAAAACTTATCCAGAATAACATGCAAATCTGAGGACATTTTAATACATAATCTCTCTAAGTGAAAGAAATTGAATATCCCACATTTCCTGGATATTTATGGGGATAAGTGGAATTGAGATTCAGCTAAATATTTTTTTAGCAAATAGAAAGGTTAAGTTTAACAGGCACTAGATACTTTGAGTTAAAGCAAGGCTTGGCTTTAGCACAGAATGATTCAATGTTGTCCGTTGAGAGTTTGTAAGGAGTGACTTAACTGGATTCAAGAATATGTCAAGGACTGACTGGCAAAAATTTCAACAACCTGAATTTGTCCAGGAGGCTCCAGACAATACTGACAATATGTCTCAGTGCAAAACTCCATTTTGAATAGAGCATTTTTTGGCATGGTCCAAATGAATAAATCTAGACTCTAAAACTAATGGCAAAATTAAAACTAAAACTTCTTGTGGTTGCCTTTTCATAAGTGATCAAAAAGTTAAAGTATCAGAGAAGTTTAGCCTTTTATGTTAACTGTAATCAATTCTTGCAACAAAAAAAAGGGCTTAGGAAAGTCCCTGAAGATCCCTCAAGAACCATTGAATAGACTCATCCCACCCACCCACCCACCCCCTTAGGATTAGATGAGTCAATTTACCCAACCCTCGCTCATCTAATCTCTTAGTATTTTTCTGATTGGTACTTGCAGTCCTTTAACTGCTTTTTTTTCCTCCTTTTTTTTCCTAAGGAAACCAAAGGAGGCAAAGGTCACATCAAGGTTGGTACAATTTAACAGTTACTAGCAGATAAAAAAATCTACTCTTGCTTTTAAGTTAGTCTACGATTTTTTTCTCGTCTTTTTTATTTTTAATGGCTTTCATGGCAATTTCTCTTTTCAAGGGTAGATATTGGCATATTCTCTTTGATGAAGTGTCATGTCACATGACAGCTGACAATTAACAATTTCTTGTAATTTCTTGCAAGTTGTCAACCTCATTATGATCTTAAACACATTTATTGTAATCTACTATTTTATTTGGAACAGCGGTAATGTCATATTTCTGTTGTGTTTTCTTGTAGCTTGGCTTTGTGGATGTGAACTTAGCAGAGTTTGCTGGATCAGCTTCAACTGTAAAGCGATATATTCTTGAAGGATATGAAAACAAGACTGATTTGCGCCAGGACAACTCAATTCTTGAGGTATATCAAGCTATTCAAATTAAAATTTATGAAAGGCTTTGAAGGATTGAATTCTTAGCCAAAAAAATTGTATTTGTTCTATAAAATTTCATTCTCTCATGGTTTTTTTCAAAGGTTGAAATCAGTATGCAGCTCACATCTGGAGATTCAATTTTTAAAGTGTAAGTGCTGAAATATTCATGTTACACTTTCCTATGTTGATTATGCATTCTACAATCTCAATCAGTGTTGCAACGCTATTCAAGGGCTTTTAAAATGAGGTGGTTTAAAGGTAACCATTAACACCATACCATACATTCTTAATTAAAATACCTTGTACATAACAGAATGAAGGATTGTATGTTATCAGAGAACAGAACTAAAACCTGTTGTGTCTATTGACAAAGATTATGAAAATCAAACTTGGTAAATTGTGCCCAAAGCTTGCTGGCCATGCCAATTTTTACCTTGCTATTGATCCTGTTATGAAAAGACCCCTTCAGTGTTTAAGTCTTGTTTACTCATCTCAGGTCTTGTGATAATACTGTAAAGAACCATTTTTTCAAATTTCCTGTGCATATTTAAGCATAATTTACAAGAGATAAGCTAGGAAATCCCTTGAGTCCTGACATGGGTAAACATTTATGGCCTAATTGCTCCAGGAGGAGCTAAGTATGTAACTAAATAACTAATTATTGATTCTGCAGGTTGCTCTTCATCTAAAATCTTCACAGAATATCTCCTTGATATAATGAAAAAGTAAATGTACAATGTGCCAATTGTTATACATAACCTTTTCTCCCTCAGACCTTATTCACCATCACACAATCAAGCGACAACTGAAACAGCAGAAAACAGAGCACCACCCTCTGATCATGACTCAGTCAGTGATGCACCAGGAGTAGCTGAGGCAAGAAAATCAGTCTTGAGTGGCAGCCAAGAAAGTGTATCAGAAAATCAGGAAACTGCAGGCAGTGATCCTGATAAAGTGAACTTCATTCCTGGGCATTCACGGAGCTTCAGTGAGCCACCCTGTGGCGGCAGTAGCCATGTCAGGAGCATCAGCACACTGTCACGGATATCCGGGTATTCAACTGGTCATTCTTTTTCATCCAGCTTGGAGGGCAGATCTAGTAGGAGGTATTCAACCACGGAATGGTGTTAGCATACTCAGCCATGCACTCACCATTTTTCTTTTCTTAATTTTATGATTTTGATTTCACTTGATGCAATTTTTTTTTCTTCTACATACAACTGTATGTGCTACTTGTTTGACATGTTTATTTGAGACAAAGGTGTAACATTTCATTTTCTTCTTTCTGCCACTCTTTTGTTTTGCTTGATTTTATTGATTCTTCTTGTGTATGCTGCACCATTCAGGCTTCAAAAGTTTCCATAATAACTGATCATGGCAGTGGGTTACTGTTACTTAATTTGGAGAGGAAAACAATCTTTTTTATTGGATCCTCAAATTGATTAGCATCCTATCATCTGCAAGTACTAGTGTCAGATGTAAATATGACTGCCCAGACATGTATACATGTAGCTTGCTTAATGGCAGGGAGGCATGGTGATGTTAAATTAGTTTTATTGCCATATTACCTTCCTCCTAATATGTACTATTTGTAATTATTGTCATGCAATTTTTTTCCTATTAACAGGAAACAAAGTTCAGGGTCTGGGAAAGGTGGGCACTCAGGGTGTATCCTTCATCAACTGTTATGAAATATCAGATAATTGTAACTTGTAACAGTGTTGTTGGGCATGAGGTTTTTTGTTAGTACAGACAAATAAATTCAGTCTATAGTGGTTCAAATTTCCAGAGGTGGATGCAGAGAAGCAAATGTGAAGTAGTGAAAAAGAACCTATTCTATAGATGTAGGAACAAAAATCTTTAACATGCTGTAAAATGAATTGCCCACTAATTCAGATCATACTTGTAAGCTTTGCCATGTTGTTTACTTATTATGTTGCTTATCAACCTTAACATCTTAAAAGCTGATGACACAGCATTTTGTGGTTCTGAGCAAACATTGTCACCAGCTCCTGAGAGGCAAGGCAAGAGAATAAGCTGGAAGGTATAGTTATATTTCTGCGTCAAATGGTCATGGAGCATGCATTTTTTTTTGGAGAATTACATGGAAATGTCCAACAAACCACAAAACAGTTACATTAAAAACAGACTTCAAACTTTCTTTTAGACAAAATACACACACACCTTAAACCATGAACTAGTATTTGTTCAGATGATCTTCATACTCAAGAAACAATTAAATTGAAAGCTACAGAAAATTTACAGGTGACTGGTCAGCTGTTTATATTTTGCAAGTTAATGGACAACTGGTATGAAAAGTAGATGCAGTTTGCCCTCCCTTTTAGCTTATTTTAAAGTCATGAATTTTGTTATAATTTGCTATACATATATATGTATATGTGCATGTACCTGCTTATTTCTTAACTCTTTAACTCCTGAGATCTCATTTTTAATTCTCTTTGCTGTCTGCTAAATGATTTTTATCATGTTTGTTGGGAGAATTTGGTATCAGATCAATTAGTAATCACAAAATGGATATTTTTCTTTATTCTCATCTCTTTTCTGTATGATATTGTATAGATATAGTAAGGAGAAATTCTGTCTTGGTCACTCACAGGAGTTAAAGGTTTAAGGACTCTTCCATTTCCATTTACATTTACAATAGTCCTCAAAAACAAGGATTCCAAAATAATTTGTACAAATTTTTGTGATAAACAGAAACCTGATGACCAAAGATCAAGCCACAGCAGAGTTAATGCAGATGATGTTATCGAACAAATTTTTAGTGGGTAAGCTGCACACATTATTAAGAATGCATGTTGTACATGCACTTTAAAACACTGGGATGGTACAATGCAGCTTTAAGCAAACTGTGTATTCAGTGTCTGATCTAGAGTTATTCAAGCTCAAAAACAGGGTACAGTCTCTGAATACTTTTGTTGCTTTTTAGTATGTGAAATTTTTAGATGGATTGCTATTGCTATGTACAGTGCTTTGAAGCATTTTATTTTTACAGCTTCAGTTGTGTTACTTAACTTTTTGCGTGATTCTTTCATCTTGTTCCAGGCACAATTTTTCAGGTGATGAAAATCCATCAGGTAACTCACTGTCAGTTACTATAATTGTTGAAATATTTAAATTATTCATTAGTTTAAGGCATCACTTGTGGAATTTATGCTCTCTTTTTTTTCCCAGTATTCTGTTCATTCCTCATTCCTATCAATTCCTTTGAGAGAGTTTCATGTTGTTGATGTAATTTTCTCTGCTTACAAACCAGGTGATGAACTTCAAGGTAACCAGTTGTCAGTGCTTCTCACAAAAGATGGCACATTGAGTATTCCTGGAGGATACAGTAGGCAAGTGACTGCTTTTAACTCTACTAACTGTCATTTCTTTGTACTTATGGGGACATGTCTTTTCTAGTATAGGCAATTCATTAAAAAAAAATAATATTAGAATTCCTGGGCAGAGGACTTTGTTTGCCACTTAACCAAATAGGCTCTCGGAAGCTACACTGCAGTTTATTTGAATGTCACCATGTACAGATGTGTATAGTCATGACTTTGGTTTATTGTTTATAGTTTCCCAATTGTTGTTTGCAATTTTCTTGATTACATGTACATGTACATGAAACACAGAAATAACCTACTGAAATAACAAATATACACTTAAATTTCGTACAAACTTTCTTAAACTGGTATGGTTTTCAGTACATAACAAATCTGCACTTAAATGCTGTGTAAACTTTATTAAATAGGTATGTGTTCATTCTATTGGTTTAATTTTGTGATATTCTCTATTGATCGTACAGACCTATTCCAGAGGACAAGTACCGGACATTGTGAAATATTACACCTCCACAAGAATATTCCACAACTCAGGCAGCCCAATCTGCTATCATTACTACTATGTGTACATGTTACTGTACATGTAACTCCATTTGTAGAGAACTTTCTTTAGAACATATTCATAGAAGTACTGGTACTTTATTCATGTACATAACAGAGAACTCTGTAAAGGAATTTTATACAAATCTGTGTGTGCTACATACTTCATAGCGTAATGTGTAAGATAAACCACACTCATTAATTGCATTTTAACCCTTTAACTCCCAATATTTCATGACTAATTCTCCTTACTGTCTGCCATACAATTTATATGATGCTAGTTTGGAGAATTTAGAATTGGATCAACCAGTAGTCCCCCAATTGATATTTTTCTTTATTCTCATTACTTGTCTGCTTGATATCGTACTGATAATTTAAGGAGAAATTCTGTCACTAGTGGGACTTAAAGGGTTAATGATTTTTTGCACTGCCCCTATGGCATGGTATAGTAAGTCTTCAGTGACTTTCCATGCAGTGGATGTGTGTGTTGTGTGTTCCTTACTGCAAAGGTAGTTATAAATAGCAAAAAATCTGCAGAAGGTCTCATTGTATCATTTACATGTCTTACAGAGTGGGTCGTCAGCTTTTTCTTATATTTATTTTGTTTTTACAGCAGTTTTTTGCTGGTCTTGTTTGAGGGGCTTTTGACATTCTCTTCTGTGTTATCACAGTGCAATGTTGATGCCTTCAATAGTTTGTTGGAACTTTCAAATTTTTTATTTCTCAAATGAATTACACACAATGTGCATTGAATGAGTGAGGTGTGTTCTGTTGATATGCTATGAATAATCCCTTAAGTGATTCAATCATGATGCCATGTTTTTAATTTTGTTGGTTAGTTCATTACTTTAAGAATCCACTTTGTAGCTTTTGTCTAAAACAGTGGCTGACAAAAGTACTCACTAAGGAAGATTGACTCAGACAAAAACATGAAGAACAGTGAATTTTCAAGCAGGTTCCTTGATAACAGTTTGCTACAGTGCCCTGGAGGCACTTGGTAGCTGGTCTTGTTTTTCATGTTACCTTAGTTTTAAATTTAAGCAAGGGTCGGAGGGAAATATTTTGAAAAGTAGAGTGAAATGTAGTACGCATGAAGGTCAGCACAATTGTAAGTCCCCTTGGTTTAGATTTAAGGAAATCTCTCCTTACAAAATTGTCCATGACAGACAGTGACTTAGGTGATTAATTAATGTTACCTTCCATCACACAAAATTCTACCCATGATCCATTATATTTTAAAGGGGGTGGTTTTAGTTTGGAATTTTTTTTAGTGAAATCTTTTGATACTAATATTAGGTAGATTTTTTTCAGATGTTTATTTGACTATTTGAATTGTTCCAATTTCATGTGAAATTTATTTCTTAGTTATGGGGGTGAATGCTTCTTGCTATTAACTCATTCAAATAATTTGATATGACAGCCATAAGCTCAAAGAGGGAGCACCAAACACCTATGGAGATAAAACAGCAATTTTAACTTAAGAAAATATGAGGAAATTAAGGCAGTGTTCAATAGAGTAGCTGATTGTGGGATGAGTTATAATTTATTTATAATTAGATTTCCTATTCATGAGAATATATCGGTATTGGCTGTATGTCCTGTCAAAGAATTGATCTTTTCCATCATAAGTGGTTTGAAATTGTAATTTCAACTGAAGTATGACACATGATGTAGCTGCAATTTTTTTATTATTATGTTCCATTTAGAGGTTGCTTTTTGTTTCTGCTTTGGGAAGGAGAGCTGTATATGGAAATATGTCTCTCGATGGTTATTGGTCTCGTAGGTTGGTTGAATGGAGATCATATTAGCCATTTGTTTCTTTTGTTAAGTTTCGTATGGAGCATATCATTATTGTTACTAACTTGATTCTCCAGCGGTCCAGAGAGGGAGTTAGACAAGGCCGTTGACAGAACTCTCTGCCAGGGTGTCCAACTTAAGTGCCTCTGATTACTTGGGGACAGACCAGGCTGCTTTATTTTGTTTTTCGAAGGGAGAAGGGGGGGTCTTGTTCGCAAGACCTTGGACCGTCTAAGAATCAGTTTAAATTGTTTCACTTCTGATGGAAATTAATATTTAGCTTTATGTAATGATACATATCGTGTGATAATAATGCGAGTGTGAGAGGTTTAACTGGTCGTCGGGAGTGAGTGAGTATCGCGCTTAAAATTCTTAAGACACTTTGACATCGTGATTAATTATGCTTGCTTCGGATGTGAGTTGGTAACTTGTTTGAATATGAAAAGAAATTCTTTATGGTGAAGTTTTTAGCGGGTTCTAAAGGCTGCGCTGAGAACTTTCTTTTGGGTTGTGTGTCACATTTTGGAGAGCTGAAGGGCCGTCTTGGGTTATAATTTTTTTTCTTTTTTCGGTCATAAGAGTGTTCAAGTATTTAGAGCTTAACTGTAGTTTGAAATGTAAATAATACATTGATAATGACAGGATTTTACGCAATTAAAGTTAAAAAAAGGTGTGCTTGAAGTGATTTTTGTCATTCTGGTACTGTACTTACACATAGCCAGTCGAAATGGGCGGGAAGATAAGAGAAGCAAGAACTGGGTAGCGACCATTTTCCCTATTTAATATTGAAGAGAGAGATCAATGTTTCGCAATAATTCTTCAAATGGCCTGGATTTGACCTAATACACAAATACGCTGCGTTCGCTCGTCAGTGTTGTGAAGCTGTTTGTTGCGCTTATCCAATTCATTAGAAATGTTGCCAGCATCCTTGGAGAGAGACTGTGGTACATTCCCTCTTGAGATTATGTATCCATTGTTAATACGAATGAAGATACGACAAAACTAGGTTCATTAAAATTACTGAAGTAATAGGAATTACACCTGCAAGGGGCCATCCTGTTTAAATATTCGTTATTATTATTATTATTATTATTATTATTATTATTGTTGTTGTTGTTGGTGTTGGTGTTGTTTAGTTTAAGACCTCGTCTTTTTGAAAAAGGGCCAACGCTCCAAACGTCAGCTTTAGAAATTCTTTACGGTAGCTAATTTACATCAGTCAACTCAGTTGATAGAACAAAAAAATCTTGTTTTACCTCTCGTGAACGCAGCACCACAATTTCTTTAGAAACGTACCCCTTTATTCATTTGAACGACTTTACTAGTTATATTCACTTATTACCTCGTGTACTTAGAGGAAGTAAAGAGTGTTGCAGTGACCGAGTGGGCTGTAGTCTCGCAGACCAGGTCGGACTCCTGGTGTTCAAAAGGGTCGCTGATGCTTATCCAGTTTTTATTTCTCTTGATTTGGACGCTTCATAGGGCTAACGTTCTGCTAGATAAACTTAAGGAAGCACAATGATAAACAAATATAGATTTAGCCTGAAAACCAAATGAAAACTGATTACATTAAAACTGTCGTAACGTTGCTTTAAATAACCAAGGCCCAGGTGACTAAAATGCCTGAAGAGACCAAGCAAACTAGTAAGAACCACAGGAGTATTATTTCAGGAAGGATATAAGGAGAAGCGAGGAATTTTCCAAGGTAGAGCCGAGAAATATATCGCAGTTGAAAAGAAAACAAGGAAGTGTTTGACTCATCTGAAGATGTCAATGGCTGAAAGGGGGGGAGGGAGGGGTCGTGATGACTCCTCCATCATGTGAGGATAGTAGTGAAATAAGAACTGATAAATTTATTAATAACAGCACTTCAGTGGAAGAAAGACGGTTGTTTTCCAACGTTGCCGTCCCAGAGGCATGAACATTTCTGGATAGCTCAGACAGTTCCGAGGAGAGGTGTGAAAATATGGAGGATGGAAGGAAAATCCTGGATCTTGATAAACACCCTTAAGGGGCTACATTACAGTGTAGACAAAAAAAAACAACGCTTACACACTTTCGGGAGAGTGGGAGGGAGGGGGGGGTTGCATATAATGGCAAGATAATACCAGGCGTTTCAAAACTCCTTCTATCGCGACAAAGCATCTTGAAAGACTTGAGATCTCTGGCGGTTACTCATTCTAAAAATCGATCAGTCTTGGGAGAAAATTTGTGTTTTCGAATAGGAGTGAGATTCAGCAATCCACAACTATTTTTGTTTTCATTTTAAGATTTACTTAAGCATCCCTAGCTTACGGCAATGTTAGTGCCGACGAACTAAGTATCTTTTTTTTCTACAGTAACGTCTCTACTCGCGAGCAATCGATCTATGCACATTATACTGAGTGAAATTTGGTTCAGGGTCACGACGTCGATGAGCTTCGTGCAGGTTTGCCGTTTTATCAATTTTTGGCAGTTGTGACCAATAACATATAGATTTAGCCAAGTCTAAAAGCGGAGTTCTTGTTAATTTATTTTCCAGCCCTTCGTTGTAATAAAAACAATAAGGCTAACCATACGTGAAAAAAGGCGAAAAAAAGCCGATAAGCGCGAAAATTGACAAATTTTAACCGTTAATCGTAGATAAAGGTAACCGTAAAAACTTTTCTTTCAATCACAACGTAAAAGCCGTTAAAGCCATCACCCCACTGAGACCCTCTTATCTAGGTGGTTCTGTGATTTTTTGGAACCACGATGCCCCCAATTTATCGCTTGACTTGTTTTGTTTAGATGTTATTTCTGTGTGCGCGTTTCTTTGTCATTTTTAGACGTGATAGTCCGTAAATGTCGGACCACGTCGAACAGTCAGGTTCACTGATTTGGCTCAAATTTTGCATGTTAACTTGGTTAGGGGTTCTTATCACGAAATGGATATTTTAAAGATTGAAATTTATTTTGCGTGGGAAATTAAGGTTCCCGACCATTTGGAGTTCCTATGGGATGTGGTAACCAGGCTTAAAACAAATCAGCAACTATTCCCTTGTGTTTTGAATGCAAAATTTTGTAGAAAAATACAAAGGGTCTGCAAGGTCTGAGTGATGTTTTTCTTTGTTTTGTTTTCGGTATCAGATGGGGTCTTATAAGAATTTGCTAGAGTTTTCAACATTCCCTTACATCCGGCAAGTCCCATGGAAACAGTCCGTCTTGATCTCTCCCCAGATTTCTCTCGCCAAATGATTCAATGTGGCGCTTTCATATAGTGTGACGAGAAGCTTGTGATGTCATCGCCTGTATGACAAGTATCGAATCCTCGGCCGGATACGCCGTACTTAGCCTACTGATTTCGTCCAGAAATGAACCTTTTCCATGGAAAAGAAATAGTGGACGCGCACATACGTGAGTACACATACACAGATTGCAAAAACATTGCGTACATATAACAAACCACTGGCGGCCGAAGCTTTAACTGTGAGATGGTCATCTAACGAAATAACAGCCATGGCAAAATTATAAGAATTTGACATAGTTTGATGCTACACTGGTTTGCAGATTTAATGAATGTAACTGAAGAAGTTACAATTCATAGACCCAACGTTCCTGTCTAGTGCCTTCATGTTATATGATGTTATTTCTGCGAAATCTCACAGTGGGAGCTTGGGCCGCCAGTGAAAAAAAACATACTTGGTGCTGCCAAGCTTTAATTATATATGCTCGATAAGATCAGAATCATTGGCTGGAACAGTTGTCTGATTAAATGACTGTGAATATATGAAAATCATCTATGTGAACTGCGGAGAAAGACGTGAATATGAAAGCGATCTTCGCAGTAATTAGTGAAAATAAATGGTTTTGCTCTTAATACTTCATCTATGCTCAAATTTCAATTACAAAAACACAATAAATCTTGCATTGGAATCACTTGGCGTGATCTCATCATGGAGGCTGAAGTCTTTGATTGATCAGCTGAGCTTTCTATAGTTACAGGATCCAATCTTGACCCCAAAAAGTACTAGTATGTGCTAACAAAAAGTTGATGTGAAATCAGGCCGAAAGCTTTTACAAAGAACGAATTGTTTTTGTCGATTCCACGATGACTACAATATGATCCGTCCCACCAGCAGGTCTCAAGTGTGCCAACAAAGGCTGTTTGTTCTATGCCAGGTAACCAAACAACATATATGTTATATCTTCAATTAGTCTCTGTGCCAGACTCATAAGACTGGGAGAATTCCAGAAGATGGATTTGCAAGGTCTCAAAATATAATCCTGTAGTTGATGCAGTAAATCAAACTGCTCTCAACCATACACTTTAGACAGCCTCCAGTTGAATAACCATGGAAAATTGCAAAGATGTCAGTCAAGAGTAGCCAAGCTTGACGAGTAGCCAAGCTTGACGACATTCAGGAACTAGTGAAGGATGATAACTATATAAGTTAACGGTGGATGCCTCACCTTTCATTCAAAAGAAAGAGTCTAGACAAAGAGCAGTCTCCTGATATTAATTACTGAGAATTCAATTTTTCATGCCCTCTTGGATAGTGTATACTTGAGGGTTACTTTTGATCTCTCTTATACCCTCTTGGGTAGTGAATACCTTAGGGTTATTTTAATCTCTTGCATGCCCTCCTGGATAGTGTATACCTAAAGGTTATTTTTAATCTCTTCTATACTCTCTTGGGTAGTTGGGGTAGTTTAATTTCCTTTAGGGTTATTTTTAATCTCTTGTATACTTTCCTGGGTGGGTCAGTGTATACCTGAGGGTCATTATAAAAATTTCTTCTTTACAACTTAGAAGTTAAACATACAGAAAAGTTTGGGTGAACATGTATACCTGAGGGTTATTTTTTTATTTGCAATCTCTTGCATACCCTCCTGGGTACAGCCAATTTTGTTCATTGGCGATGTGTACCTGAGGGATTATTTTTTTGTAAATAAAAAACTTGTTCGTCTGAAGCTCTTTTATTCGCCTTTGAGATCTCTTATCTCTCTACTCGATTTTATACGTCGGCAAGTTGGCGTCGGGTAGTTTATACCCTGGTAGGGTTATTTTTAATCTCTTCTACTCTCTCTTGGGTAGTTTATACCTAAGGGTTATTTTTAATCTCTTCTACTCTCTCTTGGGTAGTTTATACCTAAGGGTTATTTTTAATCTCTTGTATACTCTATTGGGTAGTGTATACCTGAGTGTTATTTTTAATCTCTTCCATACCCTCCTGGGTAGTGTATACCTGAGGGTTACTTTTGATCTCTCTTATGCCCTCTTGGATAGTGAATACCCTGGGATTATTTTTAATCTCTTGCATACCCTCCTGGGTAGTGTATACCTGAGGGTTACTTTTGATCTCTCTTATACCCTCTTGGGTAGTGAATACCCTAGGGATATTTTTAATCTCTTGCATACCCTCCTGGATAGTGTATGCCTAAGGATTATTTTTAATCTCTTCTACACTCTCTTGGGTAGTTTATACCTGAGGGTTATTTTTCATCTCTTGTATACTCTCTTGGGTAGTGTATACCTGAGGGTTATTTTTAATCTCTTCCATACCCTCTTGGGTAGTGTACACCAGAAGGTTGTTTTTAATCTCCATATCCACTTGTATAGTGTATACCTGAGGGTTACTTTGAATCTCTTATTTACCCTCTTGGGTAGTGTATACCTGAGGGTTATTTTTAATCTTTTCTATACCATCTTGGGTAGTGTTTACCTGACGTTTATTTTTAATTTCCTTTATACTCTCTTGGGTAGTGTATACCTGAGAGTTGTTTTTAATTTTCTTTATACTCTCTTAGGCTCTACTCTCTTTTAATCTCTTCTTTACCCTCTTGGGTAGTTTATACCTGAAGGTTATTTTTAATCTCTTGCATTCCCTCCTGGGTAGTATAGACTTTAGAGGTATTTTTAATCTCTTGCATACCTTCTTGGGTAGCATATACCTGACGGTTGTTTTTAACCTCTTCTATGCCCTGTTGGGTAGTGTATACCTGAGGGTAATTTTAATCTCTTCTATACCCTCTTGGGTAGTATATACCTGAGAGTTATTTTTAATCTCTTCTATACTCTCTTGGGTAGTGTGTATTTTATTTTTAATCTCTTGCATACCCTCCCAGGTGGTGTATACACTACCCTCTTGGGTAGTGAATACCTTAGGGTTATTTTAATCTCTTGCATGCCCTCCTGGATAGTGTATACCTAAGGGTTATTTTTAATCTCTTTTATACCCTCTTGGGTAGTGTATACCTGGGGGTTATTTTTAGTCTCTTGCATACTTTCTTGGGTAGTGTATACCTGAGGGTTATTATTAATTTCTTCTTTACTCTCTTGGGTAGTGTATACCTGAGGGTTACTTTCAGTCTCTCCTACACCCTCTTGGGTCGTGTATACCAGTGTTATTTTTGAGCTCTTCTTTACCCTCCTTACATGGCAATTGTGTTAAATAATATTTGTACTCACAATGATCAAAATGCAATAACAGTGTTGTAAGAAAAAGTGAAGACCAGCTTCTACCCTTTTTTAGTTGATTTTGGCAAAAGTGATGTCTTTGTAAAAGCTAAAAATGCTATTCCAAAATCTTTGCACATAAAAGGTCATTATAAGGATAGTTGCATTGCACCAAAGCTTGTAGACTGAACAGGGAGACCATCAGTCTGTATTCTCTGGATTATCTGATCAACACAGTTTCTGGACTTTAAAAGTACAAACCATGACCTGTATAGAGAAGGGTTTGTTAGAGTTAGCCTTATTCAGGCCTTGGCTTCGATCATGGAGGCGAAATCAGCTTAACTGATGCCAATTTTTAGGCCATCTTTGAGTTTCTTCTTCTTATGTGTTTTAAATTGTTCCTGTTTGTTTCTGTAATATTTGGTCAGGACTATTTGTGGACCTTGAGTTAACGATTTACTGTTGTCTTCTTTAAGACATGTATTGTTTCAACAAAGAAAATGAGCTTAGCATACTGCCCCTTAGGTTTTTTCAAATTAGACCTGTTAATTTTGTATGAGGCTTTTCTCTGGACTCTTGTTTTTGGAAAATGAGCAAACAAAGTAGAGTTGTATCTGGAAAACGATTGGAAATGTAATTATTGGATGTTGGGGTTTTTTTCCAATTCATTTGAGGGGAGCTTTATTAACTTTTTTTGTAGGGATTATTGGATGTCCTGGAATGTTCAGCAAACACTTCATGCCACCAAGAGGCATCAAACCTTGGCTTTAATTACTTAATATGCATATTAGCTGGCTGCACATTGAATGTGCAGCCAACTAATTTGCATAAAAATTTTTTCCAACACAAAGCTCATCATGCTACAGTTGTCTGATTGTTGAAATTTCTTTAATTAAGGTTACAGTTGTAAAATTCAAAATTGTGAAAAGGCAGCACAAAACACAATGTCAGAAAATAGCGTGTAAACATGAGATTATAATGAGCTTATTATAATTATGCAGAAGCAAAGTGCACACATCAAAGGGAAAAATAATTTATTCAAACCCTGCAAGTGACATTGTGTGTTTGGTCAAAACAACTGCATACAATTAAAACAATAATATACAATGATATTTTCACATCTTCAAGGTGCAAAAAAGTTCAAAGTCTGGCTAAACAGTTCAAGTAAACTAAACACGTTTAGTTCCACATATTGTCATGACAATTTTTTTTCATTCAATTTGTCCTAAAAAAATTATTAGATTTGGTTTTTGTGATATCCAGAATAGTCAAGGTCTTGGTAAGGGTTATCAGCCTACCTCGACCTTGGTTATTTTGGATATCACAAAAACCTCATCCAATAATTGTTTATAATCATGCAAGGGATTCACAAAATTAGGTTCTAAACTAATGACCACCCAGGTTGTATTTTAAGGTAGTGATCAGACTGAAATTTGTTTTCCCAAAACTGGGAGCTTTACACAACACTTCAAGCCTTAAAACACGGCAATGAAGGAGAAAGAAGCAAATTTTCACAGTACAAAACAAGTGGACAATTGAGTAATGATTTATGATGACTGGTTTTCTTTAACTTCCAACTGATAAAACCATGCAAGTCTTAAAATGTTACAACCTGCTGTATGACTTCTAGATGCAGGTCATCAAATTGGCAACCTACGCTACAAATTTATTTCCTTATTTGCTTTAATTTTTCCTAGTCTCCATGGCAATCAAAATGGTTGCAGTTTGGATCACAGTATAGTTAAATAAGTAATTATTTTTCTACCAGATTTATTGCCATCAGATAGGTATCACTATCCATGGCCTCCTGCTGAGCTGACTGCCATTTATAGACCATTCTATTTGAGTGACCTTGAAGATGCACTCATTCCATCTCCTGTGAGAAAAGTGGTCTTTGTCCAAGTCAACCAAACCTACGAAGAAACGGGTATATTGGAGAATTTTTAAAAATTATGCTACCTTCATTTTAGTAGATGAGTTTTTCATACTGATTCTTTTATTACATTTTCAGTTTTAATAATTTCATTCTTTTCAAATGTTCATGATTCATCTGAGTCTTGATTTATAATGATAATAGGACTGAGTGGAGTCCAATTTTGTCTATAATCATTAAAGTGATTAACAAAATCAGACTATTGCAAAGGGGGAGTCCGATTTGTTAGTTAGGAGTATGATTACAGACAGAATTGGACAACACGAAGTCCTGATATCAATTAATTGAAACTATGGAACAATTTGAGAAAGAAAGTTGACATCAGTTATAGGTTTTCATAAGAAAACAATTGTTAACTTGGTGAAATGCATGACAGCAGCATGCACACATGACACTTACTGTCCATGTATACAGGCGTGACACGTTAACTGTCCTATTACACTGTCCAATGACAAGCATGATGCTTACACAGTGTCCTGTTGGTGCTCAAATCTGGCTGGTGATAACCAATCATGTTTGAGAATTTTGTTATAGTTTTGACTAATTCTGTTGACATAAGATGTGCTATTAGATTTGCAGTGAATTTAGCTGTTTTGAAAATTCTTGAATATTTGATGTTTGTGTTTAATTTCAACTTGACATGGCTCTAGCTGGTGGAGTTTTTTCTACTATACACCTCAGAGTGCATCAATCATGGCTTGTGAATGAAATTTTCTTAAGTTTATTTGAATGTATTTTGAATTGCAATTTTCTTTTCCCTTCCCCCTCATTATGCTTTTTGTATTTACATGCAATGCTTGCAATTTAAGCAATTAGCTAAAGCCAGTCATGTTAAATACAGGGTAAACATGGCCTTTTTTCAAAGACTCTAATGTTTGGTATGATGTACATTGGATAACTATTGTTAGAGCATCTTTTTTTCTGAAATAATCCTTCAATTTAATTATGTCTGACTCAATAATGATTTAAGACCCACAAATTCAAGGTAACTTCAATATCTCATAACTTCATGTAGCTTCAGGACATTTTACATGTAATGTTGAGGTTAAAGTTTATTTATAACTTTTTTTAAACAGACTGGATACTAGAAGTGGCCAAAGAAAGTTCAACAATTGTTGGAATTGTTGGATGGGTTGACCTTACTGACCCAAAGGTAAATCTCTCTAGAAAATATTGATTTACCAGTACTTGATTTGGCAAACTATAAAATGTTGTAATATTACCCACTGCAGACATGGTTTTGATCTTAACTTCTGACCAAGGTTTTTAAAAAATAGAAACTTGTTAATACTGAACAATAATCTTACTTGATTTTCCAAAACTTCAGTGTTGATCAATTTGATTTTATAGAAGATTATTAATTTCATTTAACATGATCAAATGAGAAAAAATTGGAAACAGTTGATTTTCAATTTTTAAAGGTTGATGCTATTCTAGACAATTATATGAAGCATCCAAAGTTCAGGGGGGTAAGGAACATCTTAGAAGGAGAACCAGATGATTGGTTGGGCAGAGAATCTGTTCAGAGAGGTTTAGGTATGTCAATGGTCATTCAATACCCTTAAGTAAAGCCATGCAACATGGATTTTTTTTTTAGTTTTAATATTTGCCAAGTTTGTGGCAAATATGCAAACATGTGTCATAGCAGACTGGAAAAATCAGCCCCCCAAAAGAATGATTCTGCAAAATTTCCAACTTTTAGGGCAATAAAAAAATACCAAGAGGTCTATTTGATTATTTAATTAATTTGGTAGGCACAAACATTCCAAGGCAACAGAATTCAGTGATGTTTCTCAGTGAATAAAGTGAGTTGTTGCTCCATAAATGATCAAAGTTTAAAATATCTTGTTTCCTTCCTTGTCAATGCTATGCTGCTTAATAAGAAAATGTCAAAAATCAAAGTCATCTCAAACCAAAAAAAAGTTATGTGTAGTGTGCCATTTGGGTTTTAGGCACTGAAAGATAATTTTAAACTTCCATGCTGTAATCTGCTAATATTAACTTTTAAAGTTGAAGAGGAATGGATTTATCATGCTTGACTTCTACTTGAACTGACTTTGATTCTATCCTCTCAGGATTTTTAGAGGAAAGGGGACTGACATATGATTTACTTGTAAGGTCAGTAGACATTAGTAATAATTTATTTTTCACTGTAGTATCCCCTGAGTCCTCTTAGCACTTTTTGCTCTCATGACTGACCAAAAGGAAATTTCCCCCACAATATTGATACATTTTTCAGAGGAAAGATAATATAAAGAAAGAAAAAAATACAAACAAGGATATTTTTTTGGTTGATTGAACACAAAATTCTCTGATTTAAAATGTTCAAAATGTTATGGAAAACAATTCAGAGAATTTACATCTGATCATGTTAGTGAAAAGGTTAACCCTTTAACTCCCAAGATCTCATTAGTAATTCTCCTTAATGTCTGCTATACAGTTCTTGTGATGTTAGTTTGGAGAATTTGGTATTGGATCAACTTTTAATCCCCTAACTGATATTTTTCTTTATTCTTATCACTTGTCTGCTTGATATTTTATCAATATTGTAAGGAGAAATTTTGTCTTGGTCATTCATGGGAGTTAAAGGGTTAAGACATTCCAAGGTTACACCTTGGAATGTTATGACAGTGATAGCAATGAATATTAATGTTAATGAAGTAATGGTGGTGATGAGCTAACAAGTTTGGTACATGTCATATCTGGTAAATAGCCCCCAGGTAAGGCCCTGGGTAATAGTTCCACCTGGCATGCCACATGACACACTGATTTGCATAAGTTTGTACTCATGACCGTGGTCCTGCTTACTATCAACCGATGGGAACTGTAATTACCTAAGAAATCACAGAAATTTATTAATTTGTTTATTTCTCTTCTCAAAGGACAAGGCACTTGAATTTGGCTAATGATGTGGTTCAAAAGTTTCCAAAGTAAGTTTTGTCAGAAATTTATTTTGTTTTTTTTAATGGTTGTTGTTGTTGTTGTCGGTGTTTTCCTCATTCTGTACTATTCACTGTTTTCATTTTTTTTTTATGTAGACCAATAAATGTAGAAGCATTCAATAATTTGTCACACTTCTCTTTGCCTGTACATAATCTTTTGATAAGAGGGTCAATTTTATGTTACTTTACACTCAAATGTCTTTGTTAATGATTTGGATGAGGCTGTTAGTCTGGCAAGGAAAGGAGGGAAGCTGTATGCAGGAGTACCCATGAGAGGATTGGACTAAAATGTTCAAAGGAAGCTCATCTCAATCCTGCTCAGTTTTATTGATACAAAAAAGTCAAACTTGAAAACTTTAATTGTAACAGAAAATAACTGAATATGATTAGACTAAAATGTCAGTTCAACTACATGGTTAATACTGCCAATGAAAACCTTCGTCTCAAAGTCTTTTTTATCGGTAGATTGACCTTTTAGTGAGAGGAAGTACACACAGGAGGGTTTACTCACAGATTTTGTGGAACAGCATTCACTTTTAAGCTTTCTTTTCTTTTTTTCTAATTTTAGCCTGAAGTTTGTTGTTGACCACGCTGCAAAACCAGAAATTAAAGAAGGCAAGATAGATGCCTGGAAAAAGGGAATGCAAATTTTGTCTCAAAATCCGAACGTTTTTTGCAAAATGTAAGTAAAGCTTGTAAGTGGTTATAGGTTGCGCTCCTACCAAGTATATTTAATCAAGAGAGCTGTCTTCTCAATTTCATTTACGTTACTGCGATATCCCAATGTCTGACCATTATTCGTGTTGTTGGGTGGTGCTTGAAGTTACGTTGAAAACTCTTAAACAACTTTGCAGTCGAACCAGGTCACTGGTGCTACTCCTCACTGACCCAGGTCCATGGAAACTGGGTTGGCTTCTCTATCTCCCTCCGGGTGTAGCCTACCTACCTTGCCAGAGGGGGTAAGTTTCGAAAGAAACTGTGTCGCTGCGTCGGTGGGAGGGTATAACAGGGTAATTTAGTCTTATCAACTGTGTTAATAACGTAGATTGGCCACCGTAAATAATATAAAAGCTGACGTTTGAGCGTTTGCCCTTCGTTAGAGCGAGTCAACTTTAACACTCTTTACAGTGGCCAATTTATTTTATCAACTCAGTTGATAATACTGAATTACCATACCTGCCCATGCTAGCCTCGTCATTGACTGTTCCTCTCCAGTTGTCCTTGAAAGGTTCTTGATTAGGGTTCAAGGGTGTTTAAAGTCTTGAGTCAAAAGATTCAGCCTCAACTAAGTAATGGCCCTACCGCAACCTTATCAATCTGCAGGACCAAGTTGTTCAAAACACAATCAACACTCATACATTAGATCATCATAACAAGGCAACGCACAATTACTTGCTCGGTAAATGCAACTTAAAAGTGTGGAGATACTTGAACACTGAGGTCTTTATCTTACGCTTGCAGATCGGGGCTAGTGACAGAAGCTTCTCATGAAAAATGGAAAATTGAAGACTTAATTCCTTACGCACAGGTCAGTAGTTAATTCTTACGTGTAGAAACATCTCATTCATTCCTTGGTGGGCACGATCAACACTTCGGTTAATTGCCAGGCTTCTAGGAGTAGAATAAGACGGATACCGCGCCTTAGCAAGGCCAGGGACTGAACTTCTCAAATTTCGCTACGACGCTTTAATTACCATTATCTATTTATGGTTGATACTTGATCACATAATTCATTGCACAGTGCAGCTTGAATTTCTTGCTTCGATTTGTGTTTGTTTCGTCTTTCCGTTTTTTTTTTAGCACGTTACTTCTGTATTTGGAGCGAACCGATGTATGTTTGGCTCTGATTGGCCAGTTTGCACGATGGCGAGAGATGCATCTTATCATCAAACCTTTCAAGCCTACCTGCAGAGTATTTCAAATCTAACGGAAGAAGAGAAGCAGGCGATTTTTTGTAACAACGTAGTGAAATTTTATGGAATTAGAGCTAGTGGTTATGGAAAATGAGCAGATTTACTAAATAATTTAATTTTTGTACGTAACGTGCGACGATAATGTGGTCATATCATCACGGCACCCCTGATTAAGAGATTTAAGCCAACATTTACACCAATCTGTATAATATGAATATGGAATCTAGAATTATAAGAGTTATACTTAACGTGTTATTTCTACAGTGTGCCTTCAAAACTGCTTGATCAAATGTAGAAACTGCTTACGAACTATTACGATCTGAGACGTCTATTTAAAGCTAGAATGCCATCTTTGATAGTTACCAAAGAGAAATCAACTCCATGTGGATTGTAGTTTCAGAACAACGGAGATTTCCAATTAGATTCATATGGTGAAGTCATTATTCTTCCTAACTCGCCTTTATCTTTCAGTCTTTTTTAATCATAAAATTCACTTTTAGTGATAGTTAGAAAGAATACGTGAAATACTTTAGAGAAAGGATCAGCTTTAATTAAGATCAGCATTTCTGTTACATTTTCTTTGTTTCTCCACTTTATTTTTTTGTTTACATGTATAGGTTAGAAGACATTTGTATGATGAAAGGTGTTTTGCTGACAGAACACGATTTTTCTGAACCAAAACTTTCAGTAGACAGGTTAAGAAAGAAAGAAGACGCTTTGCGCATGACCTAGTGGCTTGTCAGATTTTAACGAAATGAAATTTTTTCACATCCATTCTTATTGCATTTTCTCAAAGCAAATGTTAAGTAGATTTCTAGTTGTGTAACTTTTTTGAGGATGACTTATTTTTTACTACTTATTGTATTTAGGACTTAAAGAATTAGGGATTTTATATGCGCACGGTCTTTCGTCTTTTTACGTGACCCACCGTGGATAAACTTTAAATTAATAATAAATGAACAGATAGATGAATGAATTAAAAAACAGATAAGTACCGAATCATTATCGAAATAGAGATGAAATTGTTGCTGCGAAATGAGTGGCAGTGGAAAAGAACTGTAAACTTTGAAAAAAAGACATGTTAGGCCTGGCCCACATGTGCGTAATTCAAACTGTCCATTTTTGGGGAGGATTTCAGTTTTCACCATTTTTGATTTTTGGTGGGAAATCTTGATCCATCGTCATAGACGCCAGGAAGTTCTCTTGTCCCATTGGGACATTGGCATTTTGGGAGGAATACAACCACTTTGAGCGAATTTATAGGGTATATAGATTTGACCGATTCTCGTCAAATTTCGCCGAAACATCTTAAGAATAATGACAAACGAAAATTTGTCGGGAAATTTTGATATTTGAAATATTTTCAGCTATTCTAACTTTAGATGCCGATATCTACTCAACCAATCGGAATATCGAAAAAGCCTGACTGATGCCTTGTAAAGAAGAGTGTGCAGCCATTTTGCTCGTGCTGCAGCATCCGATACCCGATAAATTCAATAGAGGAACCTTCGGTCGTTTCACGCCTTACCGGCTCCTGACTCATCCTTAAAGGAAAGGTCACCTCAATCATATTTTCATTGTAAACTGCATTTATTAAGCTTTCTTCTGATATATAGTTTGCTAGGATTTTAGGGAAACTAGCGCGCGTACGAATGTTTCTCCGAAGGACACCCGCGAAGGTGGGAAGTAACCTTAACAAGATTCCATGTTGTCGTGCGTCCGTTCAGAAAATAGATAGCAGATGACGTCAAAATGTGGTAAGAATAACAAAGTGACACACGAGGTGCAGCCAAGCGTCACTTACCAGAGATGCAGCCGAGTGTGTGACTGATGTTCTTACCAAGTCTACCGTGATCTATCACTACTCAGACGCATAGCAACATAGAGTGTATTTGTTTTATATGATAAACAAGAGTCTACACGGAGCCTACATTCTGGCCGGATTTGCGGTTCAGAGGGAAAGAATTGAAGGCCTTGCGGTTTTTAGCAAAATCGCTGTCGGGTGCTTTTCATTCTTTACTTAACATGGAGAGTTATGCAGATTAAGACTTTGGAACAAGTTGATGCCATGACAAATTGGAAATACTTAAGTGGTTGATGAAATGCGGGAACTAACGTAAGGACCGCGGCAAAGTCAACAGAAAAGGAATAAGTGACTTTGCGACTTAGCTTGAGTCACGGAGAAATCTAGAATGAAGGTAATCATCCAACTCCGCAGAATAATAAACGCATATCTCGCGCGTTCTACATAACCGGTGCTGAATAGATAATCAAATTTCCGGTTGCAAAATTCATCAAATTTTAACGCTGCAGATAAAAAGCTATAAAAAATTTAACGGTGACGTCGTCAATTCGTCTGTTCTACAATAGATCATAGGGAAGAACCAATGTAAATGCATGAATAATTCACGTGAACAAATCATGCATGATTTATCGACACTCTGCCAAACATCCTTAATCGTCGAGTATGATGGCAAGTTCTGAACCCCACTTTGCTGCAGTAACCCTCGAAGATTTTACTGATTCACGTGTTGGAGACATAACACTCGGCGAGGAGCAGAGCAAATTTCTTGATGCAGCACGTGATGGCGACGCACATGGTGTTCGTTTGTACGTGCTGGAGAAACATGTCGATGTGAACTGCACGAATTTGTCTGGAGAAACAGCTTTGCAGCTAGCAGTAAACAACGACCACCACAATATCGCCAAGTTTCTTCTTGAGAATGGAGCTGAAGTGGGGAATGCCTTGCTACAAGCTGTTGCGAAAGATTCGGTCGAGTGGGTGAGAGCGTTGCTCGATTTCGTGAAGGACTCGGAGAGTCGACCAACCAGTTCGAGCAATGTGTCTTCCGAACAGCAGACGAGCCAGGTTCAGTATAGTAGATTCGTTTCCCCTTTGATGTTGGCTGCCCACAATGACAACCAGGAGATTGTGAAGCTTTTCTTGTCGAAGGGTTTCACCATTGAAGAACCAGCATTCCATGATAGATCCTGTGAATGCGATGAATGCATGCGCTTGGGAAAGCGATTGGGGACTTCTCTTTACCGTTTGCAGAGTTATCGAGCGCTAACTAGTCCTGTATATTTGTGCATGTCGTATTTACTCGACAAATACAGCGAGCAGCTGGTCGAAGAACAAGACTTAACTTCGTCCAAAGATCCGATCGTTCGAGCTTTCCTTTTGAATCGGAAGTTGGAGAATCTCGTGGATACAGAGTACGAATTCAAAGCGGACTACAAACAGTTGTCTAACAACTGCGAAGAATTTGCAGTGGCACTTCTCGCCAAATGTCGCACGATGGAAGAAATAAGTTGTATAATGGAGGTACCAGGTATTGATCAAGTACAGCATGTCGAAGTCAGGGGAGGACCAGAAGCCCAAAAGCTCAGCGTGCTGAATTTTGCCATTGCTAATGGTAATGAGAAGGTACCCCCTATAACATACTATCATGCGTTACTACGTAAGAAGTAGTTGTTGTGGTGATCAGGAGGGAAAAATCAGTGAAATTGAGTTTGGAATCGCATTCCGTCGAATGACTATTTCGAAATTTCAGTTAAACTTTGCATCGGGCACAAACGGGGACAAGGCTTCTTTAATGAACAGAATTTGGAACAAAATAGTAGAAGTTAATTACAAAAGTCAATTTATGTTTAGTGTAAATTAATGGTCACACATATCTCTGGCAACATGGTCATTCCATAACAGCGTCAATGTCCACCGTTTTTACAGCGCTTGAGAAAAAAGTGTTTATGATCAATTTCTTATGAGATACAGTTTTGGTATGGCACCATCTACAAGTAAGTTTGTTAATTATTCTGAAACACCCGCAAAATACTCTCAAATGTTAAATTAAAGTTAAGGAAACGCCATCGTTGTACAAAACTTCGTGTTTCAAAGTTGTTTTCATCAAGACATATAGTCAACTACATGCCGATGGGTTTAAATCTACACATAACGTCTTTTTTCCTCTAGTTTGTTGCTCACCCTTACAGCCAGCTTATGCTCAACTCGGTGCTGTACGACAGATTAGGAGGATGGGAAGATTTTGGCTTCCTAAAGAAAGTGATATGCAGTATGTTTTTAACATTACTGCTGCCGGTGTTCGCTGTATTTTATTTCCTGGCGCCTAACTCTCAAGTCAGCAAAATGCTGAGGAAACCATTCTTCAAGTTTGTAAGTCACGCGGGTTCGTTCTGCTGCTTTCTTATCCTGCTCATATTTTCGTCGATCCAGGACAAGTTGTTTGATGTGCTTAAGTTTTCATTCATTGGTAGGTAGTTATCAAGATTTTTAAACGTTTGTTATTCATTTGCTCTTATAAATTGTTACCCAACCAATTGATGCGTATCTCAGTGGTATAGTTACCGTAATTCCCGGCCGATTACATGCGGGTAAACTGTTAATTTTTCAACAAACAGTTCTTGGCGCGGGTACTATAGGAAGGTGCGGGTAATACGATGATTTTAAAACTTCCGGTATAGTTTTAAACTTTAAGCAGGAAAAAAAATTAGATGATAAGATCCACTAAAGATACTCTTCAAAAAAACCTGTGTAATAACTCATTTATTTCGCGCAGATTGCTCGTTATTATGAGAGACTTTAATGCTCTCGATGAAAGCCGATGCAAATCGGAAACCTACCTGCAAAACTCGATAAAAAAGCTTTTATCTTGTTTGTACTCTTACTTTCTTGCCTAGTCAATTTCACAGCTTGTTTCTTTCTTAAGTTCAGAAAACAATTCTCACTTACACAGGTAGTGAACTTGAAAATAAAAGAATTTAGTCGTGAAAAAGCTGGCTTCAGAGCAATTCACACGGAAAATGATGCCGACATGTTCATTTCGTGGCGCCGCACAAATTAAGTGTAATGGCGCGACAGAATATTCGACCCCTCAGTGAAATTTTCTTACCTAGCACTGCCTTGAGTTAAAGAGTACTTTCCCGTTTCAAACGATTTCTCCAACTCAGTAGATCTCGAGATATCGCTTTTTTTGAGAACAGTAATATCATTCTCAAAGAATCAGCGAAGACAAAGTGTGAAATTTATTAATTGCACGCTAAAGGATATCATGTCCACAAAAACAATGAAGTAAATTTGTGCGAGTCGACGATTTTCTTTTGTATTTGGGTGTGGGTAATCTGTTGAAAATTTTTCTCGTTATTGCAAAGATTGACCGACGCAGGTAATCTGCCGCGCGGGTAAATGGACGGAAATTTAATATATAGGCAATTCCGGGGGGGTAGGGCAATTCCCAGTCAATTGTCAAACGTTACTTCGGATGGCTTTGGTTTTGCTTCGCCTCTGAGTGTTTGATTCAGAAAACTTAATCGGATTTAAAACTAAAATGAATAGCGGCTTAGTGACTCACGTTTGTCCGCGCTTTAGACGGTTTGCTTGCTCTATTTTTTGAGTGGTCATTGACACCGTGATATGATACTGAATTATTAGCGATTTGCGACTCGTAATGGTCTATTCATTTCATCCATTATAATTAAAGTAACGTTACTGAACGTTGTATCGAAGGGCTGTTGGAGATGAGTTTTATTGAGTGGCATATCACTTGGGGCGAAAAAGGAAAGCTAACTTCCTCATTGACCAGTATGTTGTTGTTCTTCTCGATCAGATTCGCTCATATCGCTGTGGATCGCCGGTTTGTTGTTCCAAGAGGGAAAGGAAGCATTTCGTCAGGGAAAAGAGCGTTATCTCTCACAATACTGGAACCTCGTCACATTGTTCATGTTAGGGCTCTTCGTGTTATCAGGATTCCTTTGGCTTGCTGGGTTTTTCATGACAGAGCAAGAATTTGGAGGCTCGGTAAAACCCATTGGCGAGGTATTTGGCGACAAAGCCCAAGTGTACGCATATAATCTTCTTCTTTTGTCCAATGCTGCATTTTCCATCGGTCTGGTGTTGAGCTTCGTTCATGCTTCTAATTTTTTTCAAGTAAGCTCCATTCTCGGGCCTCTGCAGCTGTGCTTGGTCAAAATGATGCGAGACATCGTCAAGTTTCTGTTCCTGTTTTTGCTATTGTTCCTTGCATTCGGTTGGGCTGAGCGGAAGGTTTACTCCCAGTATGTAGAAACAAGGGAAAAGTTTATGCGGAATACAACCGAACACAAATTTTCCAAGTAAGCACTAGATATTCATATGTATTAAGTATGTTTACCCAGGTGACAATGGAGATACTCGTGCCCTGATTGGTAGAGGATAGCAATACGTCATGCTACATTTACCTCACCCAAGGTCACTGATTCTAAGAATTACCGCACTCAACATTACTAATGAAAGAAAGTTGACAATTCCCCCTTAATACTCTGATGGCGACGACTGATTCCCACCTGTTTCCCCTGAAAACCATGTGAACCCCCCCTGCCCATCCCCACCTCAAAAAAATCAAATCCTCCGTCCCCTCCCAGGCGATAACTAATGATTGGTCCCCGAGGAAATTTGTATGTGGAGACGCAACTTAAAGCCTGGTTTTACTATCACGACTTCTCGCTGTTATACTACGCCAAATACCTGGAGCCTATATATTTGTTAAATCTCGCGCGTTCCTACTCGTTAGCACGGCGACGCGCGTATGTCTTTCCGTACTTCTTTCGGTTGGAAAACTCTTATGAGTCGCATTAAGTATTAGCTCTTTAGGGATACTATAAAATTGTCAATAAACTGATGATTTGTTTATGATATGCAACAGTTTTTAAAAGGCAACGAGAAATAGCTCAGTTTTAGTTTCTATATATTTCTTGCCATTGTAGCGGTCGTGTTGAAATTTGACTTATAGTGCGGTAAAAAAAAGGAAGGGAAAAAGTGTCATTTTACATTGTTGTTCACTGGTTTAATTTTTACAGATTCGGAGGGAGTTTGAGGTTCCTATTCTGGGATTTGTTTGGAAAGTCAAGTCTCTCGGACCTGAGCACAGACAAGAGGTTCATTATCAGTCAATACACAGGGGAAGTACTTCTGGGATTATACACTATCATCTCCATTTTGGTTGCCCTAAATATGCTGATTGCCATGATGTCGAACTCGTTTCAGAGGGTCGTGGTAAGATAAACCAGTAGAAGTATAATTTTTGTAGTACTGAAGGTGTATCTCAAAAAATTTTTGATCAAAATATCGCGATTCATCGCTGCGATTAAGCCAAGACTCACCGCGCTTTGATGCGCTTCTCACGGAATATGATAACTTTCAACTGCGTTTTTGCTAATAACTTTCCGGAGACCTCTTAATAACATTTTACAACTGTTTTTTAAGGATGATGAAGATATTCAGTGGAAGTTCTCGAGAACTCGAATGTGGATGTCATTTCTGGATGAAGGTGACGTTATGCCGTCGCCATTCAACCTCATTCCTCCTCCTTACTTGGTAATCCGTCTCTGTAGGAGGTTTCGCGCTGATCCGTCTTCGTTTCTGGTAGGTGGAGAGGCTTGAAGATTTTATATTGTCATTTTCCAGTTGTTCGTGATAATGTATTCGTGCACAGCACGTTCCACAGGATCATTATTGCATATAGTTAGCAGAGTGATGAAGACTCTACTTTGTTTGCTACTTACTTTTTTTCTTTTTTGTTTAGCGCGGATGCTGCACCAGGAGAGAAAGATCAGTGACACGATTGAAAGATAGGGTAGACATACAGAGGGTATGTGTACATTATTCAACTTGGTACACCCTATACTTATTTTCGTTCTAAGGAATAATTTAGCCACTAGCCTCGATATCGATGTGTCAACAATGAATTTTGATGAGAAGGTATTCCCCTAAACCCTGTGATAAAAAAATATACCAGGAAGAAAAACGTATAAAGGTAATAGAGGCTTGAGTACGACGGTTAACAAGGCTTGTAGTGAATTTTCGTTTAATGAGGTAATCTTGAAGTTTGGAAACGACTGGACCTCGAATATCTTGTGGGAGGGATTCATTACTTTCGTTGGCGAAACGAACCAAGACTTAAGTGGCATGGTCGTTAGTGAAACCACTCGTAGGTGAAAACGACCGGTTACCCATTTCCATGGTGGACGGTTTTGATCAAAGACTCTCCACACCTCGATAATATGTTCAAATGAATTGCGTATTATTTATAACGCAGCTATAAAGGCTTTGAATGAATATAAACCGAATAACTTATTTTCTGGTTTTGTTAATCAAGCGTCGCGTGATACTGAGGCGTTTGATCCAGCGGTATCTACTCACTTTTGAGAATTCGAAGAAACCCTGTCAGCCCCATGCCCCTCAGCTTACATCGGAGAGACTGGGGGACTGTAGCGATCTAAAGGACCTGATTGCACAGTTGCAAGGCATGTTGAGAAGGAGTGAAGAAAGGAAAGATCCTGCTGCAACTAAACTACAGTCTGAGGTGAGTGCTAATCGGGAGACAAAAATTTCCTCGAGTGCAAGTGGAGGGACTTGACACTAACCAGGACGGCAACGGGAACAAGTGTGATGAAACAAAATCATTAATGAGCGGAAACTTAGTTGTGCCCGTTCCTTTCACCCTTTCACTCCCAGATCTCAAAAGTAATTCTCCTTACTGTCCGCCATACAGTTCTCATGATGTTTGTTAGGAGAATTTGGTTTTGAATCAACCAACAATTGCCCGACTGATATGTATCTTTATTCTTATCACTTGTCTTCTTGACATTGTATTGATATTGAAATTCTGTCTCGGTCACTCTTGAGAGTTAAAGGGTTAAAAGCTGCCCTCTGCAAAAAAGCAACGTGAAATAATCACAGTTGTTGCCCTAGACTTGGTTTCCGTAAGCTTCCCGAGTTCGCCCCGAGTGTTCCAAGTTATCCGCGGGGGATCGAAGAGATTATATAGAAGATAGTCCAAACTATCTCTAACGACCTATATGAATTGGAACGACGAGGATAGTGTGGATAGAACTGAAAACTGAGGCGATCTGGATAATGCAAACGAGTACACGGAATAAAGATGCCTAAGTGGCGTGTGTTAAAACAGAATCGTTTTCTGTTGATTACTTTACAGATACTTCTTTTAAAGGCAACCTCCTTGTTATTTTGAGATATTAAATATGTAATGGGTTTGTATGTTTATAAGGGGGTTTTTAACGGGTCTTTTCTTTGTTGTAATTTCCTTTAGGGAAAAAACTAAGGTGAAAATTCATCAAAGAGGCAGTGGAATTCCACATAAACCATAGAAGGACTTAGACGCTATGGATGGGCGCAGCCTGGAATTTTAGTTATATTAGTGTCTCTACAGGCGAACATGTCACTCGCTCACTCCAGTGTGAACGATGACGTCACAGCGAAGTTCGCACATCATTTTCGGAGAGTCGTTGTTTAATTTCTACACTGAAGGTGATATACTAAAAAAAATTCTTTCAATTCCGAAAATTTTATTTTTTTCCAAATAATATGAAGCGTTAAAAACGATCTGATCGACTGGGAAGTCGTAGTCATAAATTTTGTAACATCTTTATATTAGTTTTAACTTTCTTATTCCGGTGTTTACTGAGTCGCCTACTAAGAAATCTGGTTGGTTTTTTAAATGACTTCTTGTAAGAGGGAGATACGGAAGCTTCAGGTTTCCTTCAATATCAAACCGCGTAATCTGAAGACGCAGATGGAATAACAAGTGTTAAGGTGCCTGTAACTGTCAAACGTAGTTTTTCAATTAACATGGTAAACGGAGAAAACGATTAGATTTTCAAAATCCATCATTTACTTACCCGAAGATCTCTTACGCAGTTGTTAATTCTCTCCCGATGAATTTGCTAATTTTGCAAGGATTTCGAGGCACTACTTTTCACCGCTAACTAATTCGTATGGAATACCTCTCTACAGGCGTTTTTTAGATAATAAGCAATGTTTTCCAGAATTTGTTTCAGCACTAGTAGGCGTGCCGAACCCAGAACAAAAGATGTTGCGTTTTCTGAAGTAGAAACTGGTTAAACAAGACATCCTTAGAAAATAAAATGTCGTTACTGTTAGGATTATAGTAGCAATAAAAAGTGAAACTAAGGTAAGAAGGTTGTTTTAATTTTAGGGTCATAGGGCTAATTTCATTTAGCGTACAGTTGCAACAGTTGCTTTAGAAAATAGTGAAAAAATGTGCTAAAATGGCAATGATATTTTGACTTACAGTTGAAGATGTCTTAAATAGTGCTCGTTTAAATAAAGTGTGACATACCTAAGAATTATCGTACGCAGTACGATTACGTGATCTTTAAAGCAAGAACGAGGGTTTGACCTATAGTCTAATGTTATTGACTCTTTTGCTGACGATCCATAGATTATTATGGATCACTTTATTTTTCCCATCACTTGTATTTCGCATCTTGTTATTATATTGTGATGAATTAATAACTTGTTTTCACCACTTTCACCATTTTCCATTCAAATGTAATTTTAATACTATTGGCTTTGCTGAGAGCGTAAATCAACAGTATCGCATAGAACTATGGACGTCGCCATTTTTGACTGGTTTGTCACGCACGAGTGAAAAGTGCATGACGCACCTAGTCGTAGGGAAGTCATGTATGGGGAACCATCTACGTAATACATGTTCCATACTCTCCATACATACAGTAATGTCTAATATATAGATTAAGCTAAGCCTAAAAGCAGAGCTCGCATTTTTTTTTTCCCGTGCGTTTCAACGCCTTGCCCCGGCCAGGACTAGAAGCCGGGTCGTCCGACTCGGAGCCCAGTGCACTGGCCACAGGACTGCTGGACAAAGCCGTGGCGTTGGCGTGCGCGCGGTACATTTGACCACGCATGTTAAAAGTAGCACCATATACGGTCGTACGGTCGTACATCTAAAATTTTTCGGCCTGATAGGTTACTACTATTTTATACTAGTTATAGTTCTCACTAGAGCTGCCCCCGCCCTACAGTACCATCATCAATCAAATCAAAAATCGAAATCGAGATTTTTTTTGGTTACGATCAACCGAAAACACCTACATTCTCTCTTCTCCAGTCTTCCTCTATACTAGGACAAATCTCGTGTCAAAGACGCCGATCCTAAAAGTCCTCGCGCGCGTGTCTTTTTACTGGCAGCCCATGACCATTTGCGGGAAAAACGTTGATACCTTGCGGCCGTGCAAGCGATCAAATCGAGATTTTTTCTGGTTATGATCTACCGAAAATACCCACATTCCCTCTTCTCCAGTCTTCCTCTATATTACGCGGGGAGTCCTAAGGTGCCTCCTCGGGTTTTTGGCCCTCTGGGGCCAAAAACCCTGCGGGGGCAATAATCATGGGTCTACGCGAGCTCCGCTATTATAATTCCCCATACATGACATACTTAACCCTCAATATCAAAGCCGCTGACCAGGTTCGATGTTAGTCACGCTGTTCGTCAAATCGGTCACGCAACCAAAGGTTGATAAACACCGCAAATTCTTATGATTGCTTGACACTCGCGCAAGTTGAAGTAGTCATCTTAAGTCAACTGAGTATGAGGGCAGTTTCTGAACCGTATCTCACAACAGTAACCCTAGAAGACCTAACTGACTCACACTTTGAAGACATAACACTCAGCGAGGAGCAGAGCAGATTTCTTGATGCAGTTCGTGATGGCGACGCACATGGTGTTCGTTTGTACGTGCTGGAAAAACATGTCGATGTGAATTGCGCGAATTTATCCGGAGAAACAGCTCTGCAGCTAGCGGTTAATAACGACCGTCGCGATATCGCAAAGTTTCTTCTTGAGAATGGAGCTGAAGTGGGGAACGCCTTGTTACAAGCTGTGGCCAAAGATTCGGTCGAGTGGGTGAGGGCGCTGCTCGCTTTCGTGAAGGACTCAGAGAGTCGACCAGCCAGTCCGAGCAATGTGTCTTCAGAACAGCTGACGAGCCAGGTTCGGTATAGTAGATTCGTTTCCCCTTTGATGTTGGCTGCCCACAATGACAACCAGGAGATTATAAAGCTTTTCTTGTCGAAGGGTTTCACCATCGAAGAACCAGCATTCCATGATAGATCCTGTGAATGCGATGAATGCATGCGCTTGGGAAAGCGATTGGGGACTTCTCTTTACCGTTTGCAGAGTTATCGAGCGCTAACTAGCCCTGTATACATGTGCATGTCGTATTTACTCGACAAATCAAGCGAGCAGTCGGTCGAAGAACAAGACATAACTTTGTCCAAAGATCCAATCGTTCGAGCTTTCCTTTTGAATCGGAAGTTGGAGAATCTCGTGGATACCGAGTACGAATTCAAAGCGGACTACAAACAGTTGTCTAACAACTGCGAAGAATTTGCAGTGGCACTTCTCGCGAAATGCCGCACGATGGAAGAAATTAGTTGTGTGATGAGGGTGCCAGGTATTGATCAAGTACAATATGTAGAAGTCAGGGGAGGACCGGAAGCCCAAAAGCTCAGAGTGCTGAATTTTGCCATTGCTAATGGTAATGAAAAGGTAAGACTATTAAGGTTTTAACTTGCTTAACTAAACAAGACTTGGTCACTGTTGTGATTGGGAAGGACGTAGATCACGATTTTTCTATTATTATTATAATTTTTTCAAGATAAAAATAAAAGAGCAATCCTGGACGATATAGTTTGTGGAAAGTGAAAATAACACGCTGAGGTAAAAATAAACAGGCTGGAATCGGGAAGAAAAAATTTGACAAGAAAGCTCCGAAGAACTGTCAAGGAAAACATGTCTTGGACGAAATTTGCTGAGGTAGATGGCTTAACGAGGGCCCTGAGATTCGTCAATAAAAAGCCAAAGTTTCAAATTAAAATTGAACTCCTACAAATTTGCCATGTGGATAGTACTCGTCAGTTTGTTATGGTTTTTTCTTACGGCACAAACGGGAACGTAGCTCCATTAATAACTAGAATTGTAAAACAAATCAGTGCGTTCGATGCAAAAGTCAATATATGTTAAGTGTAACTAATGATTATGCATCTTTCTGTAAACATGGTCTCTCCATGGTAACGTCTGTGGTCAGTGAATTTGGGGGAGGAAGGGAAAGGAAACATGCATGCCCACCCTCTTGGGGTTTACCTCAGGGGAAAAAAAAAAGAACAGCTGTCGTTGATAGTTGCTGATAACACTTGATAGCCAAAAGCGGAAGCGATAGTCAATGGCAAGTGACAAAATGTTTGTCTGTCAAAGTAATGGGCTTTTGCGTGATGTTGGTGGTTGCGTAACTCAAGTACATTTAGAGTTCGTTACGAGTGATTTGTAGGTTAAAATTCGTCGAATGTGTCGGTTCAGCTTGGCTCCAGATTCTCAATTATGTTCATGTCGTAAAATGGGTTTAAGCTAAACGCAGAGTGTTCTCAGTTTTTCATAGAGGCAAAAAGTTTTTGGGGGAGGGCGATGCTTGAGTATTTGAGTGATCTGCGGACAAGAGGTATAAATGTCTCGGGATATAGTGAACATGTTGCGCGACAAGACTAAACTACAGCTGCAGATATTTGTAGAGCTCGAGACAAAGCGTTTGGGAACAGCTTAGAGTGAAAAAAAAATAAAAGAAAAAAATATCACTGATCAGTATTTTCGGATACAAGTATTCTTTGGCTTTGTCAACAACAAGCGAGGTTATTTTAGGTTCTTTAGCACTAGTAGAAAATTCCCAAATCCTGCATAGAATTAAAAAAAAAAAAAGAAAAGAAACACCATCGTTGTATCGGACTTGAGATTTCGTGACGGGTTTAAACCTATCACGTACGAGATTAAGTGTGCGCTGGACAATAAGCCCTCTTAAAGTGGACTTGTATCATTTTTAGGAACTCACGTCATCTTTTTTCCTTTAGTTTGTCGCTCACCCTTACAGCCAGCTTATGCTCAACTCGGTGCTGTACGACAGATTGGGCGGATGGGAAGATTTTGGCTTCCTAAAGAAAGTGATATGCAGTATATTATTAACGTTACTGTTGCCAGTGTTGGTTTTAGTTTATTTCCTGGCGCCTAACTCTCAAGTCAGCAAAATGCTGAAGAAACCATTCTTCAAGTTTGTAAGTCACGCGGGGTCGTTCTGCTGCTTTCTTATCCTGCTCATATTTTCGTCGATCCAGGACAAGTGGTTTGATGTGCTTCAGTTTTCAGTCATTGGTAAGTACTTGTCAAGTTCTTTTTAATCGTTTGACAATCAATCTCTCTAGTCAATTGTCATTGAAATTAATTTAAGAGTATTTAATCGGTAGTAATAGTACACGCCAATTATTTATCACACTCCTTACAATTGAAGTAAGCGAATGATGTATACAAGAAGCCGTTGTGGAGGAGTTTATTTGAGTCTTTTGTCGTTATGGCGAAAAAATAACTTCTGCGTAGACCAGTAAGTTGTATTTCTTCTTGACCAGATTTGTTCATGTCGCTGTGGATCGCCGGTCTGTTGTTCCAAGAGGCACAGGAGGCATTTCGCCAAGGTAAAGAGCGTTATCTTTCACAATACTGGAACCTCGTCACTCTGTTTATGATAGGGTTGTTCGTAATTTCGGGAATCCTTTGGATTGCCGGGTTCATCATGACAGCGCAAGGATTTGGAGGCTGGACAATACCCATTGGCGACGTATTTGGTGACAAAGCCCAAGTGTACGCATATCGCCTTATTCTCCTTTCTAATGCCACATTTTCCATCAGTCTGGTGTTGAGCTTCATAAATGCTTCAAACTTTTTTCAAGTTAACTCCATTCTCGGGCCTCTGCAGCTGTCCTTGGTGAAAATGATGCGAGACATTATCAAGTTTCTGTTCCTGTTTTTGTTGTTGTTTCTTGCATTCGGTTGGGCCGAGCGAAAGGTTTACTCCCGGTACGTACAAACAAGGAAAGCTTTTCAGGGGAATGAAACTGAACACGAATTTGCCAGGTAAGTACTAATTGAGTCTTTGGTATGTATCAAAAGAACAATTTTGCCCCAACGAGAGAAATTTAGGCTCGGTTTTCGATCATGATATGACTGGTAGATCACGTGATCACTGAATCCACTTCGTCCAATTTAATAGTCAAACTTGATAGATTTAGTTGACTACTGACTCATTACAGATACTGAAAATTTATGAATAAGCAGATAAGTTGTAGTTTAATGATAAATAATGATTAATAAAAAGTAAATAACAGACAACAGGTTATAAAAAAAAGAAACAGTGCAATTCAATTCCTTTATTTTTTCCAACTATTGTGCAGCGATTGCGTAGAAACTTGGCCAACTGTGCGACAAAGAAAACAAGGAAACAAAGAAAGGAAAGGAAATGCGTCTAGTGAAACTGCTGTTTAACGGTTTATTTTTTTTAAAGGATCGGAGGAAGTTTGAGGTTCTTGTTTTGGGACTTGTTTGGCATGTCGGAACTGTCGGACCTGAGAACACACAAGAACTTCATCATCACTCAATACGCAGGGGAAGTTCTCCTGGGATTATACAGTATTTTTTCCATTGTAGTTGCCATAAACATGTTGATTGCAATGATGACGAACTCCTATCAGAGGGTCGCGGTAAGTTAAACCAATGAAAGCCCATTTACTTGTGCGATTTTTATCTCGTGATGTAATGTAATTTTATTGCACCGAAGGTGTTTCTCCAAAAAAGCATCTATCAAAATAGCGCTATTTACGATCAAGCTGCGATTCACTGCGTTTTGATGTGAAAAGCACGAAATATGTTATCTTGTAACTGAAATTTCGCATGTCGCAGAGGCGCTGACCTTATGTTGACAATTTGTTGCTGTTTTTTAAGGACGATGCTGATATCCAGTGGAAGTTCTCGAGAACTCGGATGTGGATGCCATATCTGGACGAAGGCAATGTATTGCCGCCGCCATTTAACCTCATTCCTCATCCATATTTGGTAATCCGTCTCTGTAGAAGGTTTTGCGCTGATCCGTCCTCCTTCATGGTAGGTGGAGAGGCCTAAAGATTCAATGTTGTATAACCCTCTCTCATTAGTTACTCTGGGTTGACTTGACATGACATCTAACAATGAAACTGTTCCCAGTCAAAAGTCTCTAAGCAGGCAACAACGCAGAATGTGTGACTTCAGAGGGTAACAGTACATTGTTACCCGCAAAGGTTGACCGACATTGTACGTAAAAGAACGTGACTGGCGTTGGTGTGACATTTCAGCAGTGTAGTATTTTCCGCTCTAATGTGCTCACAGATCTTCATAAATTTACGATTTGTCTTCACATTGCCCTTGAATTTCTACGCTGTGCTATATAACAAATTACTTAACGTTGGTCCCTCGGGAAACGGTCTATTTTGTTTCCCTCGGTAGCGGTCGTTAAGTGTTGAATATAGTCCTGTAAACCCACATAGTCATAAAAATTAATGCGCACATACTCCGTTCAATGTCTGCTGCTTACTTTTGTTTTTCCCTTTTTTTAGCGCGGATGCTGTGCTAGGCGCGAAAGACCAGCGCCACTTCTGAAAGATAAGGTGGACATACAGAGGGTATGTTTTATATATGCAACTTGCTACACCCTAACACGTTTATGTTCGAAGAGCTAATTCAACCGTTAAATTTAAGGGAGTAAACTGTGGATTTAAATAAGAAAACACTCCCCTGGCACTTTGATCATAAAAATAATATATACCAACGTGAAAGGAAGTACGAATGTAGTAGAGGCTTGAGAACAATGATGAGTAATCAAGGCTTGGGGTAAAATTTTTATCTAATGAGGTATTCTTGCTTAAATGGTAATGACTTCATTCAGTGGGATGCAACACTAAAATCAGTTACAACTTGGTTACTTTCCTTTTAGCTCATTTCGGTATTTGCCTCTGCCTTTTGTTAATTTAGCGTCGCGTGGTAATGAGGCGTTTGATCCAGCGATATCTACTCACTATTGAGAATCCGAACAAACCCTTCCAGTCCCATGCCCCTCAGCTTACAGCGGAGAGATTGGGGGACTGTGGCGAACTAAAGGATATGATTGCACAGTTGCAAGGCATGTTGAGAAGGAGTGAAGAAAGGAAAGGTCTTGCTGATGCAGCAAAACCACAGTCTGAGGTAAGTGCATATCAGGAGACAGTATTAGGGATCACACACAAACTAGGACGACAACAGGTACAAGCTCGCCTGTAAACAAAAGCTTTTATTAGGGGAAAAGCATTAGCTCTGCCCGTTTTTTTTAAAACTGTAAATTATCTTGTCTTCCACTGAAAAAAGAAAATAGGAACGCGAAATAACCACCAAGTAGTGCGTTCTCTGAGTATGACAGCAATGAGCCTGACAGCAACGAATTTACTTTTCTTTGTGGAACTTCACAACAGCTTTATGCAGATCCCATTAACACAGTACACACGTCGAAAATATTTTGATCGTCTATGATTTTATAATTATTTTGTAACTTCACTTATAACTAACAATTCATTGAATTGTGAGCAGCTTGTCGAAATATTATCTGCTATATAGACTGCTCATGTATATGCGACTTCCTCTGTAGTTTGGGATACTTACGTGACTTAAAATTTTCTTTGTGGACTAGAGGGTTTTTAACGTTATTTCCCTTTATTATTTCCTTTAGGAAAAAACCAAGGTAGAGATTCATCACAGAGGCAATGGAACTTATTGCAAAGCGGAGAAAGACGCGGACGCTATTCTGTGAGCTAGATATTGACAGTTAAAGAACTTTTAACATTCCTTTTTATAGTCCTCTAACTCGTTGAATGAGCGTAGCTTGAAAATTGAGTTCTTGTGGTGTCTCTATATGCGAACATGTCACACGCTCACTCCAGTGAGAACGATGACGTTACAGGGTCGCTCATTCAATAAGGATGGTGACATACTTCAAAAATTTTCGTTTAACTTGGGAAAATTTTTGTTTGTTCACATATAATGAAGAAGATCGGAGACATCACTCGGCAAATCAATTTGATTGGTAATTCGTAGAAAAAAGAAGTTTCTTCATTTTCGTCATTTTTAACTTTCTTATTCCCACGTTTACTGAGTCCCCGGCTAAGAAAACTCTCAGCTTTTCATAGAAGAAATTAAAAAGAGATCTGTTTCCAGGAATTATCCGTTTTTCCGTCAATCGCAAAATGCATTGTTTCGAAGACGCAGATCGAAAAATAGGTGTTTACAAGTAATTTTCGGTAAAATGAGAGAGCGACTTTTTTTTTTTTAAGGTCCCTTATTTTTTTACCCAAAGATCTCTCACGCAGCTGCTAAGTCACTCGTGATGAATTTGCTTTTTTCGAGGATTTCGAGAAACTCGTTCAATTGACGACCGGTCTTTTTAAATTTTAAGTTGGTTGTTAGTTCGCAGGTATAATATTTTACAGCCAATTTTGGAACATGATCAAAGTTTACCAGGATTTTTTATTCTTTAATAGTAAGCGTGATAAAACCAGAACAAAAGCCTCTGTAGTTTCAGAAATAGACATTTTAACACGTTTGAGATGGATTTTAATGTAAAGAAAGAGGGTAAGGTTAGGGAGCTCGTTGAGGGTCAAAGAATTTATTTTAAGTGGCATATATTTTTCAACAGCTCTACCAGAAAAAAGTGAAAGATTGTGCTTAGATGGCAAAAATATCTTGACTTTTTAGTTGTATTAAATGGTGCTTATTTGAAAAAAGTGTGAAACGCATTGTTTAAAAGAAACGATCGCTCTCCAATTTGCCGCTTCTTTTTCGCACGGTACATTCCATACAACTGTTCATCACCACCTAGCAACGAGAAACAGAATTTTTCTGCACAATTTACATCTGTTTAACATATTGATCATGTCGCTGTTACCGATTATAGGAGAAAAAATTAATGAATAGTTTGAGTATTTTTTGTTTCTACATACCAGTCGCTATACTTAAAATTGACAGTGGTAAAGAAAACCTTAATGCGCTGGCGTTCTTGAGTAAGAAGAGTCATCCTACTGTGTAGAGAAAGTTCACAACGTGAGAAATAATTGCTTTTAAACATGGCGGCTCATGCATTAAGACGCGGAAGGACAGCTTCGACGTCTCTGTTAGACGTTTTAGAGGCTACTATGCCGGAGATGTCTCTTTCTGAAGAAGAACAATTCTTTTTTGATGCCGTCCGCAGAGGGGACTTGCGTCAAGTGAGAGAATTTTTTAAAAGAAAATCCAGCTCTCTCGAGTCTGAAGAAGGAACGGAAAGACAAGCCAAGGTGGGAAATTTTGCACTTACCCTCGCTGCACAGCAGGATAACTACGATTTGGTGAAGTTTTTCCTCTCCATGGGATATAGAATTGACGAACCGCATCCCCGCTCTTGTTCGTGCGAAAGCTGTAATGGAATGGGAAGCCTGGAGAAAGCTCTATATCGACTGAATGGTTATCGGGCCTTAGCCAGCCCGGTTTATCTCTCGTTGTCGTATCTCGCCGACTGCGAGAAACAGGAACTAACCGCTGAATATACGTGTACAAATGACCCTGTTTATCAAGCATTTGTGCTCAACGGAAAGCTCGAACTTCTCGCCCGGCAGGAATACGAGTTCAAGAAGGATTACTCAAATCTGTCGACTCGATGTGAAGAGTACGCGGTAGCACTGCTGAATCTCTGCAGGAACATGACAGAGATTGGCTGCGTGATGACCATGCCTTCCATCAAGGGGCTAGCACACGTTCGAGTCAGGACAGCGAATGAGGCGGCAAAGAAATTGAGTGTTCTTAACTTTGCCATCAAGAACAAGAATGAGAGGGTAAGTTTGTTGTTTTCATTAATAACTGGACTCTCAAGGGCGAAAATCCTTTCGACACAAATTTTTTCCAACAGGTCTCTTAAGCTCAAAGGGATTCGAGTTTGTGGGATGATCGCAACAATAAATGAGAAGCAATGACTTGTTTTGAATTCAGTGTGCGCGGAAAGACTTGTCCCGTTTTGTGTATATCAGCCTTCAGACTCTTTTTTTATTGCCGCGTCATTCACGTGCCAGACCCAGTGTACGAAGCACAAACTCAATTTCGGCGTTCGAATCAGTCTGTTTGAACTTTTAAGTACCATGTGTTAATCAACGTACAGTGCGCGGATACAGACCTGTACATTATTCGACAACAGAGCGCGGGGCAGTCGCCTCTATTTAGTCAGTCTCAGCTTCTCAACGCGGTACTTTCAACCGCATAGGAAAGAGACATTCTTAAATTCATCCCATGCCTTAAACTGAGATCTTTCAAGAGACATATTAAATTGCTTAAATGAATTTAATGCGATTTCAAAATCAGACATCTGTGACTGAAAGTACTTGTGCACCGTTTGAATCAACCGCCGCGTCAGAGAGGGCTTCTGTAGACTGATTTAGTACAGAAAAATTTCGTTTTAAGTTTTAACGTTAACATGTGTGAAGATCAAATGTTTGTGATCAATCCGTTTCTAACATAATCGATGCGTTTTGATTAAATCATTTTATACCAGCTATAAAAGAAACACTAACACCTCACGTGTTGCTATGTTTTATCATTAAACCTGAGCATAGACGTTCACAACCGCATTAAATTTTTTTGGGAAAAATTGGGGGCTGATTTTAGTATCTTAATAATCAGAATGAATTTAGAATCAATTTGAAAATATAGTGACATTTTCAGTTCGGAGAATTAATGTTTGCAGCGTATTATCGTAATTTAAAAATAACACGGACTTCATTAAAAGGGCTGCCACGTTTCGCAATTATTGAATTGCAAATTTTACCTCGTACAATATTGTTCCTCAGTTACACTTAGCGTTCGTAAATTTTGTAGATACCATCTGTTTCAGCAACGAAAAAAAGCAAAATGCCGTTTAGTTTCTCATTACGTTTGTTTTGCTTCACTTTATCTTTTTTCGCTTTAATTTAAGGCGATCTTGCGCGTACTTTGTGAAAATTATGAATAATGATACATATTCACGTAGGAAATTTGAATGCGGTACAGACAAAATCGCCTTTGGAATATATTCCCCTGATAACAAGTTAACTTTTGTTTAGTTATTTGTAAAAATGGGGGGTTTTACCGTGAAATCAACCAACTAACTTCTTCTTCTACTGTTGAATCGAGTTTGTTTTTGATTGCTGATGATAGTAGTAGTAATGAGAATTACAAAGAATGCATCGATCATTTCTATTACGCGTGTTGCAGTACTCACTCATAAAGGAATTATTAATTAAAGAGACACCCTATGTCACTCAAGTAAGGACAATACGAAGGTTATTTACAAAGCTTAAGTCACTATTCTTAACATTTCTTTGAACTACCTAAAAATGATTTCATTTGCTTTCTTAAAAATGATTTAATACCATTCAACATTGCGCTACATACATTAGTATACATAATCTTACTATCCAATTGCACAGAGTATAGTATAAATAACGCGCGAATAGATTACAAATATCCTGCGATATTGTATAGTTAGTTATTTTGTACTGGGAAAAGAACCTGTTTAACCGGCTTTGTGCACTACGCTTCTCTTTCTACTTTGCTTTTCTCGCCTTATGAGAGATGGGAAAAATAATTGGCAAAAAAAGAAAATATTTAGATGGTAAATAACTTATTGGACGTTATTGTGTAGTATTGCTTAGTACTGTTAATCGTTGTTACGATTACATTGCCTACGGGCAAATTCGTAAAAATACTCAGCGATACACTCCAAAACATCTTATGATATATATATATCGAAGCAAAAGTACTCCTACCAAAGCGTTGTGAATCTTTTATCAAACACTTAACACTATTACCTGATTTGCAGGTCTTTTTTGGATGTAAGTTAAGAACAAGTCTCTGTAAGAATCAAACATCTTGGGAAATGAAAATTTTCAACCTCCCTTCAAATTTTGCATGCAGTTAGGCGCTCAGGGGGATGCACAAAAATGCTCTTTTTAAAGGGCGCAGCACTCTTGTTGCCATGGTAACAACGGCTGCTTGTTCGAGGCTTGGGGCCTTATTTTCACACAAAAACGTCGCAAAAAAAGAGTGAAATGTTTATTTCTCTATCTCAAGCTAAATAAAACATTACAAATTGGCACTTCTACCATACATAGTAACATCATTCGTCTTCACTTTGATACATTTAATTTTGCCTGGGAGTGAATGTGAACACACCAAGAGATTATTTATCTCGGTACAGTTTCGGTCATTTTTGTTGTCGGGTAAAACAGGGAAAACGTTTATCTGAATTTCTCCAAAAGTACACCGATCCTGGAGCTGAAACTGCACACCTAGCTGGTTATAATATTCTAGTTTTTAAAAATGAAAAAATCTCTGCCGGCCTGCCTCTACTTTCCATAGGGGCAATTCGCGAACGAAGCTCAAAAATCAGATATTGCATAATTTGGCGATGTTTGCATCTAATCTTCTCAACAACAAACGTTTCAGACAAATAAAAAGGCGGGGGGGCTTTGAAAGAATGTTATCTTATGAGCAATATCCCGAAGAGAAATCTCACCTCTGGTTGTCATCTTTTAAAAAAATCGATCAATCTTCATGGAGGACTACTCGACGTAACTACAAACATATACCTCAAATCGTGTGGATATCATCCAGATTCCGAAATCCTCTGAAGATACACTGTTACACTTGTATGTCATCTGAAACATGTTGAAGTCGGCTGATCTACATGAAACTATCCTCACATCGGTCATTTGTCATAAACATGTTCGTTATCACGATGGCGTGACACTGTATTTCTCCGTGAAGTTTCTATCGGTCGCTCCGAAAAAGACGAGAAATTGATATTTATCATATATTTCAGCAGATTTCCGCGCATTCTGAAGTAAAAACAACCGAAAAAAAAAGAGGAAAACCTCTATTGAACGCTCGTAAACACTGAGAATCTGAGATCTTGGCCCACAGACAAATTTCCATCGCTTGTTTTCATGACATTTGGCACAAAAGAGGTTTTTATAATTCCTTCTCGTAACGACATCGTATATGACTCGGTAATTACCACTTTTGCAATTGTGATAGTAAGGCGAAGATGTCTGGCTGTTAGAATTGATCGCTGTACAGTATCGTGCACGTTGTCCATTTCGAACTTTCCACTGTACCGTTGAACAATATTTGAACAGGAGTTTCAAAGCATTAGAACGAGAGTAGTGGCGTGGTGGACTGAATCACAACGCAAGTTATATCAAGTTCTAAGGGCACGAGGTCGCTCGCTTTTACCTCGGCGCACCTCGCGTAATAGTGATTTCTGTAGCTGGTTTTTTTCTGATCAGAAACGGGAATCATGTCGTTCAGATTCTCGTCAGAGAGGTTGTAAGGTTGTTCGCACTTTGTCTTCGTCAGATCAGCCGGCCATTGTTTAGGACAAGCAGCTATCATCCAAATCCCCACAGTTTCATTTGTATGACCGTTGTGTACGCATCTCCATCGCTCATCCGGCTAGATGGTTGTTGCTGATTTGGAAAACTGGACAGAATAGTTGCCCTAATGGTGGAATGGCTTCCGACTTGTTTGTAAGGTGGCGACAGCGAAATATGTAAACTCTTCATGATTAGCGACGAGGTCAGGACCTGACCAGTTACATTTTCTGATGAAAATAAATCCGTCTCTTTAATTGGCGATAACGTTGCTCGTGGTTTCAACATAAACTGCTTTATGGTCTACTTAGCTCTAGAAGAGCAAGGAGTTTTGCCTTCTGCCACCAATGAGTTTGATGGCAAGCAGTGCTTGTCATAATCTTCACAACAGTCCATAAACATTTCACAGTAAGAGTCGCAGAAACACTGAAGTCTTACTTCTGTTGGTCCTAGGTCCCGCTCTTTTTACACTTTCCAAAGCATGAATACCGTGAAGATCCCTTACAAAACACCAAAATTTCATCATGTGATGTGGAATTTAGAATACCTGTTCGTGTTGAGAGCTTCGTTTTTATTTCACGGGAATTACGACCTTTTTCGAAAAGCCGTTTGACCGTATAATTTTGGTGAGCTCCCTGCGCCTCTCCAAGCATAGATTCCCTGTAATATCGGATTATTAGTTTTGATTCTTCCGTTTGATGTGTGTTGGCCTTTTCCAGTGTCGTTTTCAAGACAATCAAATTGAACCAGAAAAGACGAATTTTCATTTTAGATGTTGGCTTACCGGCTGAAGATTCGCAAGATAATACGGAAACAATCGTGTGCAAGAAATATTGCACTTTGGCTTTGAACGCACTATTTGAATAGTACTAGAAAGTTTATCCATCCACCGACTGACAATAAGTCTACCTAGAAGATAATTGCTTTTTCGAGTTTTTTCGCCAAAATTTGGCAGCCAATGACGTGTAGCTCAAGTCTCTTGTTTACGCTTTCATTTTCTGATCTTAATATCTTCTGATCGAAATCGCATTAGAGCAAGCTGAGTGATAGGGGATTGTAAACGGTTCACGTTAAAAAAAAAAAGGCTTAATAAAGTCAGTAAAATACAACCTGTTTTCTTTCGCCAGATTATTCATTTTAGACAGAGGATTTCATTTCGAAATACTTGAGTTTGGTGCAGGTGTTCTGGCTTCGTAAAGTGACATAATTTAATTTCCTTTCATCACTACTTTAAGATTTTTCTAAAATATGAAAATTGTATCTTATTTGTAATTGCATGAAAGTGTAGCACTTTATTCGTTTATTTATTCTATTTTTTTTACGTTTTTTCAAAACGAGTTTAAGCTTACTATAAAGCAATGCCTGAAGACTTTCCGAAGAAAAAACGACCTCTAGGAAGATTATAAACGACAACTGATTAATTTTGGTTTCTTAGAATCAACTTTCGAAGTTTGTGCTTTTTCATGCACACTTCAGTATTTTCACTCCTTGGCCTTTTGTGGTACGAGAATGTTGAGGGAATTATTTCTTGACGTGAAAATCCAAAAAGAAAAAGAAAGCTGATTTCGGCAAAGATTTATTTCTTAAAATTTTTTACCATCAGGTTATTGCAGTCCGGCTTATCGGGAAAACCTGTGAAAAAAATTCACTCGAGGTAATGTGGATGAATCAAATGATTTCAGTGGTTCGAGGAACGGAAAAGATATTTATGTTGTCTTCATGATTACTCCTCTTCTGTTTTTTCGACATTTTTTATGACCATTTTCATTTTTTCACTGGAGCACTAAGACAACTAAGTTTCATCGCGATCGAAATGAAATTTCAGCACGAACAATAGTATATTTTAAACCAGTAGATTAACAAATTGAATGTATGTGTAGGTCGTCAAGTCTATTTAATTTCCTTTTTCTTTCTAGATATGATTTTATCCATTTGCAGTTTGAATTTATTTCGTTAATTTGCTGTTTAAGCTGAGGTTGGGCAGCTTCAACATTTCACCGTGGGAGTGTTAGAAATTGGGTTAATATCGCTCAGGGAAAACGACAGTTCGCGAAGAACTCAACGATATCTCGTGGCTATTAGAACAATGGCTTGTATTGTATCGCCGATATATCATTCCAACTAAAATATCATTCAAAGAGCATCGTTAAATCGCAATTATCGCGATAACATTCGATTATTGTTTGAGTAAATTTGCACAGCACAAATTTGTAGGCGTTGTTCCAAGGCTTATTTATACAGAGGAGGAAGCGTGAGGAGGGAAGGGTTTGGGGGACTCCTTTCCCTTCATTTATTACTCTTTGATATTTCGCAGAGAAAGTTTCCCAAAACTTTCACTGCAATGTATGAGCAAATTTATGATAACTATTGCAACAATAATGGAAGAGTATAGAGCAACTACTTTAATCAAACTTTTCTTAAATTTCCGTGAGGTGGTTCAAAATTCTCGCTTTTAAAGAACACATATCTCTTCTAAATTTTTCTCCATAGTTTGTGGCTCATCCGTATTCTCAACTCATGTTAAATGCAGTGCTTTACCTCGACTTCGACAAGAATTGGATTTACCGGAGAAATATCACGAAAACTACCTTCTTTGTTCTTCACACGCTCTTATTACCTCTTTGGTCCATTTTTTACCTTGTCACGCCCGACAATAAACTGTCTCAGAAACTGGCTACTCCGCTGGCCAAATTCATCAGTCACACGGGCTCTTTCTGCTGGTTCTTGTTCATTCTGATTCTCTCCTCAGTTCAAGACAGGCTAGGAATTTCACTCTTGGAAATCTCTTGGATAGGTAAGTAAACATGGACATTGGTTTAGTGCTCATGGAATCCTGTATTTAGTGACAAGAAAACCACTTACTCCCAGCCTCCTATCCTGCCGGCGGGACAAGAAATGAATTTTACCATGGTGTTGCAGCGACAATCGTTGATTAGCTGTTGCACTATGGTTTAGAAATTGTTCTGTCAGTGACGAATTCGGTTGCGCTTATTGTGCCTCTTTTTTTCTTTCCACATTTTGACGTAATCTGTAATCTCTTACTGACAAACGCACGGCCACATGGAAACCATTTTTTTAATTCGATAAACTAGGAAAATTCTTTTTCCTACACTAGACACCATGTGTGTCCCTCGCGCATGCTACTCCTTACTTGTGAGTTCCCCACGGAAACAAACAAAAAAGCAGTAAGGTAGCTTATGTATGTTTGAATAAAACTCGAGTGGCCCGTTTTTATTTTTCGTTTACTTTCCTCTCAGATATCTTGACCGCTATGTGGGTGTTAGGTCTCATCTTTGAAGAAATGAAAGAGTTCTACAGACAAGGAAGAGAGCGTTACTTTGCCCAATGGTGGAATATTGTTACCATTTTAATGTTACTCTTCTTCTTACTGGCGGGCTTATTCTGGCTGTTGGGTTCCTCGGCGTTGATGGTTAAAGATGGAAATTATTCGTTCAAGTACCTCGTCAGAAGTATCTCAAGAGATTCAGCCTTTCGATTCTTGTTTATTTCAAACAGGTGGGTAAAGAATTGCGGAGAAGTATGGAAGGATTGCAGTGCTTGCAAATTTACTCATAGAAGGCACTGTGTCCAGCCATGAAGACACTCAGTCATTACTAATAACGCAGTCTTTTCAAATTTTCTGGTAAAAAGCCTTCAAACCCGAAAAAATCAGATTGAAAGACCATGAATATTGTAAAACGAAGCACATGTGATGTATCTGCGTGATTGACCAAGTATCTGAGGTGAAGATGACTGGATATTGAAGTCTCTTTTCGCATACTTTTATAGCTCGGGACTTCACAAACTGAAATTTATATTTGACTTTAATTTTGACTGAGGTCTGAAAGGGTTTAATGACAGAATTGCTTGTTGCAACTTTCACTTGCCTTTAATTTCTACACAGCATTTTTTCGATGGCGTTCTTGGTAAGTTTTTTCCACTTGTCAAACTCGCTGCAAGTGAACAGTGGCATTGGTCCTCTGCAGTTATCTTTGATAAAGATGTGTCAAGATGTAGGCAAGTTCCTGCTGTTGTTCCTTCTGGTTTTCGTGTCCTTTTCTATGGCCATCCGCAAAGTTTATTCACAATTTGAGCAAATTGTGAATTTATATCCGGCTAAGGAACACTCTCAAAATTCCCATGAATTCTCAGGGTAAGTCACTGGCACTTTTTACCCTTGAGATTCAGTAGCTTAGATTTAGCAGACACTCGCTTCAAATTATCTTCTCGTGTTCCTTACTTGCGGCTTGCAATAGCCCAACAGCGACCCATTGTGTCATTGGCACGGACGGTTAGACCTTATCCCATGTCAACCCACAAAACCTCTGCTAATAGCTTGTAACCGTTATCAATGAACAAGAACTCTAAATGAGTGGCAACTTAAACTGTGTAACCAGGTCAACCTTTGACTGTGAATATTTGCAGGTCGGTTGTGCACTGTGGATTAAGAAATGAATACGAAAGCGATCTGCGCAGTAGTGAAAATAAAGCCTAAAAAGGCTGAATGAGGCTTGAATCTTTTTCAGGCCTTATTTTCATCACTGCTTAAGTTAGGTTCATAACTGCGGAGATCGCTTTCATATTAAGGTCCTCTCTGTTGACGATATTATCCTCTTTACTAAACTACCCTTTGAACCGATCGCAGAAATGAACCCTGGAGAACAAATCTGAGCTTGGACACCTCGTTTATGATTTCCCTCTAGTCCCGCCAGAACCCAAGGTTTTTTCTGGGCTTCAATTTCTGAAACTTTCAGCATTAATTTATATGTTTGACTGTGAAGATTTAGTTGTAACTTGTCATCCACAGATCAAACGTGAATAAATTAAAATGTTGTTTTTCATAATCTTAGTCTGTCGTGTCACCTTTGTAGATCGTTTTCAATCAGGTAATAAACAGCTATGCATATGTGTTGGAACGAGAGAGAAAACTATATGAGGAAGGAGTTAAGTAAGATCCGCACTTGCTCTGCTCACATGACCGCCATTTTATTGTGTCGGTAACTAGTATGATCGTCGAAACGTCCTGTAAAAACGATTTATCCCTTTTCATATTTCCCAATATTTTCGCTCTTATTTTTTCACTCATTTCCGTGACTATTTGCATCCTAAAAAATCTATTAGAATCACCCCCAAGGGGAGTATTTGTCGTATCATCAGTTTCGCCGATGGTTTAAATCTGCCGCTCGTATGATAATCGGAAATTTTGAAAAATCCCGCGTGTATTTTAAAGCTGTTTCCACCATTGTTCCAAAGTAGCCATATACGGTCATTGTTAATCGTTAAACAAAGCCTGTTCAACTTTCAGCTGATCCGCTTTTCTTGATACGAGTTTTTTTCTTCGTTTTAGATTCTCTGCTGGCTTGAGGAAGCTTTTTTGGGCTCTGTTTGATAAAACAGATCTTGAAGCATTTGAACTTGAATCGAGCACGTTCTACATAACTCAGACGACTGGAGAGACTTTGTTTGCTATTTTCAATATCGTCGCCATTTTGATCTCGCTCAACATGCTCATTGCAATGATGTCGAACTCATTTCAGCAAATAGCGGTTAGCAACAGTTTTATAATCCAGAAGACAATCTTATTTATTTAACCATTTACACCCTGGTATCCGTATGCATGTTCTTTATACTGTTCTCTCAAATGACCTTAATATTTGATTAAGATGTAATAATTATAATGTTGGGATTTGCGATCACAACCACTAACACGGCCAAAACGACCGTCCCGTGACTTCCCACCAACGGTCTTTGATACACAAAACAGTTATCAGACTGTGACTTTGTGAAAGTAGCAACTTATGTTATGCAACATCTCCAGAAAATGGAACTAGACACCTCAAACCCAAATTCGGGTGTCAGTTTGGCGTTTTACTTCTCAAAACGGAGCAGCACCATAACCATGTGTTGGTCTGGTCCTAACCAGATTTCAGCTATTTATTTATTTACTTATTGCCAATCTAGGACGATGCTGATATCCAATGGAAGTTTTCCAGAACAGGGATGTGGATGCAGTACGTGGACAAGGGAAGTGTCCTTCCTCCTCCTTTTAACCTTCTACCCAATCGGAAGCATTTTGTTGATTTGTGTCGACGTATTAAAAACTGGATCAAGCCTCAAAAGGTAGGCTGAATTTTAAGGTTATTTCCGGTTTTACTTGGAGGGCAGTGCTCCTTAACAAATGATTTATTCCAACTGATATCGCTGACTGCAATACTCAACAAACCAGTAGTATTTACGTCATCACATTACCGAGCCCCCTGGTACTAGTAAATTATAACCAAGGGAGTGGTCAAACAAGTAATTTCAAATTAGCCGGTTGTGTAGCACAGAGCTTACTAAAAATAACGAACAGGATCACTGTGGAATTGTACACCTTAAAGTCATATACTTTTCTATTGTCTCTAGAACGAAGTATACGAAAAATGCTTTATTAGAAATATTTCCCGGCATAACAAAGTCATGATATCATCTGTAAATTAATAAGGGAACCAAAGTCTCTTCACCAGATAACTTCATGCAACTGAAGGTGAAGGTGAAGGACCTGTAAACTCATGATATTTTCTTATTTCTGATTGGTCAGCACAGAATTGTAGTTAAGTCTGCAGGGTTAGCTGATTACATTAGCGACTTGATTTTCGTTGGCTGTTGAACTGTCTTATATGGCGTCAAATAATATGCAACTTTACAATAGCTCGCGGCTCGAGCATTTAGTATGCATATTACTGATCTTACAGATTTTTTTGTATCAGGAGTATTTATTAAATACTCTTGACCAATCAGATCATAGTTATTCTAATCCAAAATAATCGAAGTTTTTAGCAAGGAAACTAAGGTTGTTAGCGGACTCATCATGCATTACGTGCAGTACTGAAAAGTGTATGTTTGGTTCTAGAAAGAGCATTATGACGATTTGGATTCAAGTGAAGGAGATGAAGAGCAAGACGAAGATATGATTGAGGTAATTGTGGTTAGGATTTGGATATTTCCTTGTAGGTCTAGTTAAGTTTTTCATGCATTGTCCTTATTTGGTACCCATTTCTTTTGGGTGGAAGCAAAGTATTTATATCTGCAGGAACGTTTTACCCGAAAATCAACTTTCCTTCCTTAAAGAAAGATCTATTAATTTTTTTACGAACGTGAGAAAAAGAACTTCTCTGAATGAGATATCGAATTCTATACCCTCAGATTTTATGCCCTGAAGCTTTACCACTGAGGTGCAGGGAATTCGATCATAAGTTAGGCCGGCCTTACGCTCGGTTACTCCGCCTTTGTGACACTAAAGAGAACAACGCAGATTCACTTCCGCCACGATCGATTCTATGACACTTCAGATAATCACAAAGTCTTAGAGATCATCGTCTGTATAAATAAGTAGCCTTTGTGTCTTGTTACACTTGGATTGCAATTTTAATTTCTCCTTTTATTACACCCATTTTGAAATCACTAGTGGTCCCTGTAATCTGATTGGCTCTAGTTGGTGCGATTTATTCACGAATCGCACCATTTTTTGCTTTAAATCGCATCTTTCTCCCAGCCAATGAGGATACAATAAAAACAAAACAACCAATCAGATTTCAAGGCTTGTTTGAAGTAACCAATCAACTTGCAAGAAAATGAAAGACAAAGAGTATCATGTGGCAAATTTTGCAACTCAAAACTCTTATTTTTCCCCCACAAAAAATGAATGAATTTAATTTCAAACCAGCTCAGTACTGCATCAATGAAACATTTGAACTGACCAAGTCCTGTATTTGGGCGATTTCAGAATGGTTGTAAAGAAGTGGTAATTGAACTGAGTGGAGTTGAATTCGGGCTGAAATCATACGTGTGATTTCAAAATTGAACGAGCGCGCAGCGCAAGTTCAAATTGAAATAACAAGAATAATTTCAGACCAAAATTGCACGATTACAAATCATGTCGTGGTTTCCGTCTTGATTGAGAGACGTAGTGCCTTGATGGTGAGCGTGTAGGACTCCACACCAAATGATCAGGTTCTGCACTCCGACCACAGTCACTTGTTGTGTTTCTGAGAAAGACTCTCTCTTCACTTTCATAGATTATATCTCCGCCTAAGAAAAGAAAGTCAAATTGTACTGGCAAACTGTCAGGAAAACTTGACGAAGTGCCAGAACCTGATATGGGCTTATGTGCCATTAAGGGAGATAAGTTATTCAGTCTCGCAATACTACTTTCTTTTGCTTCCCTTAGTTCGTTTTGTTAATTAAGTAGCTTAAAAAAAAACAGCTTCAAAGGTGTTTACTCTTGGAGGTTGTTTTTGTCGATTTTTTGTCAGTTTCTTGTCATCTAATAGTTTGACATTGGCGTTTTACAGCGTGAGAAAATCCTCAAGCTTCTTATCGATCGTTACTTCTTCACCTCGCGTCAAGCCAGGGATCGTCTCGTACTCACCACTGCGCTGAAAGCTTTTGGAAGTAGCGTTCAGGTGAGTGACGTTTTAAATAGTGCATCTTCTACTTCATTATGGATTGTTTTTTTTATTTATTTATTCCCATTTATTTAACACTGCGCTCGCTAATATAATCGCTATGGTTTGGTGCCTAAAAATACAAACATAGATTTCAGTTTGCTGTAACATTAATGGTCTAAAAAAATCTTCCTCCCTAACCAACTTCCCGTTCAACTCTGATTGCTAATGTGGCGCATACGCTGATCAGAACACGAAAAACGAACCGGTAAATAAGTAACTCGTTATTTACCGTATTCCTAACGTTATTCAACATATTTTTGCGGCTTACCTGTATTTGTGGTTTAAGTCGTAACCTCTTTTGGTTTCATGCGGAATGGAATTTCCTTCATGTTACAATTGAAATTTCCGTTGCCGATAAACAGCAATTTCTCTTCCATAAGCCGCTTCCTTACCTTCTCGTGCAATTACTGTTCTGAGGCGGTATTGCACATCCGCTAACAACCACAAGAGGCTTGGTATCATAGCGACCACACACGAGGGGGGGGGCGACTTTGTCCTAATGCATGTGTCCTATCACGTACAGATGCGTTCATTGTATAAGCAGTCAGTCATTATTAAAGGATACTCTAAATGACTTGCAATTCATCCCATTAAGACGGCTCTTCGGTCCATCACGCAAGAGTGGTTGCTTCACGACCTCTTTACAGTATGATCGTCGCAGTCGCAAAAGTGAAAGAGAGATAACAAACATGTTAAGCGAGTAATGTCTTCACAGGACATTTATTTCCTTGTCTTAAATGATTTCTCTTCCTAAAAATCTGCTCTGATTGTTTTTTCACTTCAATTTGTCCTTTTTCTGATTTCGTCTCTGATTCTCATTGAGTAACACTAAGTATTAAATCTTCAAAACAGGTTACTCTTGTTAACTTTCCTTCTAACTGTGTATTATATATTTCTTTCTATTGCAGAATGAATCAACAGAGGCGACAGACTCATTTCCAAATACCGGAGAAAAGCAACAGCCTAAAATGCTCGGATGGTTTAGTCGCTTCCAACATAAATAAATTGTTTTTACCAATATATTACACGAACATTAGATTTAGGATATTTTTTAGAAGGTTTTTCCTTAACTAGTCATTAAGGATGCAAATTCTGGCTTTTATTTACACTTGAAAACAATTTGTTATTGATAGGTTTCTTGACTCTTTGACCCTGTCAATAGTAGGAGGACAAATTTTACCTCAAATCACTACTTCAATGCTCTCACGTTTCAACTCATGGTCACGGAACGAAACTCTTTGCAAATAATGTTTAGAGATAGAAATGCTTTTTCGTCTTACCCGAATATGCATAAACATACATTAAACGTCTTAAAGAGATAAAGCTTTTTACGATAAACAACAAATTAGTGATATAAGTAGCTGCTACATGAGATCCGAATGATTGCAATAGTTGCAATAGTTGCTTTTTGTGACGTACAAACGTCTAGGAGCTCAACTATCACAAAATCAGACAGGTAAGGACTCAACTGTCCATAAATTTGAGGAAATCACTTGTCATCCGCATTCTCCCGCTCCTTCCCACTAGTAAACACACGTACGATATAATTTTTGGATATGAACGGCAGACAGTCGACCACGTTAAACGTTGAGGAAATTACAAACGGTAAGGATGTTGTATTTTCGCCACAACTGAACTCTGCAATAGAAGAAGACGAAATGGATGTCCTTGCGAGTTCAATGAGCGCAGACGAGGAATCACTGTTTGTTGCGGTTCGAAGCGGCAACAAAGAAGCAGTTCAAAATTTGCTCAGTACCAAACGCGTTGATGTCAATTGCCGAAATGCAAACGGTGAAACTGCTCTGCAAACAGCAGTCGAGGAACAAGATCTCGACATCATGCAAATACTTCTCAAAAACAATGCTGAGATCGGTTCGGCTTTGTTTCAAGCTGTCAGGAACAATTCCTTGCAGTGTGTGAGAATTTTGGTGGCTTACGACAAAAGTCGCAAAAGCTTCGGTGCGAAGTCGCTCGAAAAGTTTTCTACCAAAGGAACGGGTAGAACTTTAGGGCGGTTTGACGAATTTCTGACCCCACTCGGCCTGGCTGTGTTAAACGGAAGCTACGAAATTGTCGAATTTCTTGTTAGTAAAGGCTACAAAGTTGAACATCCGCTCACCCGCAAAAGCCAAGATTTCGCCAAACAATTCGAGGAGGAATCAATGATCAGGCTTAAAAATTCTGTTGTGAAATTAAACACTTACCGTGCATTGGCGAGCCCTTTGTATATATCACAATTGTTCTTACACGAAAGCAAAAATTTGAGTACAAGGAATACGGAATATTCAGCCAGTGATCCATTGTTTCGATCTATCGTTTTGAAGAAGAAACTGAAAAAGCTTTCTTTTCGTGAAGGCGAGTTTCGAGATGATTATCGAGCTCTCTCCGCTCAGTGTGAGAATTTTGCAATTCGGTTATTGGACGAATGCAGAAATCTCGAAGAAATCGCCGCCGTCATGGACATGCCGGAACTGGACAAAATGGAAGACGACGCGTATCTGAGGAATAAGGAACACCAACTGCGTGTGCTCAACCTCGCCATAAAATACCAGAATATAAAGGTATGCAAGAGTAAAAAAATAATGTAATTCGGGCAAATAATGTCATTGTAGCAATATCTTCTTCAATTGGAGCTGTATCTTTCTTTGATGCTAAAAGGATCAGCAAGCAGATCAGACTATGTCGGTTGTTGGTATATCTAAAAGATAAACAAGGTTATTAGTCTCTAAAGAAACCGTTTCTAAAAAAACCTTTTTGTAACGTGTGTTTATAAGCCACCTATTGTAGACGAGATATTAGTTACTAAAGAAACTGTAGCGCTACGTCAGCGAGCAAGTGAGTCGATTAGTTGGTTATCAAATGTAAGTCGATAAAGGAAAATAATTGGCCTTGGCAAATTCTGAAAAGCAGTTTATCTTATCAACTTATAGTCAAACAGAAACTAAATGTCTCCGATAGATAACTTGAGGACTTGTAACTATCTTTAATAAGCATTGAAATAACCTTCCAGAAGCTCAAGCTCACCGTCTGATTATTTTTTATCAGGAATTGTTGACTAAATTCATTGCCTTGAACGTCAGAAGTAAAAATTGAAAAAACGCTATTGTTCATATCTGTATAATCTCAACGCAAGACTGAGAAGAATGAAGACAATAGTTTATTGTTGAAACGTGAAAGGGCTTGTAAAGACCCCTGTCACGTTTTGTTGCCAGAAATAATTGAAATCAAGAGACCATTACGCTTAATATAGTCTCTCGTCAAAACACTGAGGTTTTGTAGTTTTGTAGAATATTACTTGAAAGAAAAGGTTTCCGGCTTCAACGCATGAGCGACTTGAGAGGTATTTTTGAATGGCGGGGTAGTCTTGATCCTTCCTTAAGCATCCTTGACTTTGAGCTTCCTCATTCATACGGAAAGTTTCCACGGAAACGATCATGAGTCGTGTATTTTAGTCCTCGAAAGCTTACAAATCCAATATGAAAAAGTTTGGTTCGCGTGCCATATAGTAAACTACTTAAATTAGAAATATGGCCCTTAGGCTCATATCTCCTGTGTAGCTCTCCCGCTCGGTTAGTCATCCGTTTACAAAACAGCCAGATGCATGTGGATCGCGCAACAAGAACGGAGAGAAGTAAAAACCACCTCTTCTGTCTGTGGGCTGTTGTAGCGCACGTTTTCACAAAGTGTAGTTTCCTTTCTTAAATACAAACACATTTTCTCGACGAGCACATGGTAAATATTCTGATGCATTCGTAGCTGCAATTGTTATGACCATAAAAACTGACTTCTGACTTTCAGATGTATTTTTTAATGTTTTTTTTTTCCAGTTCATAGCTCACCCTTACAGCCAAGTGATGCTCAATTCAGTGGTATATAAGGGTACATCTGGATGGCAGCAAATGCGTTTTCCTGTCAAACTCTTCCTGGCGATATTGTACACTCTTTTTATGCCGCTATGCATGCTGGTGTATATGCTCACTCCGATCAACCCTCTTACCAAGAAGTTAGAGATACCCTTGATCAAGCTAATGAGCCAGGCCTCCTCTGTTGTCTGGTTCCTAGCTTTGATAACACTGTCTGCCTTCCAAGATTATTATGACTTGTCCTTACGATTGTCGCCATTGAGTAAGTAGACAAGTTATCGTTAAGAGAGGAGATAAAAGCCCCAGCAACCACGTTCTTTTAATCTCCTCGTCTAAAACTTTTGTATAGGGGTTAATTTTGGTTACTTAACCTCTTATAATCTTCCAAACTAGACAAATATTGACTAAGTTAGAGGGCCGGACGGGAAAGTGTTTGGCTCGAGGTCATCGGATCGAGCACACAAGTGTCCGTGCGTTATGACCGAGAACCAAATATTTTCCCGTCCGGCCCGACCCAACTCAGTCAATAAGCATTTTATCATATGAACAATAAGTGTTGAAGTTTTAGTTTCAACTTTAATGGGATGCGATAGACGGGCACACGCGGAAGTGTCTTCTCCTTAAGTGCACTGAAACGAAAACATTTAGGCTTCTTTAATTGCAGAGGAGGAACCGAAACACAAGCGATAATAATTTGTTTCCAAGAACTGATACATTTTCGTGTCTGATTCACTGTTACTCTGAGTCAGTCCCATAATACCCTCGTTTCTTGTTCACATAGATGTAATTATTGGCATCTGGGTGATCGGAATGACAGTTCAAGAAATCAAACAAGCTCTTCATCAAGGAAAAGAGCGATACTTTTCAGAATGGTGGCACCTGGCTGTAATACCCATGATCATCTGTTACATCATAGCCGCTGTTCTGTGGATTGTGGGCTACGCATATATAGCCTCGGATTCGGGTGAATGGACCGTGCATGTCCGGGAGCTACTGGGTTCCACATCCCTTACCCCATACCACCTGTTGCTGTTATCCAACAGTTTCTACTCCTTTGCAGTAGTGTTGACTTTCTTCGAAGCATCTCATACTCTACAAGTGAACTCCACCCTAGGGCCACTGCATTTGTCGCTTATGAATATGGGGAAAGATATCATGAAGTTTTTCTTCCTTTTTGCTCTCAATGTATGTGCGTTTGCCCTTGCGATGAGAAAACTGTACTCACAGTACGTGCAGTCGACAGCAGCACATACTAATATGGGAAACAACAGCACCACAACCCATGCTTTTGAAAGGTAACAAATGTAATGATGGTGACGATGATACCAAAGTTAATCTATTGAATACTCTCAAGGTGTGAGTAATGGGGAAAGGGATAGGGGCCATAAACTACGCATTATTCTCGATTAGCTTCGATGGAGATGAAAATTATCAGTTGCAGTTTGTCAAAAAAGTTCCGCGCTTCTGCGTGTTAGTTGAGTTGATTCAGCTTGTTATAAGCCTATACGTTTATGGTTAAACAATCATCGGAAACTAGTTTTAAAGCAAGTTACTCCATAGTTAGTTACAATGTTATAAAATGTTTGGCGTTGTTCGTTAAAGGTTAATTTTAAAGGTTTTCTTTGATGATAAATGGCCTTTTTCTGCGATATCATTTTCTTACTTATTTATGAAACTGAGGCGCAATCATGGACAATGAGCATCCAAGCTAAACATAACAGAAATCGAGACACGAGTACAAATATTTTCATCGTAGTGATACTGTGAAGGGGCTACTTCACAAAGTCGCCATTTGAAATTCATACAAATCCTCTCCCTCCTTAGTCATCCAGGATCTGTTTTGGTTTGTTATTTTTCCATTTTGGTTTTTGTTTACCTTAGCAAAGTATTATCAGTTAAAAATCATTTTTCCACGACGCGAAAAATGAGTCGCACACACATTGTACTGCCGGACGAGCTTGGTAGGTTATTTTTATGAAGATTTGTCTAATTTCTCTCTTAGAATCGAAGGAGTATTCAGTACTTTATTCTGGGCCCTGTTCGGACATGCGGATAAGTCAACCTTTGACACGAATAAAAACGCTGAGATCACCGAAATCACTGGACACTTGCTCTTCGCCACTTACAGTCTCGCTTCCGTGCTAGTTGCAATGAACCTCCTCATTGCGATGCTCAGTAATACTTTCAAGAAGGTTTCTGTAAGTATTAGTAATCTATGAGTGCTGCTAAAGTATTAACGTACAGATAGCAAAATCACTCCCATTTTCTATCCGCCGGGAGGGGTCATGTACTTTAAAGCCAGGGGAGTTGGTTTTATAAGTTTCTTCTTGGGTGTGAACCACATAAATTCGATGTCTACATTTATTATCAGACTCCATTTTATGATAAATGCATATTATCAGCCCTGTTTGGGATGCGTTGGTCCTAAGGTAAACAAGCCAGGATATAGATTGAAGTGTCCGGTTAACATTAGGCGGGGGTCATCCGACTGTGTTCCGTTATAGATGCTTGTTGTTACAGTTTCTCTCTTAACTTAAGGGTAAATTTAAGGGCTGTTGAAATGTTAGGGAAACCTTAGAAAATAATGGGGGGGGGGGAGGAATGGGTGAATTGCAATTGACTAGCATCCAAACTATTGGAATTAGTAGTATTTCAGACACTTTAACAATGACTGATTTTCTGTTAGCAATGAAATGTAAATATCTCACAAATATTCTCAATACGTAATTTTCACTTGAACATAACCCAGAGTTTTTCTCCTACACTTGACGGTATGAACAATAAAGGGTTTTGGAAGACTGATCAATGTCAATAAATCAATCTATCAAACTATCCATTAGTAAATCAATAATATATCCGAGGCTTTTCCTCGAATCCCTTTGCGCATCAGTTTCTTCAGGAGCCATTAATGGATCTCCTCCTTTGTTCTTTCCTTTCTCTGTGCGCCAATTAAGTGCATTCGACTGTATTCTTGCAGGAGGAGAAGGATATGAAATTCAAGTTTGCTCGTACCCGTGTTTGGATGTATTACGTCAGTAGGATCAGTCCTCTGCCTCCCCCATTTAACTTGTTTCCGGTAGGAAAGATCGCTTTGGGAATCCGCCGGCTCGTTACACGGTGCAGCTCAATGGGAGAAGTAAGTAGTAAAGAACAGTAACGGTATAAGCACTTGCACAAAATTTGGATGTTCGTTTCTCGTCTTGTAAACCAAATGAGCCAAGAGTGATCAACATGCAACTTCTCATGGTAATTTTATTTCATAATTTAGAAAATATTTAGTCGGAGTACTCAAACTGATCAGCTGGAAGAGGTTGTCCTGATGTAACACTTGATTCTCCTAATTCATATTACAAGGAAATTTATGACAATTAGTAAGGAGAAAAGATGGTTATTTGGTGGGATCTAAAAATTTAAGGCATTTCTTCTCTCCTCCTCTCCCAAGAAATAAGAAAGAGTTTAGGATTTAATTAATCCTATCTAGGAGTTTTAATTTTTAATTTTATCTTCTCAAGTGTCTCGTCTGCAATGAGAAGCAAGAATCGTCTCCAAAAACCAAGACAAATGAGAAGAGAGTGAGTTTGATTCATAAACTTTATTAGGATTAGCCCATAGAGCTAAAATAACACAGTTATGAACAACTGTAGAGGTATCAGTAATTAGGTACGTTGAAAGACACACTACAATTGATTCCTGAGCTTTTTCTGTTTTCCTTTTGAAAGCTTATACGTAACCCTGGCCTACTTTTTCTCCAATGAAACACAGGCCCAGAATGGGTGAGTGATAGAATTGGCCTCTGTCCGAGCACTTTTCACTTGAAAAATACTAAAACCTAAATAATATCATTTGGAAATGAAGGAAACAAGCCAATGAGAACTCGTAAACAGCCTCAAGCACAAAAAACGTCAATGATCAGGTCACGATTGTTTTTTAGACATGCTTCTGATTGGTTGGAACTGAAGCACAACAAACTGTTGCGTAAACCAATCAGAAGGCGCTGTAAAGCAAAATAGTCAATGCGACCTTGTAATACGTTCTAGTACTCAGTTAAAGATTATCCAAAAACCAGCAATAATCATTACCAGAGAGAAAATGCGCAACATTGTTCAAAACTGATCATTCAAACATCTAGCAGAATTATTGTCGTTAGGCCTTGGCAGTGAATTGAGCTGAAAACTCAATTTTGTGTTTCATAGCGTCGAATGGTCATCAAAAATCTAATCCAGCGCTATTTTGATGTGAACGGAAAAACACAAAAAGAGGAGCCTGTTGAAGATCATCCACCTCCAGAAGAGTTACAATGCAAGCTGATGGAGGTCACTAATACATTACAGAATCTACAAACCGCGATAAAGCGGTTCCGTCAAAAAACACCAACGGTGAGTCAGTTCCAGTTTTAAACACTTTGGGACGCAATTGTATTTTTAAACGAGTGCACTAGTAACATGCTCGGTGTCCGCTGTTTGGTTTTATAACCAAACAGAAATAACTTATTACGCTAGAATAAGCTTCACATTAACTTTCCTTCTTATTAATTTTTTTCTTTAATCATTATTTCAGGAAAAGAACAAGACTGAGAAAACAGAACCGCTCGAGTGATGCAGCTTGTTTTAACAAGTTGATTACTAAGGCAAAGATACATTCGTATTGCTCGCTAAATAGATTTTGAAATGAAAAAGAATTAGTTAATGTAACGGGGAAAATTCTGTGATACAATGCCGCTGACTCATCTAGCCACTCTAGCGCATATAAGAAAATACATTTTATGATGTCTACTCGATAATCAAAGTATATCGAAGTGGCTTTTTGTCACAAATCGGCTTGTGGGATGGGTGTCGTCCAAACAATGCAGAGTAGCATAAGAAGTCGAATTTTATTGTAAAGTATACAATTTCGCTACATACCATTAGTAAGATACCGTAAGTAATTTACCATAACATATTGAAAGTAGTGTAATAAGTCGTAAAATAATGTAAATGTAGAGTATTGTGTAGGTAGTGTAAGTAATCGAGAGTAAGTCATCTTACTGTAATAAAGTTTATTATAACATTGCGCGTGCTTGCCTTATAATATATAGATTTAGCCAAGCCTAAAAGCGGAGCTCGCATTATTTTTTTCCGCATGTCTCAAGGGCACAACGCCTTGCCCCGGCCAGCCCTAAACCCGGGTCGTCCGACTCAGAGCCCAGTGCGCTGACCACTGACCACTGGACTACTCCAATCCAAATTTTTTCGGCTTGATGGGTTACTACTATTTTGTATAATTACGGGGCTACACTCTGCGAGCTCCACTATAAGTCCTATTGAGCCGCTATGAACAAAATCTTTATTTACGCACGCGTACATAAGATGACGTGAGCATTTTTTTACCTGGCTTCAGAGTTTCCGTCCTGTTAAGCTGCAGTGCAGTTTTCCTTCTCTTTGAAATATGGAAGAAACCAGCAAAAAACTGCCCAATTTTTCTGTCGGCATTGACCTTTTAGGTCCTGATCCAACAAGCAACAAAAATAAAGCCGAAAAAACTCGCAAGTTGCACGTTTCGCAAATTTGTCGGCCGGAAGACTGGGTCTTTGACTTTTAAAACATTTTTTAGTGCCACTTGAGTTCATTTGGCTTTGATTTTCTCCATTTTCCCCGTAAATTTGAGCTTTTCATACACAGTTATCGGCTAACTGGATCAAATCTTCTCGGTCAAACCAAACTATGAAATGTGGCGTGTTTTTTACCAGTCAATAGGGACGTTTGTTTACATTTTTTATGCGTTGTGAGAATTTTGCACTCTATCACAATAAAAGGCTTCTTCACGCAGATCCTTGTTGTCGCTCTGTTATAAAAGAATTTGCTCATGCTTCTAGCTGTGCGTATATCGAGTTATAGATGCACTTGTGAAGTTTGGAGAGCACTCAAAAAGCTAGAGTTGCTATCGGCTGCGCCTCGAGCTACTCTTACGCATTTTTCGTGCTCTCTAAACTTCCCGCATGTATCCATAACTCGATATACGTACGCTATGCATGAACAAATTCTTAACTGTAAACTATACTTTGTTAGTAGTGTGTTCTCAGTAAATTATTGTAAGTGACGTATTGAAACTGAGTCCTGTAGTGTATTGTAAGTAGAGTAATGTTTTGTAAAATGCCAAAAAAATAAAGAAATAACACAAAAAAAAAACCAAATAGCTTTGTGCCAGTCGATTCAAGACGCAAATAGATCGCTCGTAAAGTGACGGAGGCTTGACACCAGTATTCCTTTGTCTCCCCTGCGGTTGATACACTAAGGCAGTTGTTAACTGTCATTCGTGTCATTAAAATAATTAATTTTAACTTCTTATTGTGAGTATGCCATTACTCACAATTACTGCGAAATTGTCGAAGTTTAAATGAACAAAGATTACAAGCGTAAAAAGGCCAAGACGTCGATGAAGAGGAGTCTCTTGCCAGAATAAAAGAGTCTTTGGGATTCGATATTAAGCATTACGTAGGACTTTAATATTTTGTCTGGTAAAATATACCAAAGCTCTGACAGCTTCTTGTAGCCGTATCGGTTTTCATCTTTTTAGTTGTTTGATGATGTTTCTCTTATCGAGATGAGTTGTTCAATTGTACAACAGTAGTAAGTCCAAGTCGGCCTGTGTGCATTTTCCAAGGAGCTTATTGGTGCAAAAGGCTTCAATTCAGAAACTCCTGATCGACAACATACTTTTTGTTCCTCTTTCAGAAACTCAATGACAACCATTCAAACGAACCGCAAGATATATATAGAAAATAATACATGGTTGCTTGTAGATATGGAATTTCTCTTCTCGTGTTCAACTCGAAGAGAAATTCCATATCTACACGCGCCCATGTATTATTCTCTATTTCTTAAGAGTTACGATTTCAGCAGTTAAGACCTTAGAAACTCAAATAAGTCTAGCACGTACGGCACGATGTTTGGAAAAAAAGACCACTTCCAAAGGCTCGAGCTTGAGAACATTCGATGAAATATTTTGTGTATATTTTGTATATTCTAAAAAATCTCAAAATAAAACGCGGTCAGTGTCAATGCCTGGTTAAGAATTATTGTTCTATTTAGTGCTTTCGTGATATCCTTTTCACGAGGCAGTTAATTACAAGTACAAGGTTTAGTTCTAAACCACTACAGCTGCGGTTGCATGGCATAATAACTTGCACATAGCAAAATCTCTTTTGGGGTTTGAAAAAATAAAAGAAATAATCAAGAAAGGGAAATGATACACATCCTGCTGATACACATTGCCACCAGTTACTCTGTCACTGAAATTGCTAGCTCACACGATTTGAAAATAAATTAACAATTGACTTTTCAAGAAAAGGATAAGGATGTAATTCTACTTCATAATCTTTCTTGATTTGTTTTGCCTTATTTTGTTTCGTTTTTTTCCTCTGGGAAAATGTCGACGAAGCCGGTAAAGAGTACCCCTACCAAAATAACAATCATTACGACCCTGTAATTGAATGCTAGAAACTAAAACGTAACTTAAATGCAACTTCCATGGATCCTACCAACTCGAGGTTCTTCGGTCTTTTCACTCAACATTTAAAGAACAGTATAGGTTCCTTAATCATTTTATTGCCAAAGTACATTCGGTAAATTACATTTGATAAAAAAGGGGCTAGAAATAACAATATTAGATACCCGCTTACAAAATAGGTGCAGTAGTGATAAGTATTTCTACAAGTTACTGACCAATAACCAAGAGTAAGTAAGGCCCAGTTTAGATTTCGTGCTTCTGCCGTACCAAACTTAATTCAGGAATAAGTGGACAAAAGTACGGCAGAAGTACGGTATCTGAATCAAACTTTTTAGTTAAGTTTGGCAAAGCAATTAAGTTCAACAAGCTCTGCCGTGCTACACGACTCTGACATGACAGTGATTCAGACGTCGTAACCCAGCCGTGCCAAACAAAATTCATAATTGCAAATTAAGTTCGGCGCGGCAGGGGCACAACGTCTAAACGGCCCTAATACTTTCTGGTCCGGCGGACATAATTAAAATAAGAGCAGACTGATATTTAATTTTTAAATAATTCTTGTTTTTTTTTATCGGAATTTGTTTAACTTGTACTTTCTTTATATCCTCTAGTTTTTAATCGTCTAAAATATTTTGTATATTAATATGCGGAAAAGGAAGTCTTTTGTCGGAGATTTTAAAGAAAAATGCCAGCCTGCTTGTGCTTTTTTGATTTTAATATCGAGTTATTTTTAATGTATAAAAGTCAATTTAACTTTCCTTTTAAACATTTTCTGTTTCGCATCTTAAAATTGTTTGAATACTGGCAAGACAAAATAATGGACTCCATTATTTTCTCTTGATACTCTACTTGATACTTTACGATATGTTATACTAAAGAACTACCAAGAAAATTGCTTCACTTCTATGGTTGGAAAAAGACTCTAAGTTTTGGTTTCTATGGTATCTCATAATGAGCTTACTTTACAGACTGTTTTGCTTTGCTGTTATCGTTGTTTTCCTTAAATTATTTTGTTTTTTCTTTGGTTTTTCTGTTTTTTTGTTGTTTTTTTTTGTTTGTTTTGTTTCGTTTTTTCCTATTAAAACTAGGCAATACAATTTTGAGGTACTTCTACCCAATCTAATAACAGTAGCTCACATGTAATAAGACTCTAAACGCTACAATATACTTACTGGTTTGACATAGTCAAAATTATATCTTATATATCGTTAGGACGTTGCACTTCCTATTTTACTAAAGCATTGGCCAACTAGTATTTTCTGTCGCCTAACTTTTCATCCTTCCTTATCGTTTTATTTAACTATATCAATATGAGTATATCTTGGTTACAACTTTTAAGTAAGAGACTACTCTTGGATTTTTACCTAGTTTCTGCTTCTCAGGTCATGATCACAGACAGCATAAACATGTTTTTCTATTTTTTTTCTGGATGGATTGTTCTAATATGCGTGTCACAAGTACAGTTTGTTTGTGATTTGATGACAACGATATGGATACATTACCACAACCGAATTCCTACAACATCACTTTAGAAATTCTTTGTCGCTCTGTCTCAGTGAACTGAATCTCCTGTGTACGTCCCCAGCATTTCCCTCCCTTCCCTCAATGAAATCAGGATTTCTGAGAATGGAATGCTGACATACACGGGCGATTTCAAGTGTTTTCAGTAGATTTTAGCAAAACATTTTGAGGATTGAGGAACGAACTCAATTTTACCTAATACGATACTTTTGAGTTCCTCAGTAACCCTTGGTGGTGCCGGGTAAAATCAAATTGCCAGACGCTCCACTTTCCCCCTAATATTTTGTGCCTCACGAGAGATTTAGAATCGAGGTACATATTTGAATAAACTTTTTCGGCCATACTTCGTTCAAGCGGTTTAGTTGACGACTCCGATCAACAATTACTCTTTTGAATTCATGAATCTCTGCGGGCAACTGAGCCACAAAATGTATAACGTTATTTAAATTTTTTCTATAAAACATCTGAACTCCTAATTAAATAGTTGTCGCTCAGTTTGAAGTTTTAACAACAAAACCTAAGACGAAGGATAACTTTTAAGCACCTAAAAAGAAAGGGGTATTGTCATGTGTCTTCTTATGGTATTACTTTATGCTAATCAAGTGCTAATTGAACTTTGTGTGTCCTCAATATGGTTATAAGTTTCGACTGAGTCTGAATGGTTTTTCAAAATAATTTCGTCTTATGTCCAATACTTCTTGAAATGGTCTTGGAATGGCATGTTGAGTGATTTTCTCAGATAATTTTAGTCCTATGTCCAGTGTATGTAAAGTTTTTTCGTTAGGCTAAACGCATCCTTTGTAGCTGTAGCTGTAGCTGTCAGCTGTCTTTGGAGGGCTTTCCCTAAATAACTGAAGTGGAGTGTGAAGTGCACACGGTAGTAATTCAAGCACAGAAGTTAATTCCCGTGCGTTTCCAATGTTGTTTTAGCTGTGGGCTATATCTGGGTGTCTTCTTCAGATACCTTAAGTCTCACGCTCGAATAATTCAACCGCAGATGAAAAGTTTTTCATTTTAAGTTGAACATATCCTGTGTCGTTTTAGCTCTCAGCTGTACACAATGTATAGGTATCCCGAAGGAACTGTAGTCACATTATCCAGTGTATACTGTTATGTTTCAAGTGCAGACGTTAAATCATATATCTTCGTTTTTGCAATTCGAATGTTGTTGTAGCTCTGGCCCCGGTTGTGCGAAGCTTGGATAACGCTATCCATTGGATAAATCTCTATCGATGGATCGCGCAGCACGTTTTGATATTACTTATCCGCTGGATATCGATTTATCCGTTGAATAGAATTAGATAGAATAGAATAGGGGTGGATAATAATAATTTGGGTGATTTTTTCCAAAAAACATTGGTCTTATGTCCAGTGCACGCTGGTGTGATTCAAGCGCAGACATTAGATTCTGTAATTTCATTTGTGCGTTTCCAATGTTGTTGTAGCTGTCGGCTGTTTCTGGGTGATTTTCTCCAAAGAGCATTAGTCTTATGTCTAGTGCACGCTAATGTGATTCAAACGCAGACGTAAAGTTTTCCATACTTAGTTGAACGCATCCTATTTTGTTGTAGCTGTCGGCTGTTTTTGGGTGATTTTCTCCAAAGAGCATTAGTCTAATGTCCAGTGCACGCTGGTGTGATTCAAGTGCAGACGAAAAGTCTTTCATACCAAGTTGAACGCATCCTACTGCGTCGTAGCTGTCGGCTGTTTTTGGGTGATTTTCTCCAAAGAGCATTAGTCTAATGTCCAGTGCACGCTGGTGTGATTCAAGTGCAGACGAAAAGTCTTTCATACCAAGTTGAACGCATCCTACTGCGTCGTAGCTGTCGGCTGTTTTTGGGTGATTTTCTCCAAAGAGCATTAGTCTTATGTCCAGTGCACGCTGGTGTGATTCAAGTGCAGACGAAAAGTCTTTCATACCAAGTTGAACGCATCCTACTGTGTCGTAGCTGTCGGCTGTTTCTGGGTGATTTTCTCCATAGCACACGAGTCTTATGTTCAGTGCACGCTGATGTGATTCGAGCGCAGACACTAGATTCTGTAATTCCTTTTGTGCGTTTCCAATGTTATAATAGATTTTGGCTGTATCTGGATGGCTTTCTTCAAAAAATTCTAATTTTGCGTTCAGTGAATATTGGAATAGTTCAAGGGCGGACGTAAAGTTTTTCGTTTTCAGATGAATGGTGCCTATGTTGTGGAGGATGTCAGCTTTCTTTGGGTGATTTTCTCCATACAACTTCTCGTAAATGTCCAGTGCACGCAGGTACGATTCAAGCGCAGACTTTAAATCATTTACACCTTCAAATGCAGTTCCGATGTTGTTATGAATAGCGGCTGTGCTTTCGTGGTTTTCTCCATTTGATTTTAATCTTATGCTCAGCGTACGTTCAAATGATTCAAGTGCGGACGTAAAGTTATTCATTCTTAGCTGAACATATCCTAGATCTTCGTAGCTATCAGCTGTTTTTTGGTGGGTTTCTCCAAATACCTTAAGTCTGATGTACAATGCTCGTTGATGTGCTTCAAGCGCGTGCGAAAACCTTCCCATATCACCCTCTACGCGTCCAATGTTAAAATAGCTAACGGCAGTAACTGAGTGGTTATCCCCAAACAACTGAAGTCCAATGTCCAGTGCTCTTTTGAATAAATTCAGGGCTTTTGTGGAATCGTTCACACTCACCGTCAGGTATTCTTCTATTCCCACGTTATTGCAAATGCCGGCGATATTGGCAAGAGTGTTTTTTAGCTCTTGCAATTTCCCTTCAAGTGAATGATTGTTTGATTGAAGATGTGCCAGGCGCTTCTGGTGCATTCTTGACACTCTTTGGTAGAAACGTAAACCTGATTGGTGATCTATCTTAAGCAAATTCTTCACTTGCTTGTCATGGGGCAAGCCAGCCAACTCTTTTATATCGTTGGTCAGTAACTCTATCGTTATGTTAACAACAAACTGTAGTGCCTCTTGAGCAGAGTGATAGTCCCCCCTCTTGAAGTGACTGGCACCTTCTTCAAGGTAACTTCTCGCAGTTTCTGTATGTAAATTGTCCAATGTCTCATTTCTAATTCTTCGTGCTTGTACATGTGAATTAGCAGCACGGTTAAAACGGCCCAGACTGTTGTATATCAATCCTAGTTGGTAGAGACTCTTGGCTGTTTTGTTGTGATACCGACCTAAGTGCTTAAGTCTTATGTCAAGTGCGCGTTGATGCGTACTGAGAGATTCTTCCAGGCGTTGGATTTTCCACTGCACAAGACCTAGCTGGTACAAATGATCTCCTGTTTTTTCATGATCCTTACCCATTTCCGACTCGCTGATGGCAAGGGAACGCTCTAGTAGCGCCAAAGCCTTAGCGAGGTCTTCCTCGTGAAAAGAAGTTTTTCCCCATTCATAATAACTCTCCGCTGTTTCTGGATGATTTTCTCCAAACACGCGTTTTCTGAGGAGGACTGCATTCTTGTGTGACTGGATGGCTTGACTATACTCTAATTCCTTGTACTGCACACGTCCTAGATAATGGTAACTTCTCGCAATTTCTTCGTCTCTGGCTTGTCCTTGCCGTATGTTTAAGGCGCGTTGGTGATTTTTATGTGCCAGGTCATACTGATTCAGTTTAAAATGCGAGACTCCAAGTTCATAGTAACTGTTAGCAGTGTCGACATGTTCGTCGCCGAGCAGTTTCTGTCTTATGTGTAAAGCGTGTTGGTGTGATCGGGACGCTTCACGGTACTTTTTCAAGCAAAAGTACGTCTTTCCGAGCTCGTGATAGCTGTCTGCTGTTTCTCTATTTTGCTTTCCTAATACTTCGATCGAAATCCTGTTTGCGTCCTTGTGAGAGGAGAGGGCATCTTCGTACTTTTCCAAGTACCACTGCGTGATTCCCAATTCATAGTAGCTTCTACCAGTATCCCTATGATGGTCTCCATGATTCTTCAATCTGATATGAAGTGCTCTTTGATGGGACTCTAGAGCAGCTGAATACTCGCCAATGTAACACTGTGTCACACCCAGCTCATGATAGCTGTTAGCTGTCTTGGAGGAATTAGCATCAGAACTGATATGAGCATCAAGGGCCTGCTGTTGATATTCAAGGGCTTGACTGTAATTCTTCAAGGTTCTCAGAACGACACCTAACTCGTGGTAAATGGCAGCTGCATTTCCATGGTTTCTGTCAAATATTTTTAGAGTAAGTTCGAGTGCGCGATGGTAGGATTGAAGACTATCTTCATATTCACTTTCACGGAATTGAAATACAGCAAGGATGGAATAGCTTTTTGCTAATGCTTCAGTGACATCCTTATATTCCTGGTGTGAAGAATCTTGATCTGATATTCTTTTCTGGACTTCTTCCATACGGGCGATCTCTATTTGAACAATTTTTTTTGCTTCTTGGCAATTACCCATGTGAGCTAGTATTTCCACAACAAACTGATGAAAATACATCATACTTATTTTGTAACCTGAAGACGTGTCTTCGACACTCTCTTGTTCAAGTAATCGATGAATATTGGTCTGAAACTGTTCTATTTTACTGGTAGAAACGAAAGTTTTGGTTGCTTTAACGATGATTAAATATATCATAATTTCAAGAGGCTGACTGCGGGAATGGTTGTCGTCTTTCCGCATTTTCTCCTGGGAAGTACTCTTGTACTTAGCCATTATTTCAGGGACAAACAAAAGACTTCGGCCTCCCACATTTTTGCACTGCTCTTCAGCATTTTGGTAAAAGTCCACGGCCCTTTTAATGTCGTTCGTGCTTTCATAAATCAGAGACAAGATCTGGGAACTAAGAACTTCTAGAATCTTCAGCAGTGGATCTGTGGTACCCTTCCACTTGGACAATGAGAACTCTAGAAGTTCGATACCTCTCTCGATGTTACCATTTACGAGCCGATAAATTCCAAAATAACAGGCGCACTTTCCTCTTTCTACGTCTGAAAAGTTGGACAGCTGCGTCTCTTTTAATAGGCTTGGTAGCAGCTGCATTGTCTTTGCTTCTGTTGAGTTCCAAGTTACTTCACTGAACGCCTTCGCAACTACCATCCGGTTAAAAGCCGCCCTGTCTCCACACTCCTCTGCTTCCGCCATTGCCTGGTCATAGATCTTGTTAAAAGTAGCACTATCTCTCCATAAAATTGTGTCCAGAAACAGCTCAACTTTTGATAACACATCAAAAGCCTGGTTTCTTGTATTGTCGTTCAAGGAGCAGCCGTCGGTCAAACTTGACACGATATTCTGCTTCTCTTTATAGAAAATCTCATGTGCAGCTGACTTGGACTCAGCATTTTCAGAAAGAAAATCGTCGCTTAGCTTACCGAGTAAGGAAATATTATGATTACAAAATCGAGTTTTGGCGTCAAGAAACAGTGCATTCATTTCTTTCAGTTCTCCTTTAGCCCTTGCAAATGATGCAAGAAGTTTATTCATTTTAAATAAGCCACAGTTTCTTTCGAGGAGTGATCTACGGTGAAGCCTTTTTAGAACATTGCTGGTTTTGGACTCGTCCAACCCCAAGACGGCTGCGGCAAGGTTCTCGTCAAAGCTCTGAGGAATGGTAGACAAGGCCACGATGGCATCTTTGTCACTTTGCAGAGTGAGTCTTTGGAAGGAGGATTCGAAGATTCCCATCAGTCTCGAGTTTCTGACATCCTCTGGTTTATGCAAGCTTTCTAAACCACTCTCGATCGATCTTTTAAAATCAGTGATGGCACTTTTCAAAAGCCTGTCACTTTTGAGAATAGATTTGCACAAAAGCAGGATGGCAAATGGCATATTTTCACATAAATCCGATATTTTCTTACTTTGGTAGTCGGTAGCTTTGGGGATCAATTTTTTGACTAATTCTTGTGAATGAATTTTATTGAGCGAACCCACTCTGAAAACTTCTGGATGAAAGAATTCCAAATGGAGAGTGAGAGATTCTCGAGAAGTGACAATGAACGTCATTTTAGGACATTTTGTGAGAATTTCCTTCAATAGACCAGCAACATCATCCCGAACATTCGGTTGAAGTAAATTATCCATATCGTCAAGGATAAAGTACAAATTGTCGCTAACATTTTCAATTGTTCTACAAAACAGATCAATTGGCTTTAAATGCTGAGTAAAAAAACTATCGTGAGGCGATAGATGGATATAGTACAGAAACTTTGACAATAGTTCGTCACATGTTCTAATTTTACTTAGCTCAAAGTGATAAACGCTCTTTTCTTGGCGCTTGAGCTCATTTCCGACTGCTATTGCAACCTGAGATTTTCCAAATCCAGGAGGACCGTAGATCCCAACAATTCCTGCCGATACCGAAGTCAAGTTATTGATGATCTCTTCACATTCTGCTTTTCGACCAATGAAGTGTTTGCCTTCCTCCGGAAGGTGAGGCTCGCGGAGTGAGGTTAGAACCTCTGTGGAAAACAGAAAAAGACTCTTTAAAATTTTTTCCAGCCCTTTATGAAATACGTTGAAGCACAAACTGTCGTCCTCTTGTTTTACTGCTTTCGTTTCCTCTCACCGGCCTTAATATTTCTATACACTTTCTCATTTAACATAACATCCAGTTACCTTTCTTGTTGTTTCTTTTAAAATTATCCCTTGGAGGAAAATTCCACCATATTACATAATGGATATTCTTTAGTTTTCTTGAAATATTGGCCGATTAAGAGTATACGATGTAATATTTTAGCTTGAGAGTGACGTCATATAATTACCTTCGAGTTTTGCTTCAACAACACCAATCCTGTCTTCAAGATTATCAACTCTGCTTTCCGTCAACTCCGCTTGGCGTGCCGTGTTCTGTTGGCCACTCTCTAATTCTTCAACCCTTTGTTTCCAATCTTCGATATCACTGGCAAAATTGTGAAGGGCATCTTGGACTTTGTTCTTTTCTTCTCTGCAGCCTTCAGACATTTTCTTTACGTCATCTTGAAGAGAGTTAAACTTTTGTTGAAGCAGTTGGAGCAATACTGGATCCACAGGAGAATTCATGCATATATGTGTACCTAAGGAAATGAGAATTAAACAACACTTATAAAATTTGATTCTATCAGCTAAGTTGCTAAGTAAAACCTAGTTACCTTGTGACACCCCCCACCAACACAGTACCAGTTTCTTTAAAAGCTTACCCCTTCATTCAGTCACAAAAATTGCTGACTTCTTAATCGACCGTGAACCACACTATGAAAGGTGACGTTAAATCACTAGTCAATGAAGTAACGTTGATTTCGAAACATCTTAATCAGAGTAATATAAATGAATTGTAAGATCAAATTAGAGGATAAGTGTAATTCGATGACGATTTGTAACGAAGCAAACACATTTATAACATCCTTAATACCTCTGCTTTCCCAGTCTTTTAATTCTGTTCGAAGTTTTCCGTCATCTGCAGCAGGTAGCTTCAACTCTTTTACAAGTTGTTCCATTTCAACGAAAGTTTGATGAAACTTGGCCACATCCCACTTACTGAAGACGCAATGTGCCCAGTCATTTCGTGCCACTCTGACTTTATCGGCCGCAGCCTGTATAGCTACGGAGAAAACTGGAACACGATTGAGCAACGACAGCACAGCGGACGCATCACAGTGGTCATCAAATGCAGTGAACTTTGCCATGTAACTTGCAACATACAGCTTTGCAAAGTCCACGTGAGATGTCACCCGGCAATCGAACAAGGAATATTTCAATTTTCCACCAGAATGCTTGCGATGAACATCATTTCCGTTAATGTTCTCATAATTTAAATCTGTTTTTGCTGTTTTTGGCCACCTCTGAAGACGACAAGATGTGTTCTGTCCATGAATATTGTGGCGAATCTTTAGGTTGTTATATTCCTTTTCAATTTCTTGCTCTACAGTTGAACGTATCTGAGGTATAAGAATCGTATTGAGTGCTATCCCAACCACCAGCCATCTTTTCCGATGGTCGTCAATTACAGCAGGGTGGCTTGACCTAACCGTTTGAAGGAAAAAACATTGTGGTTATGATATTTATATCAATAATATGGTAAAATATAGAATTATAAACCCTAAGCAAAAAATTTATAAATTCTAATTTGCCTTGAACAGTATTAGGGTAATATATCTCGGAATTTCCAAGTAAAGATCTTTATCCTCGTTTTCTTCAGTATGAATAAAGTAAAAAAAACAACAAGTTGATATAATCTTAATTCCACGAGTGAGTTGCTACTCTTTCCAAAGCGTAGTGTAAACGTTTGTCTCACGATGTAGTCACTTCAGATGTGGATCCATCTGAAGGCAAATGATTATACTTCTCTTTTAAAAGTGTTATTCCCCACGAAGACAAACCATAACCTATATTATGTCAAACGAGTTACAACTCTAAAGAAATAAAGAAAGATGTTTTTCGTCTTGTCACGAGCGTGGGACAAAGAAAAAATTCTGAGTTCCCATGCGGAATCAAATCTCGGACCTTTGGATTCCGCGCTCCGATGCTCTACCACTGAGCCCCAGAGACTCCACGGTGAGCGAGTTCTATTACGAAGTTCATATGACACGCGTCCTGCATACGGCTAGAATTGGCAATGTTGATAGCGTAATGTTTGTAGATAGAAATTATGGAGATGGTAAGTTTTGAGCTCAGTAAAGAAATAAAGAAAGATGTTTTTCGTCTTGTCTCTGTCATCAGATTTTGCATTTGATAAGGTTTAGCTGCAAGGCTGACTGTACTACAGTTGTCATTAAGTGGTGTGTGCGTAGCGAGAGATCATGGATTGATGGCCAGCACAAAGTCAAGTAGGGCTGTAGCACTGAAGTATTTTAAAATGTGTTTATGACTGAAGGCAAGCAAAACGAGGAAGTCATGCTTACATGTTCTCTCTGACTTTCTTGCGATTTCCGGGCTAACGTAATAATTATTTTTGCCCATTCGAATCTTTTTTGTATAAAGAAGCATAGCGGCTGTTCAAACTAAATGGAGTCTTCAAGAAAAGGCATTATGTACCTTCAAATCATCAAGAACTGCTGTACCTGCGAAAACAACCACCTGAACGCCAAATAAATCAGTAGCTGAGTGATAAGAAATCATAGCCTACCTTGTGGGTGTCTACTCTCGCTACAGACTGCACCGTTAAAAATTACTTTTATCACTTACTACAAAAACTCACCCAGATGATGGTGATGCCATTCCGGGAGCTTTATGGAGCAAACGAAGTAGTCATTAGATTTATCACGTTTAGAGATGCCTATTGGAAAAAAAAATTGAGGTGAATTAATCATTGCCGTGGCTTTTTCACGTAAAGCACTTCAAACTCTTTCAGCATGCGGAGTAGGATAAGATAATTAGGCTGCCTTATTTATGGTCAGGTAGCGACTTGAGATGTTTGAGTAGAATCGACCGACAGTCGACTTTCCTTTCACAAAGGAAATGGAGTTCCCCCGTTTGGCATCCCTTCTTCATCAATTTTTTTTCATTTTTAAAAATAAACGCAACCTCGTTTAAAGGGCCCAAACTAAACATTTTTTAGAAAGATAACGAGTAAAGGATAACCTGAAGTACAGTTTTCAATAAGATAAGCACTTTTCTTGCTTATTCTCTTATTTCAACAAGAAAGACTTGGAAAGTTTGTTAATTACGCAGCTAGTTATAACTTAATCGGTGCACATGGTTGAGACTCCTCCAACTTCAATTTAATTCACGACTGCCGCTGATTGCGTCGCCTACATCGAAGCCCGCAAAGAGAACACTTTTACAATGCAAAGTATACAGATACTTGCCCAAATGCACTGCGTATGTAACAAAATTCATGACGATATCCGATTCTGGTCAACTTAGATTAAAAGACAGTAGGTTCTCTACAAATATCATGCCTTAACCCTTCAATTTCCAGAAGTGATTAAAATGTACTTTCTCCCTATAATATTCACCAAACAGGTATTGAGAATACTCAAACTTATCAGGTAGAAGTTGTCATCTTCATCTGACTAATCATAACTAATTCAGTACGAGGAAATGTGTACCAGCTAAAGGAGAGAATTACCAATCAGAGCTTGGAGTTTAGGGGTCTATTAACAGTATCGTATTTTATGGCCAAGGAGAGATTAAATGCAATGAATGTTTTCAACCCAAGCTGTTGCTCGATGTAAAAACATTTTGCAAACCCGCAACAGTGAAGCGTGAAAAAGTGACACAGCGTGTGACATTGCTATTATGCTTCTGCAAGACAGGCAAATATCAAGAGATAATTCGAGATTCATTTTTATACATCTGCGGTTTTGCTTGCTCTTATAAGACGACTGAGTTGGCTGACAATTAATCTCATGACCCTGCATAAATTAAAATTTATTCTGCTTGGCATACAGTTTTGACATCCCGACAAAATTGTATGTCGAGCGTAATACATTCATTAAACGTGATCAGTACCTAGATTGTGTACTTTATCAAAACGCACGTGGCTGAGGCTGGTGGTGTGATTGAGACAGAATACTTTGAAACTTTCTTCTCTGAATTCCTTAATGACCCCAGACAACTTGTTGCTAGCTCTTCGCTAGTTCTTGAAAACATAATAGAGCAGCCTGAGGCTAAAAACAGTTCATTTTTATTTTATTGCAAGACACAAAATTGGTTCTTCAAAGCTTCTGGGTATCTCAATATGCATTTTTGGTACATTAGCAGTGTTTACCTGAGGTAAAGTTGCATTGCTCTGTTGTAAACAGTGATAAACCCCCTTGTTTTGGCTTGTTTGCTTTGTTTGTCCTCTGCATGTGTGACAAAGCACTTAATGTTGGGTTTCACGGGAAACAGTCTCATTGTTTCCCTCAACTCCATTGTGGGAAACACTGAGACTCTCGGGAAAAAAAAACTGACGAGAAAACAAAATTTACTGTTTACCGGGGGAATATTGATTCAGTTTACATAACCCGAGGGATAACATTGAGACTCTCGGAAAAACAAACTGACGAGAAAACAAAATTTGCTGTTTACCGAGGGAATATTGATTAAGTGTACATAACCTGAGGGATAATGCACTCTGCACTACTGTTAGGAAACCTGTTTGATTGATAAGGTTCATATCCACCTCGGTCAGAGTGAAGGGGCTGAGAGACAGAATGACATTCAAATATTTTCTTCATTTCTTTTCGCGTTTACGTAGTGCTTCAAGATTCTCTATGTTTTGGGTAACCTTCCCTGCATTGTTTCTTTTTGACCCAAGTTGTTGCTCAGAGTGAAAACAATTTGCAAAACAGTAGTAGTGAAGCGTGAACGATTGAAAAAAACCGTGAAGTGAGATAAGATGTGACATTGCATGATTACAGCTTTATATACCACGGTTTCCCTTGTTCTAAAGACGATTGTGATTAAATTGTACCCCGCTCGACGTTCAATTTTGACATTCCGTCAAACCTCTATGTCGGGTTATGCTTTTGAAGCAATTTTCTCTTAACTTCACAGTGATTCCAGACAATTTTTCGCCAGCTCTCCGCTAGTTCTTGAAAAAACAGAATAGAGCAGCCTAAGGCTAAAAAAGCGCTTTTCTATTTTATCAGAGGAAGAGATCAGAAAGAAAAGTCGGTTCTCCAAAGCTTATACGTATCTTAAGATGTATTTGTGATACATTGGCAGTATTCACAAGAAATTAGGTTATTCTTTTACAGACAGTGATGAACGCTCATTTACAGTTTCCTTGTTTACTATTATGGTCCTCTCAATGTATTATTACCAAAGCACTTAAGATAATGTCTGACCCGTTTCGACACATCCAGTTTTGTTTTTCCTTCAGTCTCACTGCCCTTCGACCTCCTATCGTGAAACAATACGCCTCTCGGAAAAACAAAACTATTTCTAGAAGGATCAGAAATTATGTGTTTTATACCATTACATAAAAGTTTCCCTTGCCTGAGAATCGGAAGTTTGCTGATCATGCAAAAAAAAATAAATCACTCAATTTTACCAAAACATTTTATACAAAACTGAAATCACTTTTGACATGGTCTTATCAGAGTTCACTTCACAATTACCGCCGACTTAAATATCCCTAATAAGTAACTTAAGCAGGTATGATACATGTAACCTGTTTGCAATCTTTTTCAGTGCTTTTCTTCACCAATTTTCTAATCAATGATTTTGTTCGCTGCACTGAGTTACCTCCTTTGACACCAAATTAAATTTAGTCTTGAGGCTACACAAAGTGAAAGTAAGTTGTGTTCGTTTCTAATGTATAAGTTCCATCACCATGAGCGGCTAAATTTACGGCAGCTTTAGATATTCTTTACCGGGAATTTACTTTATCAACCTAGTTGGTGAAACCAAATTATCTTGTTATACTCCACGCCAACACAGCACCGCAGAATCTTTTGAAACTTGCCCCCTTTAATCGTTTGAAAGCGAAAGTGCTCACGTAATCACATTTCTGGTATTAATGCGTTTATCTCTGTTCTGGACACTACACAGTCCCTCTACTGAGCTCCATATACGCGAATTATTTTCCAGCGAAAAAAAGTACTCAATGTCGATATCTGATTCTTGTAAAATTCGACTGATAAACAATAACCTTGTAACTGCATTGGTGCAAATTCAAAACAACTTCGTAAGCTGATATAAGGCTCACCTGCTGCAACAAAATTAGCAAACTTGATTGATAAACAAGGATAAAGCT